TTCTGATTTTATGCAGGAAAGAATTGGTTTGGTGTGTTTTCAGAATAGCTGAAGGAAGAGGTTTATTTGACAGATCAGATCAAATACTCACAACCTCTCCATACCTGATTTCCACCACTTATTGGACAGATACAACTGCTGTGGATTTTTTTTTAATTTTCCTTGTGATTTGCTTGAGGTTTTCTGTTAAGAGAGTAGTATGTGTTTGTTTTCATTAAGCAATTAGTGCAGTTGTATTTATAATAAAAAAACGCGTTATGTGTACAAAGATGGGCAATTATTTCAGTATGCACTTTACTCAGATTTGATGTTTTGATCTTACAAGACTTTAATGTTGTCCATTCCATTCCATGCATACTTTTTGTGCGGAGAATAACCTTGAGGAATAGATAGCCGGGAGATGGAACTCCTTCAAAGGAAGTAGGTCTTAAAATAAGAAATACATTGATTGAATTCCTGCTAGGTTTCTTGACCCTAAATGTGTGTGCCCTTCCTTTGCCTAAAGAAGGAATTAAAGCTGAAGGTGGTGGGTCTTCAGATCAATTGGAAACAGTTATTATTTCTGGTTTCTTTCTACATAGAAATAAATTTGCAGCTGTAAAAGGGGGATGTCTGACTAGCTGGAAAAATGGGTCAACGGTGTCATGTTGTAAAAGGTTTGCCAGGATGTACTCACGTTGTTATCAGCATTAGGAAGACCTTTGTGGGATATTTTGACTGGTTTCTGAAAGCTGTTCTTAAACAGGAGTATTGAAGATGAGAGAAATACTGGAGCTGAAAAAAAAAATGCAGGTTAGGAGAAATAACTCTTGAGCTAGCTTAGGTTTTTAAGATTGCTTGTTAGCACCACTGTCTTTCTGTTTGTCTTGTCTTCCAGTGGAATCTCCTCCTGGTATGGTACATCCTCATGTTCCACAGTGCTCAAGTGCTGTTTGCCTCAAAGCCCCCTTAATTATTCAGTGATGTGAGATCAGAAGGGCTCTGGGGAGGATTGGAAATTAGAGAAGGAATTTAAAGGCTGTTACTGGGTAGTGCTGGAATGAGGGGATGATAGATCGTTGGGTGGAAAGAATGGCAGTCAGCTTCATTTGCTGAAAAGCACTGGCGTATGGGGACAGCAACCAACTGTTCTCTGTGTCTGTAAGAAGAAAAAGGGAAATCTGAAACATTTCCACTTGTTAGTAGAGAAAAACCTTGCAATAGATTATCAAATGAGCCTCCAGAATATATCTTTCAAATGTCTTGAAAGCAGGCCAAGCAATACAACTTCTGGTAACGAATCAGACATAAATAGATGGCAATTGTGTGAAAACCAGACCATCTCAGCTCCCAGACACGTCAGTCCTTCACTCTGCCATTGTCAGAGGGGCAGCGTGCACAGGGTTCTGAGGCTTACAGTGTTGTATTCAACTTCAGGTAGGAAAATGAAATGGTTGCTAGGGCTGAATTATTTTTTTCAAAGAAAACCTTTGTTGACAGTTCAAAAATGTGAACTGACTGGAGATGTAAAATATGAGCATTTTCATTATTGAGATCAATGAAACTAAAAGAGCATTTACATCGTTATTTCTCAAAGAACTTCAGTTTAATGAGTTTTAATTCTTAAATGATGGTATAGAATGCATATGTGTGCATTTTTTGATGTGTAGGTAAAAATTAACCTTCGGTGTCTGCATAGTTGGGTTTAAATGGTTACTCGGATCTTTTAAACATAACAACCTGAACACTTTTCTGGGCTCACTTTGTCCAGAGCTGTTAGAGATGCTGCTGTGATTCTCAAACTTACTTGTATGTTTACCTTATTCTTCTGTTTTTCCCTAGCTGTCCACTATTGGACATCACTGAATGGTAGGCTGAGGTGGACCTTTGATATGGAGGGTCATTGTTACAATTTGTCTGGTTTTGACTTAAGCTTATATTAATTTATTTGGGAATCAGCATTTTTTGCTATGTAATGTGGAACAGTAGTATGAATTTTCAGTATTTTCATCCTCGAATTTGAAGGTACTCTTAGTCGTGGCTACTTCATCAAATTTCCATTTTCCCTTGTCTCACAGAAGAGCTCGGTGCTCTGCTCGTGCTTTGGTTTCCCTTCCAAATTTCAGTCACACTTTCAAATAAGAAGAGTGCTGCTGTGACCACCACAGTGAAGTGATCGTATTCCAGGTGTGGCCTCCCCAAGGCACATGTAGGGGGTGATAACTTTGGGGCTTTACAGTCAAATCTGGGTGAGCCAGCCTTGATTGATACTTCAGTTTTGGATGAACATCTCCACCTGTGAGCACCTTTTCCCGGCAGATGTGATTCCTGTTGCTTGCAGTCTCCGTTCACTGGTAGGCTGATTGCTGCCTGCCTTCTTCTTGCTGCCTGCGTAGGCTTTGAATTCTACTGTGTCCCAGGCTGAGGGCTGGATTACATTCCTAGCAGCAGCAGTGACAGAGCAGTTTGCCAGAGATCTTGTTTGTTTAACACTGATGCGTTTTGTGCTCTTATACTTAAAAGTGGGACACGGTTAACATGCATAAGGCATAGTAATTACTCAGTGAACTAGCAGAATGTGGCAGATTTGGATTTAATACATGAACTGCAGTCGGTTGTTGTTTCAAGTTCAGGTTTAAAGAGGAGCGATGTTTATTTTATCAAAGTAACTTTTGTAGCTCTGAAAATCATGATTGTTGTTTTTTAAGGAATTGCACTTTTCTTTATGAAGGGTATATGTTATACTAATTGTAGTTATGGTAGAAAAGAAACATATGCTGCTTCCCAAAATTTCCAGGTGAAAGGAAGTACAATTAAACTTACTCAAAGGTGAACATCAAGTGAATTAGTTGAAGTTAAAGTCTCCTTGAGCATTGGTTTTCAGACCATTAGAAATACTGACACTTGTTGCTGCAGATTGGAAAGAGAAGGGCTATGATTTAACATCTCTTAAAGTGACATCATATTTTAGGGACATAAAGCCTGGTTCCCATTTAGAAATTGATGACATTAAGTGCACCCTCCTGTTGTATTTCCCTCATCTGGCAGTGGGCATGACTATTCTGCCCTCTGCTTTCTTGAAATTCATCACATCAAGCAGAGCTGGATGTCAGCAACTGCAGGTGCTGCAAAACCAACACCCATACTGGTGTGTGTTATTGCAATTAAAGTGTTTTTCTTGGAAAAAGGTCTCACTTTGAAAATTCTGACTTCATTCTTTGTGGTTATGTGCTCAGTAGCTAGAGGTAAATATGAAGGCATATTATTGTTACTGTAATGCAGCTGTTACCATAACGTACTGAAGATGTAAAGATGTAATAATGTACTGCACTTAATACATCATAAAATTTATTAAAATATTAGATTTACTATGTCACTAAAGCAGTTGTTAAAACATTAACTTACTGAATGATGTCTCAGAAGGTAGTTGGTGGTGAGGAATCATCGATTATCTGTGTTTTGTGGGTTTCTTCAGGATATGTTAGCAACCTCAGAGTTTATAACCATCTACAGCAAATGAATTGAAATTCTGGCTGGAAGAAGCTGTGGAATACATAGAGATTGGAGAAGCAGACAGAGCATGGTCTGGGTTTCTTAGCAAGAGAAGCACATAAACAAGCAAAGATGGCAAGCAAGATATGTGAGCCATGCCTAAAGCATTAGGCACCGTTTCTGCAGACGTAGCAACTTGAAAATATGTCAGTATTTATTCACTTTACTCCAAATGAACTCACAGTGTAATGCTGTGGTAAAAAAAAAAGGCTACTATGTGGCACTTGAATTGCAGAGCTGGGATCTGTTCGGAATTCAGTTGCATCAGGCTTATGACATAGGCGGTACCAGTATGGGTGTGTTGCACATTGGTAGAAATGTTTGTGAATCTGTGCTGAAAAATAATACTCTGGATAAGTTCTGTGAAGTTATCTCAGCGCTTTCAAATGAGTTTCTTAACAGTGATGTTTATGTGCTTCTAGAGAGATGTTCGATCACACAGTGTAACCAATGACTGATATTAGTGCCCTGTGAGAAGATGCCTTTTATAGAGCGATCTTTATAGAAGAAAGGAAAACGCAAATCAGTAGCTGAACACTGAAACCAGATGTTTCCATGTTGGCGATAACCCATGCATTTTGACAGTTGGGAAGAATAACCTTGGAGCAAACTACCAAAGGAAGTTGTATGTGCTCCGTGCTTCTTCAGGCCAGCTATGCTGGAAAAATATGTTTAGTCAAATAAAGGCTACTAGAGTGTACAGCCTATGGTCAAAAGGATCTGTGTTATGATGAAAAAGTAATTAGAAGTCATTATTTCTATGCACCTGTAGAAAAAAAAAATCTAGTTGATAGTTTGTTGTACATTAGTGAATAACTGTTCATCGGATTTATTTGTATGTGTAAATTCTCTGTTTTGCTAAAACAGTATCTTTGTCCATGTCCTACCATCAGTAGCAAGGACTATGTATTTTGCAGTCTTCATTTCCACTTTTTTGCTGGTAGAAGTAGTGTAATTTGATGAACAGTTTCAATCAATTGCATCACAATGCATTTGATTTAACGTATTTCTTCTAAAAATACTAAAAATTTCTTCTAAAAATGGAGATTGGTCAATGGATATTACTTCTACTATTGATTGGATTTTAATGAGCTTTTCTTTACCAAAAGCAGTACATGCTTCAGCAAGTGTGCCCTACCCTTGTCTGAAGTACTTGTAACGTGTACAAATCCCAAGCTTCATATGCATTCACATTATTTTAATGTTATCGTATCACTAATATGCATCACCCTTGTGTTTCCATATCAGAGTACTGACTTGTAAGTTCTCTATAGTATTTCATGTAATTTTATCTTTATTAATGACTGTTGTTTCATATACTTTAGAAGTTAAAAAAGAAAACAACAAACAAACAAACAAACACAAAAAACAACTCCTGCATCCTGTATTGAAAATGTATCTGGCTGTATTTTTATGCTAAAGTATGTATATGAAACTCACTTTTTTTTTTAATACTGTTTGCTTTGTAGTGAGAGATTTATGGTGAGGTTAAATAAGAACGGAGGTCCCAGGAATCCAGAGAAGATAGATCGAATGTGTGCACTCTTCACAGTATGTATCTGTTCCTTTTCTTCTTCCCTTACAGTAGTGTGATTATAGACGTGCTGAGAGGGAGAACACAACTCTTTCTTTCCCATATATTAAGCAGAAGTGGATGCTCTTTCGAAGTTTTGTTACTGTTACAATTAAATGTTAACAGAAAAAAAAAGAGAAATGCTTCTAAATTATTTTTATAGCTAACCAAATATTCTGAAATGCTTCCTTGTAACTGTGTTCGAATTGCAGTCAGGAATTTCACATCCTAGGTGTGATAAACACTTTCCATCATGATTCACCTTGTGAGTTCATGCACATGCTAGAAGCAATTTGGGAAAAGCATTTTTGTTTCCGGTGGAAAAAAAAAAAAAAAAGGAAGACAACATTGGTATAAACTGTTGTCCTGGCAATTAAATCCTCTAGGGTCAGGCAGTGTGGAACACTGAAATAGGCGTGGTTTTCAGTACCATCTCTTTTTATCCTTCACAAAGATACCCAAATTTGTCCTCTTAAGGAATGGTCTACATCTAGCCAGGAATAAGGGTGCTCAATTGTGCCTCATCTGGACAGAAAAGATGTGAACCTTTAAAAAACAGCACTAACAGTGATACTAACCTAAGTATTAGTATGGGTTTTGGCATAGTATTGGCTGATTCAATGTTAACAAAGGTAACAGTGTCTTAGTTTTGAAGTTTTCGCTGCCACCATTGTCCTTCACTTGAAAACTAATGTGTTTCTGTTCTAAGAGAAAGACATCTGGAAAGCAAGCTTTAGTACTGCTGCCTGGATAACTCAGAAAGCAAAGCTCAGGATTAGTAATTGCTCTAAGGGTTACTCCCAAAAGGCAACTGGTTCGTATCAGTTTTGGCACTTAATGGCATTTCAGCATTCTTAAAGTTTTTCACCATCAAACTTTACCATCTACATTGATGCCACCCTACTTAGTTATGCTACAACTTTCTTGTTTCTTGTGAAAGTGTTGCTCTGGTGACGTGCAAAACAGTCTTTGCATGGTTTCAAAAGCACAGAGAGAATACTGATAATACAATGTGGCCCAGGAGCATAACAGTTCCGGAAGAGACTTGTTGCATGTCACAAATGAGACCCACCTATTAAGGAGACCAGCTGCAAGTATTGCCACTCTGTACTCAAGTACAGTTACTCAGAGATCACTCATCAAGTCTATTCAAAGCATTGGCCGAGGTACGTAACAGAGCAACGGAGAATAATTTTCAGATTAGCTTTTAATCTGCTGCGATTCGATCTCGATGTGCTGAAATTCTTTCAGTCTCCTGTAAACAGACAGTTACGGTTGTGCAGAAATCCAGGCATAGCTTTCTAGTCTACTCTATACAGATTCTGGCTGCATAGCTGCAGTTCGTAACAGTAAGGAAGTTCCACATGCATAAGAGCCTACATAAGAGCCAGAATAAAATTATGGACAGTGCATCAGTGATACTGGGTAGTTTTCGTACTTTATGCATTCTAAGAGCAAGCACCGACACTAAATAGATGCAGTCAAGAATCGTCTCTGAAGATTTCTATCCTACAACAGAGGTTTATGTCCATGGAAATCCCATTTCTGATGGTTATCAAAACAGATACCGGGTGGCCAGCACAGTACTGTTTTGGGTTTGTTGTAAGGCACCTTTCTCTTATAAGCTTTGTTTACGTATTTTCAATGAGAACACTGATTCATGTTGTGAAGTGCAGGGTCAGGCAGGATGCGCTCTATGCTCGTAACGCTGGCTGTGTTGGCTGGGACCTGCTGAGCACATCCGTGACTCACTGGGCTGTTGAGTCAGAGACTTTGAAGAAGCATCCCCGAATGCCTTTCTGTTCAAAAGCCAAGTTTTCTTTGATCATAACTAAAAGGCCAGTCTTCTCTTGTATAGGAAGTTTCAAAATGCCTGAGCATTAATCAGAGGGAGTTCAGAGTGTTCACCTGTCCATCATATTCTGATGTCATGCTTCTCTCCCAGCTCTGGCTGCAGCCTTTCCTGAGGCCTCTTGTGCTGTCTCAGCCTACCTGTCTCAGTACTCCTCCAGGAAATGTCTATCTCAATAACCCAGGAGCCCCAGTGTCCCAGCTCCTTCTGCCGTGAGCATTTCTCGGCCTCTTCTGTGCTGAGTGCATTCTCACTACCTGCGCTGGTTGATGGATTGTTCTGATTACTGATTTTAGAATGAATACAGTTTGGGAAAAGGCAAGACAGATTGTCTGTCACTGTGGCTGCGTATTGGCTCATCAGAGGGAAAATCTTTTAGTACAGAACATTACTGATGTGTTCTGTAAACCTCATTGAGATTCCCTGGAGCATTGGTTTCTATGCTTCTTTTACCATTTGACACCCAAGGTAATCTTGCAGTCAGTGTTCATTACTTAAAAGGAGCTTGAGGTCTTCTGGATGCTTCCAAACTAAGGTAGTGCTATGATTTCAGTGCAGTTTTGTTCCCAGTGTTATCTTAGTCTTGTATTTAAATCAGTTCATTGATTTCCTAATCAAATTCCTTGGCTCCCAATGTCTTTCTAACACTCTCATCCCTTCCAGAGAGAAGAATCCCCAATACCTTAGGTAATTCAAGGTATTTCTGTCTTTTCCTGCTACCTCTGTTGCATCGAGTTGTTCAGCCATCTCCTTGGGTAACATTTCACCTTAGGTCCTGGATCTGTTGTCATATCGCACCAAGGGTGAGAAACTGCTTCCTCGGAGGAACAAGATTGCTCAACTAAACTTCAGTCTTGTCACACTTCAGAAGCTTTTCTGGATCAGAATTAAGATGTAACTATGCAGCATGAGTTTTCTCTTTTGGTTAAATACCTTGCTCTCTGTGGCAGCTCATTTTGGTGGAGCTATTTAAATCTCTAATTAATTGCAGTCAGATATCCTTGATACTGCTGTGTTGGGTTTGCTGTTGTTGTTTTGGCTTTTTTTTGTTTGCTCGGTGGTTGTTGTTTGAACGCACAGACACGTCTTTATAGTAACTAACATTGCAAAGAACTATTGTTAGAAGGTAACTCTTTTCCATTCCTGATGTGGAAAACTTTCCTTGCTAGTGATTTTCTAAAAAGCCTTGCAGTTAGAGTTATTATGGATTACTTTGATTATCAACTAGAGTCATTTTAAATGGTCAGGAGGATGTGGGAAATAAACTGCTTGTGAAGACTGTGCTCAGAGCACAGTGCTAGAATTAGATTTAATTATATTGCCCGTAACCAAAAATAAATGTAGCTGCTCCTCTTCTGAGTCCTAAGCTGTGTACGTGGATTCTTTCTTAAGAAATCATGTGAAGGATTCTCAGAGGGGTGGAGGGATTTGGACTGTGGGCTCTGTGTCACAGTAAGAATTTCTCCCTCCGTAAAAAGCCTCTGCTGCACAGAAATGGAAGGCAGGGCCATCTGTGCCCACAGTTTCTGTCTGTGACTGTGATACAGTGTAGTTTTTCCAATGTGTGAACCCACCAATATGTGCATGCCCTACTGTTTTCTGGTATTTTGACAGCTACTCTTTGAAAAAACAGTTATCTAGGTTCTGTTAATTACAACTGGTAATCTTATATTGTTACAGAAATCTTTGTGTTGAATCAAAGATATTTTCACAGGAAAATCTACTGTTATCTAGTATTAACCATCACCTCCCTTTTTTATTTTATTTCTTTATTTTGAAGTATATTGCCAGGAACTGCTGAGATTAAAGCTGTGTCAAATTCCTTCTTATAACAGAGCTTCAGTTTTTCCAAGACACACAAGATAAAGCCTGCCATATGCTATGTTGGTGTGGTAGGTGGCGAAGAAAGCCTCGAAAGTATGTTCTCTTCCTGCAGCAGCAAAATGGACTTGAAGAGAAAACATTATGGAAGATTTATTAGCTTGATTCTTTGGCTGCAGAGAAACATGAGCTGGTAGCTGAGGAGCACCAAACAGTGTATTTGCAACTCAGTGCGTGTGCTGCCCACTGAGTGTTCCTTTTAAATGGAGTCAGAAGACACAGCCATGAATTTATTACGCGCCTGCTGTAATCCAGCTATATAGTGCTATTTGAAGGGAGCTGCAACTTCTCTTTAAAATACGTTCTCCTTATGTCTGGTCCCTTTGCTTGGATTTTATTGTGCTGTATATAGGAACGTCACTAAAAGCTAACGTTTAGTGTTTATGTGCATTGCCATCATAATCTCAGTTGCTGAGATTCAGTTTCCTATGTCACAGAGGAAAGAAACGTAGTGTATGAATTAAAGTTGATATGCTAGGGTCCTGCAAAGCATGATTTTTAATGCACCAAATTGGATCGGACTAACAACGGACTAACATAGTTTCAAAAATTGTGTGATTTCCTTTTATAGTGATCTTAATACTGCTTAGGTGTTTTTAAAATTTGTTTTGTTTTAAGAAAAAAGGTTTTATTTGAATGCTACTGAGATTTTTCCCACTGACTCTTGCATTGTACTTTCCAAAATAATATACTATTAGAAGGGTGGGCTGTGTTTGAGCACAAGCAGCCCTGTTCTGCCCACCAACTGAACAGCTTGGCAGGAGCCGTTAATGGCTGTGGTGGGTATCATTTGTCAGTAGAAAAGAAGGGAAAGGGAAGAGAAGAGAAACATGAGTATGTAGACATTTACCCGATGAGGTTGTCCTTAAAGTCATATCAGAAGCCCTAGAAGTGTCTTAAAAGCATTATGTTGAAATAATCACATAAAAGCTGTGTTTTGCCTTAAAATGATGTGAGGCGACGAGTGTTGCTCCAGCACAAGGAGGAGGATGTGCTGTGGTAACCGAGCTTTGAAGTTTCTCTTCGAATCTTTCCTTCAGCATGCTCTGCTACCTCTGCCACCATCTTAGAGTGCATTTATCAGTCTGCGGTTCCTGCTGACACTTCCTCTGTCCTCAGAAGCATCTGGAGTGATTCCATTACATCTGGGGAGGATCTGGATGATGCAATGCAGAACAGTGAGATGACGGCATGTAGTAGAGCAGAGAGGCGGCAGCTGTTGCTGTAGAGCACGAGGAGGCTCTTTGCATCAGAATGTAAAACATTCGTGAAGATTCTCACAGGATTTGTTTGAAATATTCTTCTCCTGGGTTTTAGTCATACAAAGAAAACATGTTGAGTGGTAGTTATGCCTATAGGAAGAGATGTTTGTTGGCTCTTTAGTGCAAAAAAAAAAAAAAAAAAGAAAAAGAAAAGAAAAAGAAAACAGCACAGGGGAAAGCATTGCGGTTGATCACTGTAAAATTATCAGAAACAAATATAAAGCATTGAGGGCAGTTTCTAACGTGAATGCAAAGTGCTGCAGTAATGAATTACTGACAAGTGCTCTATGCCTGTCTTCTTCATTTGTCTTCTCTATCTGTAGGGATTGGTCAGGATCAATAATGCTCTTTTTCTTCTTTCTTGTCAGCTTCAGCTCTTCATTTGTTCTTCCCTAGGTTCTTCTGTTTCCATTCCCTGGATTTTCTTGAAGCTCATTATGAAAAGTTGAATGGAATTATCAGATTTCATATGTCTGTATAGTCACTTGCCTTAAAATTACATTGGGAACATCTGAAGGTGTCTTGTATTTCACTAAACAACTATATCATCTTAAAACTGAGTTCCCTTCTTAGTTATTCCAGTACCCTGCCACTGTTCATAACATACTCAGTTTCAAAGTGGCCCTTGCCGACTACCTCATCCCCCAATAGTCCCAGGGCACAGTTTATGAAAATGAAGGGGCACAAAGCCTTTCCAGCTGGCAGTCTGAGTGCAACTTACATTGCTTTTGAATTTTGAAGATTGTTATCTATGAACCAGCTCACCTTGGCACTCATCAGCTTGTGTGGACAGAGCCTGTAGGTCCTAAGCACAACTGAGATGATTTTAATATAGCATCAAAATGCTAGATGCCAAGATTTTGATACAGCGTTTCTAGCCAGTGCAGTCAGAATATTTAATTTCTTTTCTTTTGTTGTAGAGAATATGCCAACCAAATATGATCTTCCTATGTTTTTTTATTTTTAAATTGGTATGTTAGAAATAATAATACTTCTGGATTTCTAAATATGAAGGGGCTAAATGAATGCAGAATCCTTACGTGTAGTCCTTAGTATTGTTTGTGGGAGTTGTTCAGGCTTTGGAAGTGCAGTGTGTTCTGTATTTTATCATCTGTTTTTTCCAATCTTCTAGGATCTCAGCAGCAAGGACATGAAGAGAGATTTGTACATAGTTGCCCATGTAATTCGAATAGGTACAGTATGATGTATTTATTCATTGAAATATATACATAAGTAACAATGTTTTTAAAAGTATTTAAAATATTTATTTTACTGAGCTGATGTTACAGTGATTTAATGAGTTAACAAACTCAGCTATAGGCTATGTCTGTCTGCCCAGACTAATGCTGATATAATCTGCTGCTACGTGTGAAAAAATTCCTGATGGCTCTGTAACAATGGTGCTGTTTTCTCTGTGTGAGACTAAATGTTTGGTCCAGCATCATGCTTAGGAGGGGGGAGGACTGAAAATGCTTTTTGTTTAATGTTCTGAAATTTCATACAAGGTCTTTTTACTTATCATATATAGGTAGTGTAAGGTGTAGTGCATATCATACCAGGCCATTCATAACTAGTGAAACAGGAACTGTTAAATAGATACGAAGACCTGTTTTCTGCTGTGGTGAATCTGTGGTGCTTCCAAGAACCCACACTTATATTTAAGGAGATACCTATAAAAAATAAAGGGGGCTCTCACACCTGTCAGTTGTTCTTTCTGCCTGCTAACACCAAAAAGGAGCATTTGCAGTAGTATCTGCCTGCTTGTAGCCCAACATCCAATAGCATACACTTGCTTCTTTCTAATTTCCCCTGCCTGCTCATGTAGAACTACCACAAAAAGAGATGTGGATGCTTAGTAATGTGAGCTGACCCTACCCAAGGAAGAAAGCCCTTCCTTGCTAAATGTTTTTGAGTAGTCACCACTTTTAGAGGGTTCTTCTCTGACTATTCTAGGCGAGCCAAGGCTTCGTCTTTTATTTTTGAAAACAGTAGTAGCAAGAATAAAAAGAGTTCAAGATGGAAGTTTTAATTTGGAATGTTTCTTATATGGTATAGCAGAGTGCTTGAAGTAGCTCATGGACAGTGAATGAATTGGCCCAGCAGGGTGCTCAGGTGAAGTGCCTGTATAATTTCTTTATATCAATTACTTTGGCAGAAAGATTTTTAGACACGAAGGGCTTGATAGGAAAAAACTCCAGGTAAGAGGGATATAACTAGCGAAAAACAGGGAGTTAAATGGTTCTGAATTATGAATGCATGTACTTCCACTGAGAAATATGCAAGTAAATATTTACCTACATCATGTAACTCATTACAGACATTTAGACCTAAAATGTTGATAGCACATAAGTAGGAATATGGCAGCCGCTTCAGTTGCTAAACAGCTTTTTAGCAGAGAAATGATCTGATAGTGTTTGCAATGAAATAGTATTCAACCTTCTTTCCAGTCAGTTCACCACAAGTATGCTTTAGCAGCCACGTGTATCTTTTCTGAAGCACAGGATGTCTAAATGGCTTAAGGAAACTATAGCTTTGTTGGACTTCCTTGTGAATGACAGTACAAACCTTCAAAGTCACAAACATGTTAGGAGGGTCTGTTTTTCATTGTCTGACTTTACTGTGTTAAATGAAATGTTTGAAAGCTGTAATTGCTCCATTTCACCTGAGCTATTTATTGAAGGAAGCTTGTAGAACTTTTTAAAGCTATGTTGAAGTTTAAGTTCAGATTCTTAACATTGATGCAATATGTGCTGAACGAATTATGATGTGTAGTGTTCAAGTTGACTTAGTTGATCACAGTGATTTTTTTCTGACCTACACATTTTTTGGCTCTGTTAGAAAACTGCCAATAGGATGTTAGTCACTGCACAGCTCATCTCTGAATTCTACTTTCATGCTCCCAAAACAAACATGATAAATGACAGTATGTAAACTACATTCCCTTAAAACAGTGAAAATTTGTCTAAATTTGTGTAAAATGGAAGGACCACATGAATCACCGTGTAGTTGCAGAGAGGTGAGTGCAAGATATATTCTTGTCTTGTTTGAGAAATGATTTGTAGTCAGCTGGGCTGGATGCAGATACATGTTGTGAGGCTGTCCATCAGCAGTGGCCAGACTTTGCACCGTCTGCTTTGTCCTTGAGTGTTTTGTTAGCTAATAAGCTCACATTCCTGAATTGAAGAAACCCAGTGAGTCAGCTAGTTCAAGTGGACCTCTGAAATAAAAATGGTATCAGGAGAAAAAGAAGCTACAAATATAGGGAGGATCACAATTTAGTTGACATTTATTGTAGGAATATGTTCTGAGGGGGATTACAGAGCACAATTAATGGAATTGCTGCATTTGAGGATCTAATATCCTGAATTTCTGTTGATTTTAGGTCGCATGTTGCTAAATGACTCAAAAAAGGGACCTCCACATTTACACTATCGCCGCCCCTATGGCTGTGCAGTGTTGAGCATCATGGATGTACTTCAGTCAATTTCTGAAATAAAAGAAGAAAAGGATTTTGTTCTCAAAGTTTACACGTGAGTAACTCTTAGAAGTAAAAGAATTGAGAAAAAAAAATTCAACATACTGATGCTTAAGAGTTGCTAAATATTAAGGTGCCATAAGCTGCATTTACTGATTTATGTTGACAAGTTAAACTAGTTCTGTTGGCAGTTATTGTTTCAGAAGCTCATAGAGAGCAGTGAATATTATTACAGATGCTCTGGGTGTGTTAAATGCTTCAGAAATTATTGAATATTGCTCAAATCTCAAATGACATACAAAGCTGTGCTTTTGTTAATGGGCCTTATTTAAAATCTGTTAAGCTCAAGAACATAGAAATATTTTCTGTTACCCTTGAGGAAGGGAAGTAGCATCTCCAATTCTTTTTCAGTCACGATGACCAAGAGAACAACTGAAATCAACACCATGTGACCAAAAAAATCAAAACAAGTCAACATTTTCTGAGCAAGAATCTATCTTCTGTTTATGTGTGATTTTGAACTTTGAACTACCAATTCTTACTGGGCAGTGTGGTCTCATAGTCATAATAAAGAGAGCACAGACAAACTGTCTGGAGACTGCAGAGAGTATTTAAATACCTTGTCATTGAGAAGGAATACTGACAATATGTGCTTTGCAGATGGGCTCAGATACAGATAACATTATTTTGTGTGTGGCCATTATCTAAGTAATAAGATAATTTGAGGGGTAATAGAACTCTTTTGAGAAGTGCATTCAGCAGCAGAAAATGTGCCATTCATTGGAAGCTACAAATGAGAAAAAATGACTTTCATTGTTCAGGGAAAGATTCTTGAATAATTCTTCCTACGTTAGAAATCAGTTTGTCCAAAGCAAGTCTCTCAGAGTCAGCTCTTCCATTCTTGTTTTGCCAGCAGTTATAAAAACTGTAGCAAAAATGTCAAGTTGCAGGGAAGAAAATGGACTTCTTTCATCTCTTTGCCAATACGATCTGGGTAATTTGGCATTTTATCACCATTCAGTTTCAGCTCCATCCCAAGCTGATGGTTCCCAGTTACATAATTTGTTGATGTTGCAGAGATATGTTAATGTATTGCAACTGCGACATTTTGAATGTTTACAGTAATGTAGCATTCTGAATCTGATCTCTGTTTCGATGCCCTTTTAGTGCATCTTTAGCTTCTTCTTTGCTGAAAAGTGGGAGAGTAAAAATCTGTTAAATACTGAACTTGTCCATTTGTCAGTGATAAATTACTGATTTCTTAATACTGCCATGAAAAAAAATCACTGAGTAGAAAACTGTTCCTTTTCTTCTACTCACCCTGAACTATCCTGTTAGTATGGATTCCCTACAGACCACCCAAAATACCAACTGTATCGGCCGAAATGCTGAAATAGGTTTATACCAGCTGTTCTTTTCTTCTACTCCCCAAACATCCATAGTCAGCAACAGTCTCCAACAGAAATCTTCAGAAGCGAGAATAAATTGATGTAGCTAAAAAGTACCAGCTTATCCCTTTTGCAGCTTTAATAGCTGTTAGTCTTCACGACAGAATGTTTTCACAGCTTTGTCTGCTTACATCTTCTCTTTGCACATTCATTTGGCTAAGCTAACTTTTCTTGCTTTGTAGATAAGAATTGAAATAACAAATTTTTGTCTTTTATGATCTGTAAATTGTGCACGAATACTTAAAACAGCACTGAGCTACTTTTCTTACCTGCTGTACTCACTTCTATTGTTTTTAATATGCCTCAAGCCAGCCCAAAAACATCATGTGAAGAAATAAGGAGGGAGGTCTATTTGTATTTTTGAAGGAGAAGTAAGAAGCATTATTTTTGTGCACTATCTGTGTAAAACTTAGAGACAGAAAAGCCTTTCATAGGGAGCAGCTGGAAAAAAGTTGAAAGCCTAACATTGGCTGAAAGAAATACACGGCATTTAAATTGAGACTATTGCTGGATCCACAAGAGAGAACATACACAGGAAGAAAAAATCAATTTACTTCACCAGTCTGCCTTATTATTGCTGAAGATTTATGTCTGAAAAAGTCTTTTTCCTCACAATCTGCTGTTGGTTAATCCTGCAGTCATGTTATAATCTTACTAAGAGGATAGAGTACCACAGCTCTAGCTGTAAGCTCATTATGTAAAAGCATGAAGGTTTACTTCTCTAATTCTTTTTAATAATGTACATTTAAAAGTGAGATGAAAACTGAAATCTCAATCCGTATATTTTTAAGATATTTTGATTTCATGCTTTTATGTGAATATTTATCTTCAGTTCTTTGGTTTTGATCGCTGCACCTTATTCTTTGTGTTGATGCTTCCTCTTCCCCAAAGCCTTCATGTATTTCTCTTTCATTTTATCTTCATATGGGTTTTGGATCTTTTTGTCCTATTTTTCCTCAGTCCTTTGTGCATTTCCCTCTTTTGCCAGCACTAGATTTTAAGTTTCTTTTGTCTTAATGTGCTACATTGTCTTTTCCCTGTTGAAATTCAGTTGTTGCTATTTGCCCAGCTGGACAGACATACATTGCATTTCTGTCCCTGTCTGTTTGACATCAGGGTCTGTGTAGTATGGCAAACATTCCACTCAATAGATTTACTGCAGAGCAAGCCAACCTGCAGAGATGATGGATGGCTCAGGACAAAATTCTTGTTGAAACTAAAATACGTTTAGTAATACATCTGGTATTTAGAGAAAACACAATAAACTGCATTACTGGTAAGTGTTCCCAGGCCAACTTGGGGGGATATTCTTCTTTGTGTTCAAGAAATGTGAAGTACAGCTTATTTTGGTATTTGGTACAAAACTAGCTTTAAGCTAACTTTACCCTCCATTGATTTTTGGGACAACTTTGTTCCAGCTTAATTTACAGGCATAAGTCATTGAAGACTGAAATCTATTTTAAATTCAACTCCAGAGGCTTATACAACAACTGAAAAGTTACCAGAAGTTAGACATTTCCTGTAAGCTCAGCTCTGAGGGTGAAGAATGGTACAGACTTTGTTCTGTTGGTTCCCTTTTTAAGGAAAACATTATTTGCAGTGGAATAAATGATTTTAATTGTCTTGCCAAGGGAAGTGCAGTAAAGAATGTGGAGAGAATTTTTTTTTCCCTGATGAGTAAGCTGAATAGAAGATAAGTTTACGAACAGGTCTATAAATGGAGGAATAGGAATAGACAGGGACATGTATCCTTACATCCCTAATTCCAAAGGGTGAGGGTAGTGCACTGTAGGAAGCAGGCAGGCACATGCACCTTGCCCAAGCACTGTCTTCTGTGTCACTGTGGGAAGGATTTGTATCTTCCTGTGGTCAACTGAGATGTCCACTGCCCAAACCCAGCAGTGGAGGAGGGATGCTGAGATGGTTAGAGAGCTAAGATTTCATGTGGGATAGCCCCAGCCTAACCTCACCTGACAGGCCAGAAATGCAGCCTTAACAACGTTTTGGATAGCAGGTAGAGAGGACACAACTTTTCTCCGTTTCTCCTTCATTAGTATTTGTACATCATGCTTAATTTATTCCAAATTGTCTTTTGCTTGTATGATAATCAATGTTTGTTGAGTATTGGTAAGTGTACCGTAACAGGCTGCAGGGCTTATCTCACTGTTCTTGACAGTATATGGTGTGGTAATACTGACACAACCAAAAATTATTAGCTACCCTTTTTCTAGATGGCTTTAATTCCATTTACCAGGATACTATTCTTCAGTTCCATTATGCTGCAGCCAAAAAAAACTCTGTTGCCTTCACAGTAGCAGCTTCATATCATACCCCGATTTTGCCAACATTATGGAGGAAATCAATAAATGTTTTAAAATTTTGTAACACGTGGAACTAGTTTTAGAAAGTTATAACTCTTTCTCGAGACTGTTTTTAGGAGTCAAAAGCTTACAAACAGTTTTTTGAAGAGCTTTTTGTTCATTTTTTGTTGTTGTTGTTTAGGGTTTCCTTTAGGTAATAGTCAACAGGAATGAAATTTAATTCAGTTCTTTAATTCAATTGTACTTCACAAAGAATAAGATTCAGTATTACTGCTGAGTTAAATATTGCTGACTTTAGTTTGTGCTTTAAATATTCTGAATAACGATTGAATTTAAAAGGCAGTTAGATGTGATCAAAACACTTTTTTTTCTTCTTTTTTAACCAATAGAACTGTTTGTGACAAAGGTTCCATTTTGGGTTTTCATTTAGATTATTACACCTGTAAAATTGTCATTTCATCTGTGCTTACACTAGTGTGAAGTACATTACAGTATTGGTAGTGCATCTCTTCATTATGTGATAACAAGCTGTAGGTGCTGATAGCACTTTTTTTCCTGGAAGCTTAGCATCTTTAACAGATTGGTTATACAGCTTTACTCTTTATTAGTGCAAACAAAGCTATTCAGCTTTAATGTTCAGCTACATAAGAGTCGTCATTCCAATTGAAAGGAACTGTGGTTTCTTACTGGAGTTTAAGCCTGTTGCTTTACATCATAGAATCATAGAATCACAAGGTTGGAAACGACCTGTAAGATCATCTGGTCCAACCGTCTTCACACTACCACTGCTAACACAAGCTACTAAGCCAGACCTTGCAGGTCCTCTTCCGGACGCCTCTTGAATGCTGCCAGGGATGGCGACTCCACCACCTCCCTTGGCAGGCCATTCCAGTGCCTGACCACTCTCTGAGAGAAAAATCCTAGTTTCCTCAGCCTTTGCTCATCCACTGGGCTCTCACAGAAGAGAGACGTTTTGTTTTTGTATTAGGGAGCCCAAAACTGAGCACGGTGTTGTGGATCCAGACTGCCAGTGACAATTGAAACACATAGACAGACCACTAATTTAATATGTTTTGTAAAGATTCAGTAACAAAGTAGAGTTGTGAATGTATCTTCAACATCCTGACAGCAGCACAATTATGTATGACTGAGCCCTTTTATATGCTTGGCCCTCTATTTCCCTACAGTTCATATCTTGAAGAATCCCCAGAAGCTCTTTCCCAGCATACCTTAACAAGACCCATATCTCCAAAGGCAGAAACCCACTGAAGACGGGAGCACTTTTCAGTCCATAAAGCAACCAGAGAGCCTTTCCTACTGACTCATGGGAGCAGTTTTTTCCCCAGGACTGAGTGCTGAGTGTTTCCTTCCTAATGCAGCAGCAGGAGGAGCAGGGTCAGCAGCTGTGTTCTCTGCTGAGGACAGCAGGGTTCCTCAGTTCCTTTCTACTCCATTCTGGTCAGGAAGAAGAGCCTTTCATTGCATAACCTAGCAGGAAAGACAGAATTATCTGGAAATATTTATGAGGATTTTGTTTATAGACACTGCTTTTAGGTGGTGGACTTGGTAGATGTACATCCAACTGTTTTGAATTTGATTGTCTAATGAAGGACCATGCAGCCAGCTACACTGCATGGATATTGTTTGAAAAGATAATAATTTGCACACCAGATTTCAGTGTGTTATTGGAGCTGATGTTAACATTGATTTTTTAATAGCGAAATAATATTGAGTGGAAATATGACAAATCAGTTGACATCTAGTTATATTGTAATTTCTATCCTGGAAATGTGTCAAGGACTTAGGTACATAAAGTAAATGAAAATGGGAAATAATAGCATTTACTGTTAATGCTTATTGAAATTGCATTAAAAAACTCCTGCAGAGAGTGGAATATGTACAGAAGCATACATATCCTTTTCCTGCAGTTTGGGAGGTAGGGCTGCGTCATGTTTCAGGCACCATGTAAAGTGTGCAGGTGAGCAGAAGACTTGCTGTTGATGGCTGAGATACTCAAAAATCAGATCTTTATTTTACCTTCCAAATTCTACTTTTTATTTCTTGAATCTAGCTTTGTTGTTGTTTATGATACACAGAACAGTAATATATAGCAACAGTTACTTCCAATTCAAAACCAATTTTCTATGTGCAGAGAATTCACTAAAGATATCTAAATCTTCATTACATCATGATACAAAGAATGAAGCAATTGCTTTAATGACAGAAGAGTCATGACAGCAGACTCAAAAATGTCCATAAAAAGGAGATAACTATTGGGGAAAATGTTTTTTCTCCTTTCACTTTTAAAAACAAAACTTATGCTCATGCATCAAAACCCCACAGTATTATTTCTGCCATAAAGTTGACTTTCTTATCAAGCTTTTATCCTGAATTGGTGTTCTTTTGCTTTAGGTGTAACAATGAAAATGAATGGTGTCAGATCCATGAAAACATCATTCGCAAGTCCAGCACCAAATACACAGCACCCAGCTCCAACTATGGTAAGTATTTACTTGTATACTTCTCTGGTAGTAAGAGCTGTAGATTTCCTTTTTGGAAACTTCTGATTATTCAGAATGCAGTATTTCAGTGACATGTGAGATTACACATAGCTGAATTTGTGTACCTACTGTGATGATTTAAATGTTGTTTAACCAAAATTTGTGTTCTAATTACAGATGTAAGCTTCCTTACCTTTGCCAATTTAACCAGGAATTATAATACGAACTTGATATCTTTCCTTTTCAGATACAGTTGAAAATAATACCGGTGTGATTTCAGCATGCTTAATTTTCTTCACCTTTTTATCTGTCGTGTTTAATTGTTCCAGAAGATCTCACCTGTGGAGAGAGCTAATGGCCTGCTACAGAATTAGCTCATGGTCTGTTGTAGTTATAGTATGTCTGTGCTTCTGAAAACTGCTAGCCCATGCTTGGATACAACGTTAGCAGCTATCAGCACTAGCAGAACTCCGCTGTGTCTTTGTGACACAGGCTGAGGTTGAGCAAACTTCACTGCTCAGGAAGAGAAGGATTAAAATTTATTCATTGGAATTTCCCTGAGTAAAACAATCTTCCTGTTCATCCTATGTTCCCTTGAAACTTCCAGGTATCGCACGTATCTACAGGTTGCTCTCCTGAGGATACAGTGCATTTGTGTGAATCAGGGTAAAACCAGATAGTAAATTTGTCTGTGGTACTTACCTCATTATGTAGAAAATTCTGTCTGACCCAAAATAAGTGGCATTTTCATACCTTCATTGTCACAAACACAAACATGGTAGTTTCAGTACTGAGTGTTCCATTACGTAGTTGAGAAGAATTAACTGCCTTGGCAGAGTGTTTACCACCTTTCGCATCTGCTTTTATTTTCCTGGTTAATGACAGATAAACATGGAAAGAATACATACATCTTTCACTCGTAACTTCATTAATAGTTTACTGATTTAAGGATGTAGTTGCTATTCCATTCCAAAAGAAGCTAGTGAATGAGATAGTGTTCTGCTTAGTTGCAGGTAGTTTTGCATTACTAGGTGAGGGTGTGATTCAGACAGGCACATGATATCCAAATACTATTATTGCCTTAGTGCCACTTATTTGCTTATTCAGATATTGTAGCAGAATATGCATTTCACAACCACATGAAGATGTTAAACATAACCAAAAAGCAAATAAAAGAGATTTGACTTTTGGGATTTGTAACATTCAAAGCTGATCTCCTTCCACGTTGTTCCTATTCCAGTGAAGTTTGTCTACCACTTATCTTTAAAATGTCCTGAATTGTGAACAACTTGGAAAACTTGGTCTGTTTGCATTAATTGCAACTGCCGGGTGCCTGCTGAAACATTCTTTTTTCAGATATGAGCATTTTTGAAGAGCAGAAGAAAAGGAAATAGATTTTTACTCTTGTCTTCATCTTTTTAAGATAATCATTTGAAACATATTAAGATCTAATGTATCTCTGGATCAAGAGTTTGAGGGTTGGCAGAAGTGCTGTCCCAGTGTGAGGGACAGTATTGCGGGCTGACATGATTTTAGCATAAGTAGTGTAATTTGGGCTTCTCATAACCTGTTCTTACAGTGCAGAAATGTTCAAATCACACTTGTGATTTGTGTCCTGAAAGCAAGCTCTGGTTGGTTCTCACCCTATCTCAGCAGCTCTTGCATAAGATTCATATCTGCTGCAGGGAATGGAAAAAAACTGGGAGTTTAAGCTGGATAGGAAAAGAGGACTGGAGTGCAGACTACCAGCCTCTTGGGGAGAAGCAGTAGGTAGGCAGAAGGATGCTGGAGTGTAGCATGTGGGAGGGTGTCAGAGAAGTGCTGTCTGTAATAATGTGCTGTAATATTACGTTCTCTATTTTTAGTGACTACCTCATATAGGTAATAGATCAACTTTGGTACTATTTGCTAACTACTAAAGGTATTGCATGTGGGCTGGATATTAGTGCTTTCAGTTTCCTAAAAGTGTGTTTAACGAAATGACTACATATTGTTTGCTAAGCCAATATATTCAGCTTAGAAAATAGCAGAATTAAAGATGGTTCGTGCAAGAATATGTATAAAAGGCAGTTTTTGCTTGTGTTGTTCCACACAGTGAGTAGAGAGGATAGAAAGAGCTATTGGCTATCTTTCACTGAATGAAATAAGGATTATGGAAAAATTACTACATGAATGTGATTCTCAGTGCTTTTTGTGCATGCTTGGCGGATGAGACTAAGTCTCCATGGCTGGTCTTAATGCTGGCATTTTCTGGCATCATAATGCTTCATTTTCTAACTTTACCAATACATAATTCTCATTTTATGGGTGTGGTATATCCTTTAAATTAAATGCTAATAGAGAGAGAAGTTAAACTAACTGTGCAGTTATTCCTAATGAAGCTATTTGGTTGATACACTGAACAAAGCGACATTGAAAGAGCTGGCTGCTGAGCATTTCTTGTTCTTGTTTTCTAAATTCATTTTTACCTGTTGGTTCTCATGAAATATGTTGAGATACAGAATTTCTCTGAATTCAATGTTCTTACATGAAGTAGGTCAAGAATCAAGTGGAACATTGCTATTAAAGACACTTCTGGGATGTCCTACAGGGTTGTGTGATGCAGTAGTTCACATAGAAGTGATGTTGCTCATATATGTGTAGTAATTCACTGTAGATGATGTATAGAAATAATGCTAAATACTTCAACTTGTGATGTTGTCACGGAATTAACTAGATCAGTTTATGCCCGTGACAGGGGGCAGTAGGCCCCTGCCCTCCCCACCCCCTGCCTGGGCCCACAAAATGGGAAGGAAGGGGGAAAAGGAAAAAAACAGCGGCAACAATCTATGGAGGTAAACTTATTTTACTAACTATGATATCGGAATGCAAGATAACACAATAGAATACAATCTAATTGAAATTGAGACTAATAAATCAAATAAGATATGAGAGAGAGTTCCCGAGACCAAGTCAAACCTGAAAAAGCTTGGAACGGCTAGGAAAGCACCCTCCAGCACCCACTGCCAGGCAGTAAGAGACCGCCCCCCCCGGAAGGGTCAGATCCCATGACTTCCGTCATGTATAGGGACAGGTACCTGGAATTGGAGCATTAACACTTTATTTCCAGTACATGATGTTTTGATGTGGAATATTGAAAATCAAATAAGCAAAAACCAAAACCATGACAGATGTGTCATTGAAATTGAGTATTCTGACTTTGAAAGCATTGTAGTTTATATAATATTATGCTCCTAACTGATCACTCAAAGCAGATTTGTTTCTGCCATTCCACTTCTAAGTGATTTCAAGGCAAAAAATAACTCTGAGTATTTGCATTAAATTTTATTAAATTAACCATAGATCAAAGCAGTTTTTTAGAAATCTAATTCTTAGGCCTAAAAAAAGAATATTTCTGTGTTTTTTTCAGGACTTATAATATCTCTTCAGCTTCTTCGTGGTGACATGGAGCAGGTTCGGAGGGAAAACCCCATGATCTTTAATAGAGGTGTTTCTGTTACCAGAAAGCTGGGTTTCCCCGATGTCATAATGCCAGGTAAGCATAACAGCTCTAATCTTAAAACATTGGTCATGTTTTTTTCATGTTCTCCTTAGACAACCATCAAAAAATACTTTTCTGGAAGAAGGTTAAAAATACAAGAGTTGTATTATTTGTCACTATGTGCCAATTGCAGATTCTGGGAGGCATGCTGAAACAGTTTAATCAGTGGACACTCAATATTCATATTGAAAGTTTGCCTAATTTCCTTTTCCTCATTTAAAAATCCCCCACGTAGACTAAGCATGGAAATGTTTATTTTAAAATGCATGAAGTTTCTTAATAGTAATCTAAAGCCTGACTGAAGAGTTTCTTCTACTTTGCCACCTTGATTTTTGGAGTTATTGTGATCCTTTTACCCTGGTGTATAGTACATGAGGCTGCAGATCTAGTCTGATTTTCCAGCTGATCTTACAGAGCTCCTAGTCCCTGCAACAGCTGCCTTGGCTGAGGCATTGCTGTGTTCCATTTACTCCTTGCTTCTGGAGCAGCAGCTTAAGACAGTTGTCTTTTTGGCATGAATTGAGGTAGGCACAGCATAGCCAAGAGTTCATTTAGAGAGGAAACTGGAACCTAGCCAGTCACACAATCATGGATACAAAACCTGGCATTAAACAGCCTTAATTTTTACAGTGTAATAAGAAATGGGCTTTCTAATTATGTTGCACGTGTAGCATTTGAAATACTACCTTATTGCTTTGCAATATAACAAGACCAAGGATGACTTTGCAGACATAAGAAATTTAATAATAGCATAATGGGAAAACTATCAGATTTTATTACTGGAAAGACTGCAGTGACACATTGGTATCAAAAGCAATTGTTGTAGCTTTACTGTGGAGGCTCTTGAGGAAGTGCAATAAAAACTGAGAATATGTGGGAAGAATTCTAGAATCCAAAGTATAAGGGTTTAGAACAGTATGTTTTTATTTACTAATGCTCTTGAAAGCAGCTGTAATATGGTCTTCCCTGTTCCTGCTGAAATGCTGCTGTAACTATTTGTAAAGCTAGAACTAGAAATGTAGTTCACAGGCCACCATATTGAAATAACCTGAAATTGGTGTCAGTTCAGTACTGCGGGTTATAAAGCCAATTAAAAATTTTAGTTCCTAGTGACCTTAAAGCAATCAAATAGAGAAAAGATTAAATATTGTGTGCAGATATGCAGACACTGCCTACATGATGGTCTGCTGCAATTGAGATGACATGTAGATGTCAGCTAAGAAAGCTAGAAGAGTCAGCATCAGAAACAATTTAACAAAAATTTACTTACCCAATTCTCGTGCAAGAATTGCACTTCTGTGTTTGTAGAACTGCCCCTCAGTTTCTTCAGACCATTTGATTTCAGCAAACTTAAAAAATGGCTTTGTAGCCTTGGTGTTCCCCCTAAGCCTGTTTCTGCAGCCTGCCATAGTGGGCCTGTCTTCCCTGTGCTTTTGCTTACTCATAGGGGGTGAGTAGGCAAGTTAGCATTGTTCTGGCAAAAGCTGTTCCTACCCTAAACTTCAGAGATCCTGTATCTAGTGAAGCTAATTACAATTTCCAAACCTAATTTCTCTTTGTAATTAAGAACACTAGAGAGAACACTGCTTCAGTGCAAAGGAGGTCAACCAAATTATAGATAAGTTGTTACGATCTTGATTATATTCAGCTGTGACACCTTGGACATTTAAGTAAATGAAAACAAGTTTCCAAAGCGAATGCCTGCAGTGCTCCCATCTGCGTATGTATGGTAGTGACATTCCCAGGTCTGGTCACCCAACAGCTTCTCAAGTTGCATCCCTCACAAAGACATTCTGTTAAGTTACTATTACTAGCTAGTGTCCTTTTTTTCTTTTTCTTTCTTTCTTTTTTTTCTTTCTGAGGAAATGACAATTTCTATTGGGGAGAACAGAGGGATTTTAAGATGATAAAATACTTGGAATTGGATACAACTGGGACAACTGAGAGAGACAGATTGGTCTGCTGAAATTACTAATACAACAAACATGAAAGGACTACCATTCTGCTATTAAATGCTTACAGCCCCTCTGAAGGTGCTGAATACCCAGAAGTTCTCAATTCAAAGGGGATGCAAAAGGTCCACACATACAGTCTTGATGCCAAGCTTCCAGGCATTTCTGTTTAGAGAAAAAAAAAAAAAGGCTTTAATTTGTAGAGAAAATGCAGTTTGTAAATGTGCTTTTGAATACCAGATAGAAAAGCCAAGGCAGTCATGGTGTGTGGACAGACTTTCACCACAATGACGAATGAGGATATTGCTAGAGTAGGGATGGGATGCAGAATGAGATAGTTGTGAACAGTGCTCTAAACAAAAAAAATTCATTGTCCTGGATATTCTTTAACTGAAAAATTAGGAGATTAAAATACAACGTAGCTGTGCTGATGCCGTTGATATTATTTGTTCTATTAAGTATGAATTGTGACGGCAGATATTTGCAGATCTTTATTTTTTAAAAACAAAAGATGAAACTGGTTTGAGTTTACATGATGGCTACGACAGAGCATTTGGATAAAGGAAGTTATCCTTCAGATGGGTTAGCAAAGCTAGGAGAATAAGGAATGACCGTCAACTCATGTTGTGTGCTTTGTGTCCACATCATTACAGCCAGAATGAGACTGATAGGACATACTACTGTAGTCTGGAATTAGAAAAGATATAATTTACAAAACAACCAGATGAAATCTTTTAGCAGTTCTCAGCCATGCCTGTTTCTTTAATTGTCTTTGTCAAACTTCCTTTTCCTTCCTTTGCTTCAGAACTGTTTCTTTCTCATGAAAGATGGGTTTTCCTACCTGGGAAGAGCACAGAAAGTGCACATAAAGATATGTATTTTGCAAGTGGATGCTGATTTTAAAACAGTGTGATTGAAAAATTATTTTCATGAAGCAATTAATAAAGGTTATGTCACCTAATACTGTCAAAATTTGCAACGGTAATTCTGCTGAACCAAGGAATGTATTTTCTTTAAAGCAAACAGAGCTGACATTTCAAATGAATCATCCTGGTGATGGGTTTTAACATCTTCATTTTCTTTTTTAATAGAAATTCCTTTCAAATACAGGCGTCTTAACCATTGTAATTCTGTAGCTGTGTCTCTCCACACAATTCTCCTACCCCATTTTTTAGCAGTAGCACTTGTTTCTGTATCAAGCTCATTTTTGCCTCACTCAGAAGAGCATCATGAGCGGACATCATTAAGAAATTAAGTTAAACCAGTCTTGATGTGCTTATATCTTGCATGGTTATGCAAGATATGCAATATATATATATATGTTAAAATATTTTGAAATAACCATGCCTGCCTTCGGTTTTAAGTATAAATTGTTCTTTGTTTCCTGTTGTGTTGTGACCTGAGAAGAGCATCATGAAGACTAATGCTCTTTTTGCCCAAATCAGAAGGGAATCAGTCAGCACAGACTCACAAAAAGGTGGTGGGTTTTTGTTCCATTTTGGTTTTTGGTTTTTATTCTTTTCTAAGTTGCCATTGGGTTGAAGAACGTCCGTCTGATCTGACAATTTTACCTTTCCCCAGAGATAAAAGCTCTGAGGCATGTGCTGCTTGCCTTTTGGATTGCAACTTTATTTGTATACAGAACTTGCTGATCAGAAATCTATTGCATAGGCATGGCGTTTGTCAGTTCCCTAAAGGACATCCCTTCCCTTCCCCATGTGCTGATAAGTATTCTGTCTTTTACTTTGATCCTCTGATGAAAAGTGCATGCTTCATCTTCTACTTGTGAGTGATGTTTCTTTCTCTTTTTTTTTTTTTCTCTCTCCTTGTCTTAATTTCCTGGCTTCTCTCTCTTTCCTTTCCTTTTATTGTCTCCCCTTTCTTTCTGATGCAGAGATGAAGATAGTTGGGTGTAAGTTTCTGCTTTTCTGTGTAATGTCTGCTTATTGCTTGCTTTTTCCCATTTTCATATCTTTCATGGAATGTTGGGGATTGGTAAAGGTAACAAATCATAACATTACAGAGAAATTTTAGTAACAGAGGCTTCGTCCTTCCTGTCTCTTCATACCGCAGGCCAGCTTAACACATAAAAAAGATTCATCAGTAGTAAAGGTGAGGAAAATCTCAGCATCTGCTCTCTCAGATGGCAGAAATACAGTGAGAATTGGACGTGGCAGCACTCATCAGCCATCCTCAGAATATTCAGGGTGATGAAATTGATGAGGCTGAAAGTTACAGTTATGTAATAATTACCCCCCAAAAGCTTTTACAAGGAGAATAAAGAACGTTTTTGTCATTAATCAACTGTCAGAAAATGGAAAGTAAAAAATATTAATTTGGAGGACATAACATTAAAAATTCAACTTACAGCTACTGGCAGGAAACTGTTCCAGACACATCACTGAATTTAAAAAAATCATATTGTTTTCCAGGCACAAAAGTGCAACAGTGGATATCAAATAATCTACTAAGCATTGTTTGTTCAGTTTTTAATTACAAGAATTGAAACAATTTGGGTGTTTTGTTCACCAAAAGCTAGAGGGTCACACAGAGTTGAACTTGCACAATGTTCCATTTATAGAGGGGGGGAAAAGTTTCCTTTGGTAGGTAGGCAGTCAGTAAAACCTGTGTTTCCCTTTACCAATACAGTGTTATTTCCAGTAATGTTAATAGTTGCATGCCATCAATACCTCAAGAATTTAGAAAGTTAATAAGTTACACTTAGAAGTGTTAGATTAAATACAGGCTGTTTCTGTACATGGTTATTACTTTGCTATTCAAGTCCTTAGTCTTCGAGTGGAAAACCTGCAAAACCCGAATAAATCATTCTTATCCTAACACAATTATTGTCCATTGGACTATTTAATGTTATAAAGTCTTGACAATTATTATTTGGAATGTGTACAATGTGTAAACACAAAACCAGTATTATGACTCTTACATTCTTTTCCACCTCTTGCTTAAAATAAAATAGTTTTGGGTGATAGGAGAAAGGACTTCACTTCAGTGTAAGCAAAGCCCACGCAGTTAATACTTAATGACCTGGTAATTTGAATACAAATTGTATATTTGACATGAGGCTTTCTAGTTAGATTTTAAAAGAACAGTAATAACCAAAACAAAACCCTCATAAAAGTGATGGGAAAATAAATGAAGGGCAGCATGAGACATCACAAAATAATTCTTGCTATTGTGAGAAGCGCTGTATGTCAAGACATTTCATAAAGATTTAATCTCAGGAACTGCGTATATAAAAACTGCATATATTTTGTGCTAAGGAGCAGTTCACATTCGGTTTTAAATTAAAAGCACTTGTTGAGGGATGGCCTTTAAAACTAATACCATTCTGAAAACTCACTGGCTGCTTCATTTCATCCTGACATTGAGTGTCCTCAGTTCAAGTGCCGCACACCGCTTGGAACCTACAAATGCTTTTGGCCCACTGGCCTCCTAGCACTCTTTCTTCCTGTGCTAATGACAGGAGGCCAACACTGACCCACTTTGATGACTGCACTGTTCTCCTAGTGAGGATGGGAGAGGCTGCTGAGATGCACACTGCCACACATGCTGCTTTTCTCCTAGAGTGTTGTCACTTCCAAGCCAGAACTGTTTACGTGGAGGTGTCTGCTTTATTAACGAGCCCTTTATTCCTCTCTTTTTCTATTTTAAGACAGAATTCACCAGGGGAAGAGCTCTCTGTGCCAGGGTTTTTGACTTGCTGTGTAGCTATTTTTTGATGTCAGAGCTGACAAGGATCTCTTGATTCTACTGATCACACTTCTTGTTTTGTCACATACGAGCTGCTGCGTCGTGCAATCTGCTTGTGCACTTGTGAGCTGCTGTGCAGAATATTGCCTCTAGCCTTGCAATTTGCATACTCAGAACAAAATGTCTGACACACTGCTCTGTGTCCAAGCATTTGCTCTGTTTTCTGTGGATCCCTTTACAGTATCTGAGCTCAGAAACATCAAGAGTGACAGCAGCAGCCAGGAGAAAAAAGCTAGCAAGGACATAGTAGGAGCTGAGGTTAAGTAACATGCTAGGAAGAGGGAATTCTTTGTAGAAAGGATTTTTTTATGGTTACACACTAACAAACTTAAGTCACTGAGTTTCTGGCTTTAACTCCAGACTTTGAAGAAGCAGATGAGCGTAGTGCCTGAGAGTAACAGCCTTCAGTCGTTTCTTACTTTGCATAATGGCCTTTTCTGGTTATTTCTAACATGCTATAAACTATTTTTACAAGAAAAGGTGCTCCATTACACTTCACTGAAGTACTTTTTCCCTTTTTTTCCTTCATTTTGATGCAAATCCACTGTTATCTCAATTCCTCTGCCACCCACCCCACAGGCATTATTTCAATTAGTGAAGTAATATCCCTCCTGGTAAGCTTAATGGAAGATTAGATGCTATATGTACACCGAACTCTGCATTTAATTTAGACTAGGAAACGATTTGCAATCTGACATCGGACTTCGTGTGGCATACCCTGTTCTGGAGAAGAGGCCATAAATAAGAATCTCCCAAATGCTAATTGTATGGGTACATTTAATTTCTATTAAGAATCACAGCATATAAATTGGATTCCTTCTTCCTCATCATGCATGCTGCTTAGAAAAAAGGCTGGAGGCTGTTAAGCAGGAGGAGTTTCAAAACAAAAGCCCTGACTTGAACTATCTTCAGCTGTGACTTTTACATTTCTTTGAAAGTCCTGTGGTCAACATATAGGTGGCTTGGCTGCACTTTAAACAGCAAGAAAAACACACAGATAATTTTCTCTGTACAGCGTTCCATGTGATGGCTGTTCTTTGATGAGAAAACCAGAGTGAATGCTGGAGGGCTTTCGTGATCCTCTCGCTGTCATCTTCCTCCCAGCAGTGAAGCACTGCAGTCTCGGAGGCCTCGCTGTGATTCATGTCCTGCTGCCCACCCTGTGAGCCCGCCCTGCCAGCAGGGCTCATGGCAGAAGGAGGGCATTTTGTAAACAGATTCCCATTCACAGGAGTGCTAGCAGAGAGCACCAAGTGGCAGCTACAGAGTGTACTTCTGTGCCTGAAATGTACTGCTCTCCAGGATAAAAATGATCATAAAGGCAAGCTTCTGTTGTTTGTCCCTTCAGTAGGATCTGGGGTGAATTTGGTGGGGTTAGAGACTTCAAGAAAAATTTGAAGTGCATCTCTGACCGACAGAAAGATGTCCCTTGTTGCCTGAAAGCATATGCTTCTTACTTCATAGTGCTTCTGATTAATAAACAGATTTAATGGCATCTGCTTCTCCGAGTACTGAGTTGGAAGAAATCAGGCATTGGAGGAGTCTCTGCTTTGCTGGATAACCATTCCACCACTTCATTTGTTAGTCTTTTGAGGCTGCTTAACAAAATCCTTGCCTTGAAAGGGTTTGATTTCTAGTTGTTTAAAATTTGTGTGTTTTTTCATACTGCCCTTTCGTACATTTCTCTTTGGGACAAATAAATTAGGAGTGAGAGGTCACAGAATGGAAGCAGTAACTAAATCTTAGGGAGAAGCAGGTGCTACCTGCCATCCTTTTGGTGAATGCTTTAGAACTGACTGCATTCCTTTTGAAAGCAGCATTTCCCAAACCAGATTCTTAGAACAAAATAAGAAGTGAACAAGACTGTTAAATTCAGGATAATGACAAACCTGAGAGAGCTGCCAGCATTTGTATTGCTGAGTGCAATCATTTGCTCTGAAAGCTCTTGAAGGTGAGGTCATGATAAACTGGCAACTATCCATACTGCCTGCTCTCTTACATTCTTGCATATGGACACCAGGGACTAGCCAGAAATCTAGCAGAAAAACCAATTAATAATTCCCTCTTAATCCATCTCAACTGAATTACAGCCAAGTTTCCAAAAAGGCTGCTTTTGTTTTCTTGTTACAATAAAAAGAAATTCACAGATCTACAAAATACTCAGAGAAGATTTAACTGAAATTAATTTTCTACCAATCACCACAAAAATACACATTTGTTTTTAAAATATATTGAAAATAGGAACTCTGACACTACCGATGTTTTCAGTTTTCTCCTGACAGCTTCATCACGTAACCAGGCAGAGTAGTGGAGGTTTTGTTTTCCCTTCTCTACTCACACACAGTAAAGCAGGTGTTGATTCCGAGTTCACACTTAATGAAGGCATTACTAACAACGGTCTGATTTTATGCATTGATATCAAAATGTTCATCTTTATTAACAATTAACTTGCTGCTTGGAATGATTTGGCATCAGCCATAGTCTTGCAGAACACAGGGTGGTTTTCAGAATCAACATAGGCTTCACACAGGTGCTGTGTCTCCCATGGTGAGTGTAGCCAAGTGCCTCCTGTCTTTCCCTACAGGTGATATACGCAATGATTTATACCTGACATTAGAAAAGGGAGACTTTGAAAGAGGTGGGAAAAGCGTGCAGAAGAACATTGAAGTGACCATGTATGTTCTGTATGCAGATGGAGAAATCTTGAAGGTAAGTGCTTGTTTCCTCTTCAAGTTTTGAGTGCCATCTGCTTGTTCCATGCACACGTGTTGTCTGTTTGTTCTCTGATGCCAGGGAAACTAAACTCAAACTACTTCTTAGTATTTTTGGTTTTGGCTAAGGTTTTAACCTATTACAATGAAAGAAGTGGTTGCTTACATGTAGTCCTGTTTACGAGTGGTCCTGTTTACAAGGGTAGGTAGTGACAGGACAAGGGGGAATGGTTTTAAACTGAGACAGGGGAGGTTTAGGTAGGCTATTAGGAGGTAGTTTTCCACACAGAGGGTGGTGAGGACTGGAACAGGTTGCCCAAGGAGGTTGTGGATGCCCCATCCTTGGAGGCATTCAGGGCCAGGCTGGATGTGGCTCTGGGCAGCTGTTTGGCAACCCTGCACATAGCAGGGGGTTGGAACCAGATGAGCATTGTGGTCCTTTTCAACCCAGGCCATTCTGTGATTCCCTGATGCGTATTTGAAAGAATTTGGAGCACTGCCCCATATGGGAATAGGCACTTAGGAGAAAATTTTTATAAACTGAAAAGCTTATATAATTTTTCAGTGTGACGTCAGTGGCTGTAGTAAAATTTAGAGTCGCTGTAATCAACGAAAGAGCAGAAAAGCATATGACGAATTTCTTAAGTCAAATAGTGTACGTGATAAAACAGGAATACAGGCAAGACCGTTGGAAGTGTGTTTAGTTGGTGTGTTGAGTGCTGTTTTGAAGGGCGCCTTGTTTGTAAGATCTTGGCTTTCACCATGGGAGGGCTTCATTCCAGTTGGGAACAGTGTTAATGTTTTTCTTTCTTTCTCTGTTCTTACTGTGGTGTTACTGAAGAGAAGAACAACAGGTAGATAGGTCAGCTTTGTGTGAGGTGGGAAAGAGTGAGGAAAGAGAAGAGAAAGTATTTTGACATAAATTTCTATGAGGAATGGAGGAGAAGCTGCATTTAAAATCATTGAATTAGAACTTCCCCTAGATTTTCTTTAACATCTGATGCAATAAAGCAGTCTTTGTAGCCATTCTCATAGAAGAGGATAAACTCCAAAGTACTTGTGTGTCTAACTCGTTGCCACAACCTGTTTTGGGAATTGAAAGAGAAACTTTTCTCTTATTAACATAATTTCTTGTGATTTGATTGAAAATTAAGTAAGGAACTCTCTTGTAAGGAACTGCTTTGTGCTCACAGCTGTTTCTGGAAGATCACAATCCTTTCCTGTTCAATTGCACTAGGCATACATTTCAAATTGAGTGTCGTATGTTTTTAATCATTGCTGTATTACAGAACAGTCTGCTGAAGACCATTGTAGGTCTTCATTCTCCCAAGTTCAGGATCAGCGTCTTGGAATGCCAACATTTTATAGACACTATCAACATAGTATCTAGACTTCCGTGTTTTCAGCTGTGTTTCTCACTGCAATACTGTTACCTTTTCCTTACCCTTCTCATTGTTCCAGCAGTACTTCAGGGCTGTGGGTGGGGCATGGCGCAGAGAAAAGAGGCGGTCAATCCAAATAAAAAAAAATCAGGTGAACATACTTTTTGTAATAGAGAGACTACACAGAAAGGATCTCCTGTGGATTCTCAATTTAAATAACTTATTTGCAAGAAAACCTTTGTACCGATTTTTGTATTGCTGCTCCTCAGTGTCGTGCCAGTCAAAGCAACTAAGATTTTATGGTTATGTCAGGGAGATCTGTGGTTCGTGAAGCCTATGATGCCTCAGATCAGTTGTGTTTCAAACATGCAATCATCAGAATTTTTTTTACGTAGGAAATAATAAGCTGGTGAATGTCTACTGAAAAACCAGTGAAAGTGCTATCAAGAACAGTAAAACCTGATCTCCTTCCCCTTAATTTGAACTCCTCACTGCGTAGCTACATTTCTGCTCTCTCTTACTGCAAAATAGACCTAGAAAAATAACATGAAACCAAATATTGGTTGAATTGAATATAGAGACATAATTCAAAGTTCTAAATGGCAGTTTGAAGGAAAAGTCATGTCTGCATGAGGCAAGGAAACAGCCACTTAGAACTGAGTTTGGAAACTAATCACGTATTATCTTTTTTCATTCATAGTTTCTACCTGATGCAAAAATTCTGTAAGTTCATCTCCCAGAGGTAAAGCAAATGAGACAGCCATCTGGAATTACTTTTGACTTAGTGGGTTATGTTACCTTAAGTGCCGATGTCCTTATGGAAGACAATTGATCCTATGAAACGCCTGTGACTTTTATTAGGATGTTCTAAATCTAGAAATGCCTTGAAGACTGTAAGGATTCTAGGTATCCACAGATATATAAAATGTAATACAGCCTTATTAGTCTGGGTTATTTTAGTATTTCACCTTTTATATTAAGAATTTAGTTTTAAACTCTAGACAGCTTATTTTTTCATTGTGAACACCTGGTTTGTAATCTGTGGTAGGATAAGATCAATCAGTGTGTTGGAACCTGCCATTTCCATTAGGAGGAGGCTAGTTTCACTCTAAGGCAGAATGTAAGTGTTCATAAATGGGGAGAGAAGCAGCTGCAAAGAGAGTGCTGAATGGGGAACCTTCATTTCAGTCATTCAGTGTAATCTAGAAGGAAATATTAAGACTGCAACAAGAGGAGTGCAATTTGAGCTTTTTAATATAAAAGATAAGAATAAAATTTGGTTGACTTAGCACTCAGTGCAGTACTGATAAGGTGAACTGCTTTGTTTGGGTTGTCTGACCACTGAATGATCTCTTGCATGACCCAAGACTGCATTCACATCCTTGTGAAGATATTTTCTGCCTTCCGTTTCATTTTTCTAATCACAGGGTTAATTTAATAACTTTCAGTTGGTAGCATGGTTGGGAAAGTAATAAAAAATCTCCAGTTGAAGCTTACAACTGCATGGGCAGTGCACTGAACACGTGATCGTTGACCCCAGCACACCACTTTCCTTGGCTGAATGCTGTTCCTGACATACAACATTTCTTAAACACTGCCAAAGAAGAAAGTGTGTGCTGAGTTACACCACATCGCGGGAATCATGGCTCTGTGAAGACTTCAGCAGAACCATACAAAGTGTTAGTAATAGTCTGTTTCAAATCCTTATTGCTCTTGAGTGTATCTTGGTTCAGAAATAGTCCTATTGAGAGCAGTTGAAGTAAGTCCCAAACAAGATGAGTGTTTTCTTTTCAGTGTGGTCTCGCCCAATTATTAGTATCCTTCAGTATATTCTGAAAAATAAAAGTCTTGACACATTTAGCACTTACTCTTCTTTCTGTTCTAGTAGAAAGAATATCTTGTTCATCGTGGGATGTAACTTAATTGATAACATTGTTATGCAGTCCTTATTCTGGTTTAGCCTATGCTCTCCAGTTCATCTCCATACATAGTTCTCAGGGTAACTGGGTGTACAGAGACTAGTTTCATGTCTGTATTTTGTGCATCACTTCACAGTTCAGGATTAAAGATAAATGCATAGACACTAAATTAACGACAGCAAAAGATCTTTACCTGTTCATTTACTGAGCATTTATAACATGGAAGAGCACTCAAAGACCAAGTACTTGCTAACCAAGGCTTGTAGTTTTTTGATACTGCAGAAAAGAGCTCAGATTAAAATTTGAGGTTTTCCTGTTCTTTCTGGAAGAAGTAGTACCTTACTTTCTCTTAAGAACATAATGCCAAATGAGCTTTTGGAATTGTTGTGTTGAGGCCCTGCAAGTTACACTTACCCAAAATGATTACCAGGAGCTTGAAGGTATTGTGAGCTTTTTCTCTGCCACCACTGCTAACCCTCCAACCTTTTCATGTGGGCACCAGTTAGATGTTTGTTGCTGTATTGAAAAACAAGCAAAATCCACTTTATGCCTGGATTGTGGCAAATAGCACGTATGATTTCTAAGACTTGAGAGCACTGAGTATTATGCCATGGTCTCTCAGTGAGGCTTAGAGCCTCTGCATTGAATCTCTGTCCAGAGGGGTTGTTCTTGCATTGAATCCCAGAATGGCAGTGAACTTTGCTTTCTTTTTGGGCTCCTTCGCAAATTCTTAGCTTTCTCAAAGCCAAAAGGATTTGCACTGACTGTGTTAATGGATCCGGTTAATGGGACATACTTGACTTGATAGTCTCTTGATTACACATGAAAAAAGAATCAACATGGACAGCATTCCCTAGAACAGAATTTAGAGATGCCTTCGGGAAGTGACCTGTAGTTCTTCTTGTTTTGATTCTATTCCACGTGGAGTGTTTTCAAATCAGAATTTATATTCCATGTGTTATTTTGGTCCTGCTTTGCTTCTGTTTCTTCCTTGGTTCATTATCCCCAGAGGTACTAAAAGTGAAGAATCTAAGTTGTCTTTTTTGTCTGCACAGTTTTATAAATGTCAGATCTTTTGTATCACTTTAATTGCTCAGACTGGAGTATGATTTCATGCTTTTAAAAGAAAATGTGCTCCCTGCTCAACGTCTTCATTACAAGGGAACTTTTACTGTCTTTATTTCAGGACTTTGTATTTCTCCTAACTTCCTTCACTCATGTTGTGACTGCCATATTTCCTAAATAAAATCAACTTAACGTTTTTTCTTCATCTCTATTTTGACAGATTAGTTAAGATCTCCGAACATTTTAGATATAAGATGGGAAATTTAGGTCATGATATTCTTAGGTGACAGCTACTTAACAGAAATTCTTTTCTTGCCACTGATGAATTAACTTAGATCAGAATGTTCTGGGATACTCAGTGAGTCCAGATGATGACAGTTATGAAAGACCAAAGTTTTTAAGATCCTGCAAAGTTCAGATATTGTTTCTGAACTGAGATACTGAAGGAGAAATTGGATCAAATGAGATTTTTATAGGTGTCTAATATTACATGATGATTCTATTAGGTCCTTTTCTGGACACGTGCTTGCTTGCTTGCTTATTTGAACTTATGTTTATTGTAACTGTCCCATCTTTGGTATAAAACACTACTTAAATAATGATTTTGCTAAAGAATAAATTAAGATACTGGAATTCATCTATTATTGTATGTCTCCTGTCTCTTCTTTGACCCAAAACACAGTTCAGAAATTTCTTCAAGAATTTCAGATTTCATTGTGTCTGATTTTCTGCTTCTGCTCTTCATCTACAAAAAGAGATGAATTATATAAAGATTTTCACCGTGTAATAAAATGACTTATCTGTAGTGATGTGCTGTCTTTTAATCTTAAATTGTGTTCTTTTTTCCAGGACTGCATCAGCCTGGGCTCAGGAGAGCCAAGCAGGAGCGCCTACCACTCTTTTGTCCTTTACCACAATAACAGCCCTCGATGGGGGGAAATCATCAAGCTGCCCATCCCCATTGACAGGTTTCGTGGGTCTCACCTCCGCTTTGAGTTCAGACATTGCTCCAGTGAGTGCAAAACTAAAGAAATCTAAAATGACTGAGGTCTTTCCATTGCCAGTTCATGCTTGAATGAGGCTGTTACTCCCTGGAAAGTAAGAAGTGGATGCCAGCTTTGACAGTGCACCTTTACTGCAGTTTGTTAGCCTGTTGCAATGTTCATTAAACAGCACAATCCCTGCAGGGCAGAACATTCTGTAGATATTCTCCCCTGCTGTTCTATTACAGTGTTTTTCTGTATAATGTTTTCTTTATAGCATGTACATTTTTATTTTGTTGTGATCAGCATGTTTGTATTTGGCGAGGCAGTTGTTACTACACAACCTTTACAGATTTCTTCCAAGCCAAACCATTCTGTGATTCTCTGATAAGTGTTGTTTGTTTTGAGGCTTGCTGATGACTTGCATAGAATTAAACTTAGTAGTGCGTTATATATTGATTCTTACATTACCTTCCTGCTTTTTGTTAGGAATGCAGTGGGTAACTTTGTGGAGTATGTGGACAGAGTATGAATGAATATGATTACTTACTTATATCTTGCTACAGCAAAAGACAAGGGAGAAAAGAAGCTCTTTGGGTTTGCATTCACTCCATTGATGAGAGATGATGGCACTACCTTGTCGGATGATATCCATGAGCTTTATGTTTATAAGGTACCACGTCTTCTCAACTATTCACCTCTGCTTCAATTTAAATGCAACTGTCATTGCGTTATCATTTTTTCCCACATTAAAAGAATTCAAAAATCTGAATTCACGTGACAGAGGTATGGAAACCTCCTTCTGTTGTAGATACAATTTGTTTTTTCTCATCAGATACTGATGATTTATCTTTTATTAATTCTGACTATTTGAAATTCAAACATACGAGTCTTCAAGCCTTCGGCAGTTTTACTAGCCCATACTATTATTGCATATTAAAAAATTGTGTTTCAGTGCCCAGAAGCTTCAAATGCACTGTTGCAGTGTTACATCTCAACAGTGCTGCAGCAAGACACTTTGGAGAGTTTTTGGGTGTTGGGTTTCTTTTGTTGTTTTTTTTTTGTATTTTTTCTTTCCACCATATTGATTTACCTTGGTTTATTTCTTCACTATGACTTTCAGACAGCAGCACTAAGTTGGAAGGTGCTGATAGGATCAAAACAGTCAGTAGTTAGGAGGTGACTTTTTTTTAAAAACTGAGTCTCCTCTGTGTACACACAAGCCCTGGAGGTGATAAGCACAGCTTTTCCTTACTAGTGTTTGTGTGCACCCAAAAGATCAATAGAAGTACTGCCAAGCAATTGCTATCAGGACGTGTGTGTGAAATAAAATAAATAGACCAGGTAACATTCCATCCCCTTTCCTGTGTCTGCAGTGTGATGAGAACAGCACGTTTAATAACCATGCGCTCTACCTGGGGCTGCCCTGCTGCAAAGAAGACTACAACGGCTGCCCCAATATTCCTTCCAGTCTCATTTTCCAGCGCAGTACCAAAGAGTCCTTTTCTGTTTCCACACAGCTTTCTTCTACCAAACTGACCCAGAATGGTAAGTAGCTGGTACTTCAGAATTGCTTATGGGCAGATTTGTGTGCTGTATTGACATGAGCAGAAACTATTGTTTGATTGTTGGACTGGGGTTTTATTTGGGTTGTTTTGGGTTTTTTGGTTTTGTTTTGTTTGTTTGTTTGTTTGTTTTTTAAGAAATACTGAGTAAGGGCAGAAAAATGACAGGCATTTCTGTAAGTGCACGACATGAGTAAACTGTTAAAACAAAGATAATTTTAATTAGATGATTAAAGAACAAAAAAAAAAAGTGGCACTTTGACACAATCCTAGAATTTGTTTTTTTGGCTCTTGCAGAACTACTAAGGAAACGAAAACTTGTTATAGCAAAGTTCCTGAGGCACAGGAAGGCAAAAAAATGTATTTTTCACAGTGCAGTGCTATAGGAAAGGTAGCAGTATTTTTACCGTTCTAAGACTTTTCAGTTCTTCCATCCTTTCTGTTAGTAATGTTGTTCTTACTGTTTGGTTTCCTTCTTGTTTTTCTTTCATTTTTTTAATTTTAAGATATGTGAGCTGCAACAAGAGCAGAACTGTAGCATAATGAATCTCAGTTGGGTCTGCAGTTGCCCTTCTGCCCTTTGTATATGGATTCTATCTCTTTCTCTCTTACTGTTCTGCAGTGGATTTGCTTGCCCTCTTGAAATGGAAAGCTTACCCCGATCGTGTGATGGATATTCTAGGAAGACTGAGACATGTCAGTGGCGAGGAAATTGTTAAGGTACTATATGTAATTAAATGTATCCAATGTCTTTGGATGTATCAGTGTTAATAAGCTAATTGATACCTGCAGTGCACATCTGATTGTTACTTCTTGCTATACTTTGTTTCATGCTGTCTCAAAGTGTACAAATAGGGATTTTTGTAATACGAAACTGAACACTCCAAAAACGAATGATATCCAATCCGCAGGATCAAACCTGCTGTAGTCCAAAGACAAATAACCTCATCCACCTGTACGGTGAGCATCATCCTCAGCACTCACAGTTCTGCTTTGTAGACCTGCCCCCACTGAGCCATGCTGTTTCCTAATGGGAACACAGCTCTGTTAGTGGTGTTTGGTGCAGGCTTTTCTGTTCCAGTTGTATTTTCAAAAAGGTATTCCCTGAAAACAGGAAACTGTGGTCATTTCTAGAGTGATGAAAACAGAGCTGACACAGAAGTCTTAGCTTTTGAAACAGCTAGTGGAATTGATCTGCGTTTCTGTTTTGAGAATATATTTGAAACCTCTGTGTAGAGGAAAAACAAATCTGAAACCTTGCAAGTTAAGTGCACCATCCTGCACTTCACTGTCCCAGAGCTGTGAAGTGGTGCTGTTGCACAGAGCACCGATGTCAAACATAAGTCCCATCATTTGATTAGGAGTTTATGCCACTTTGTTGTAACTCATTTAAATGTTGCCATATCTTAATTTTATCTTTCATGATAGCACGTGTAAAAATAACATGAGAGGATGATACCCAGTGTGTACTGAAATTACTGAAGAAGGTCATATTTAATACATTTGTTTGCAAAGCAGTACAAGTATTTGTTTTTTTATAGGGAAAATTTAAAAAAAAAAAAAAAAAGAAGAAGAAAATATTATTCCAAGAGGAAATGCAGTTGATTCCATCCCTTAGTTGGCTGCCATTTGGCATTGGGATATGAAGAACAGAATGCAATAATTCAGAAAGAAGAAATTTTATCTTCTCAGAGACATCATAAATTGTTGCGTTTTATTTCTTGTTCTCCACCTGATAAATGTAATTAAAATAGATTGCAAAATGATGAGGACAGAAGCAGCAGCTGACTGCACCTTCAGCATTCCTCTTCACAGTCGTTCTTTCTGAGAAAAGTAAAGGAAGTCACTGAGTTGTCAGCAGTGTTACAGATGGGAGAAACCATTGGCACTATGTAGCTTGAATCAATTAATGTTTGTTGTAAGAGCCGTAGTTTCATTCCTATAACAAAAGTTTTCAATACTAAGCATAATTTGGAGCACCATTTAATGTGCTGCCATGTCTTAAATTTGATGAGAATGGCATCCAATACACTCTGATGTTATGATAATTAAGCTACATTGTTTTGCCACCTATATAGCACTTACGTCAGCTCAGCTGACAGAGAAAGGAACACTCAGTTATATTTATGTGTAGTACGTATTTCTTATTTTTGTTCTCGTTTATCTGTTATTTTCATTTAGAAATATTGCTTGTGAAGGGAAAAATTCTTAGTAAAAACAAATGAAAATCTGTCTTATGCATGAACCTGAGATGGTTTGTCCTTGGGTTTACAAAGGCATCAACATGCGTGACATAATTCAAGCAGGGCATAGAGTTCTTATTTTGAATACAATTGAAACTTATTGTTCAATAATGTCATTTTAGTTCCTTCAAGACATTCTGGACACACTGTTTGTAGTTTTGGATGACAACACCGAGAAGTATGGCTTGCTGGTCTTTCAGTCTTTGGTAAGCTGATGAACTGTTGCTTTTCTTTATCTCATGGTCAGTGATTTTTAATTTATATACTAATTCCGGATGGCTTCAACCCGCAGTTGGGTTGGGAGCAGTATTCGCTATCACTTGGGAGAAGCATGCAATAACATCTCATAATGAAAGTATTGACTGTTTAAAGAAAATCATGTGTTTTGTTGTTCCGTTGTCTTGTTTATTATAGAACACTGTGCAGTTTCCTTCAGTGAGGGCTCACTGCTTCATCTCTTACAGGTGTTCATCATAAATCTGCTGCGTGACAGCAAGTATTTTCATTTTCGACCTGTGATGGACACTTACATTCAGAAGCACTTTGCAGGAGCACTGGCTTATAAGTAAGTTTTGTTTATCCATCACTTCAGGAGATGGTGTTAGAAGCCTTTGAATGATGTCACTAAGAGTCATAATGTTTGTGTTAGCAGAGGTTTTCAAAAATAGAACTATCTGGACAAAATTTTTCCAGCACAGTTTCAGAGAAAAGCTGCTCGTTGTATTGTTGCCAGAAACAAGCAGACGTTGATTTTTACTTTGCCTTTCTGAAGTGACAAATTCTATTTTCATTGTTTTATAAATGTCACTCAGCAACACCTCCTTGTCAATCTGTCAGCTAATGAGGTGCAAGAGTATATACATTTCTTGTCCAAGGACACTGGAATACAGGATGTGTGTGAAAGCTTGCAGAACTAATTGTCATTACTTCTTCCAAAATAGACAGGCGTTTATGTAAGGTGATGGTTTTCCATTTTATTAGAGTAAGTCTTTATTTCAGTGGATCAGAATCTTCATTTTCGCTGTTACTTTGAAGATTCTGCTTTATTTTCTAGTGTAATTTTTTGAGTTTTGCATCAAGCAACAAGACAGACATGATTAGGAAAGCAGTATGACTTACCATTCAGGGTTTTAGTTTTACTTACCAAAATACTGACAATGACAGGCAAAGAACTGTGGATAGTACACAACACTGGAAGGCGTTGTCATGTACAGAGGCTAAAAGGTGTTCTGCCTTGTATTAATAATCACTTTTTTCACTCTGATGCCTAGTAAATATGTTTTAAACACAGCTCTTTAAGGTAGTCCAAATGGTATTGTGCACTCCAGGAAGATGGTTCTTTGTGATCTTCGGTTTCTAAACACTGCTTACTTAGAGGAGGCCTGACATTTCATTACAAAAGGGTAGAGTATGTCTTGATCTCAATTTTGATAAAGGCAAGCAATATAGTTCTATCTTTAATAGTATCATTTGGTGGTTTTATAGTTTATGTCAATTACACGGAAGAAATTATTTTCTGGTTTAGAAATTTAAATAAATGCATATGTTGTGTAAAATTCAGTAGGTAGCACCACTGTCGCTGATGATTGGAGTGGACTGAAATTAGACTTTATTTTTAATAGATTTTTCCTTAGAACTAAAATGTTTGCTGCCTGACTAATTTTAAAATCGTATTGAAGCTGCTGTTGCTGCTGCCCCAGCAGCAACTTCACCTCCTTGGGCACCTTCTCACCATCCTCCCACAGGCTGATTAAGTAGGGATGAGAAAGAATGCTGCTAAAAATGTGTGAAATGAGTTAAGTGCAAGAGACAGGCTGTACAGTCGTATTTGCAACCACTTTAATGTCTGCTGTTGCAGAAGGCTATGCAAAAAGCAGGTTTGATCAAATTCTGAGCTGAACGATAAAGAAGTTGAAGGGGACAGCCTCTGAACAATGTGCACTGGTAAAGATCTATCCTGAAGCAATTGTGATTGAATATTATTTAAACTCGGCAGTGGTGGCTAATCTTCGTGTTACTGTTCTTTTTGCTGTTACATTCAGAGAACTGATCCGATGTTTGAAGTGGTACATGGACCGTTCAGCTGAGCTTGTACGCCAAGATCACATCCAGGAGGCAATGAGAGTATGTATGCATTAGAAATATTTATGTGTCCGTTTCATTTGTGAAGGGCTGAGGAAGCTGCAGATAAAATCAAGGGCTGTTTGTCGTTGGCATCTTACATGTTTAACTAAAGTTATTTTTTTATTGCCAAAAGTGTAATGTTAGGGGGAGATAGATTCACTCTTCTGCAGAAAACAGTGAAAGAACCAGATCTTCTTAAGTCTTTTTGAAGCCTTAAGGAGATTTAAGTGGGACTTCAGTGGCACATATATGCACGTGTTACATATATTTATGTCTACGCCTTGCACTTTAAGGAACAGTGATTTTAAATGTATTAGGAGAGGTGCCATAGATCAGAGGTACAGTTTCCATTTGTGGCTGTGACGTAGCTTCATTGTGTCACCAATGGAAGTTCTATCCTGTTTTAAGAAGCTGGAAATTCTACCATTTATCATTGGTTCCCTGACAAGAGTATGATGCTGAAAGAAGGCCCAACTTTCTAATGTTGTGTGAAGTCAAGGGAATAATTTTTATACTAATTACAGAGAATTCAGAGAATAAATGAAATATGTATTTTACTACAAGTAATTCTAAGAGAGAAAGAGAATGCACGTAAATACATGATTCCAAATTTTGCAGGAAAGTGTCTTTGAGTGATTGTCCATCTGTACCCTCTTACTGTAGGCAGGCTTACATTCAAACATTCTGAGTCTGGGTGCTTTTAAAACTAGAATCAGTGGCAGAGATTTTTTCTTTTTTTTTCACTTTTCTCACTTTTTCACGTCCCAAGTGAAGCGTGTCACAGGTGAAAAGCACACATGCACACACACATTGCTGCTTTAAGTTCTGGGAAAAGCATGGGAAAGTTAGAAGTTGTTTCTTGTGAATGTCTTTGTACTTGTGTCTTGGTATACATTTCAGATTTTATCACTGTTTTTCATTCCCTTTTGTGGTATTTTTATGCTTTGCTTTGCCTCCTTTGGTCTAATTTATTCAACATTTTTGAGAAAGTAATTTTTGTTTTTCGAGAATTTGAATGGTATAGCATCCCTACTTTTAACTGGCTGTCAGGATCTCCTGATCTTGATACTTAGAAGATGGACGATTTAGTAGTGGATTGTTAGAGTTTGGGTATATGGTGAGGTTGCAGTTGGACTTGATCTATAAGGTCTTTTCCAACCTGAGCAATTCAATTATGTGAACAGTATATTAGTTTTTACTTTGTCTTTTGTAGATATTTATGTATTTAGAAACTACTTACTTGTAATATTTTTCAACCACAGTTCCACAGGGAATAGTAAAAATGGGCCAAAGATGAATTTTCTTGAAATTCTGTTGGAATTCTCAGCTTTCTCATTCTGTTTGTTTCCATCCTCATTGCTCATTTTTTGGAATTGCAAAGGAATGTGTTAAAATAGTGAAGCAGGAGGCAGATCCCTAACTGGAATGGCTGAGAGAAGGCTTTCTTGCCCCCCAGACTATTCACTGGTATGCACTGCAGCAGATGCAGATGTATGATATTGTTCCTAAGTGAAATTTGTTGAACCTCATATTAATTCTCTTCAGCAACTGTGAAAGTATGACGTTAGAATGTCTTTCAGATGGTCAGTTATTCAACATGCTGTTTGAAAATACGTAAATTAATAAATTCTTTCAAGGATGCCAAAGCAGCTCTTTGCTTACTTGGAATCTGAAGTGTTTGCTTCGTCAGCAGCTGTCCTGTCAGTGAGTAGGGTCACTTAGAAGACCTGACAGCCCCTTTCCTAGCAATGAACAGCAGAAGTTCTTCAGACCTAACAGTGCATCCTCTACCACTGTGGTTGCTGCTACATTTTTAGGTGAACAGTTGGCTTCACAAGTAGATCTTGGAGGCTCAAGTTAAGGTCTTCATTTTCTTTCTTGATTCCCCATGGACATGACGGATATGCAGATATCTCATATGATTCTAATCCAGACCTTAGCGTCAACAAGCACTGCTCTAGACTATTTCATAAACGATTTTCCTTGCTCTAGACTTCTTCTCGGAGAACTTCTGTAAGACCTGGAATGTTCTGTGACACATAGGGACTTCTCTAGCTGTCCTAGAACACGTGGCATCATTTTCCTTGCTTATTGCCCATACCAAGTTCCGTGTAAGCTGCATCCAAATACACCTGCCTGTGCCTACGTGGAGAATTCTGTAGCAGGAGTCTCCATGGTTAGCCTCACAGATGGTTTTACCTTTCCTGCTAGACATGACAAAACTAGTGAAATGTCTCTAGGCAGTGCAGTTTCAACTTCTGGCATTTCCTGGTGGTGTAATCACACATGGCTTTGCCTATATCAAGGCATCCACTTAAAAAGCAAGATCTCAGATCTCAGGAAGTCTCATCTTCATATCCGTGTTCTGGAGCTGAACCATACCATTGCCACAAGGTTTTACATGAATCAGTGAAAAGAAAAAGGTCAGTGTTTGGCAGAGGCTCAAGCAATGTTGTACTTCCCAGCTGATTTCATGAAAACCCATATTTTTTGAGCAATGGCAGCCAGGGCGGTGAGGCATTCAGAACTATATTCTCAAACTGCCTTTTGAGACTGCAGAATTCTCCAGACTGTTTTCTTCACTCTGAATTTCCAAAAGAAATGTCAGTCTTTCCGGACTTACTCCTAATTATCTCATTCAGAAGTAATTACCTCATTGGTGATTTGTATTTTCTACAGTCTTGCTTTTTCTAAGAACAATAGAAAATTGTTAGGATGATTGCAGTCATTCCACCCTGTACAGCCTGCTTCTAGGACTTGCTCCTTCTTTTATTGTTAATGCTTTTCTAAACTTTGCCTCAAGTCTCTTACCTGCTCTCACAAGACTCTAATTGGTACCTCCACTTGAATCTCTGCGCTTTTTATCTTAGTAATGCAGAATAGATGCTTCCTGCACTTAAAGCAAGTACTCTGTTCGTTGCCAGGAGCAGGAAGAAGTTTGCTGGGTACTCTTGAACATGAAGTGGATGCCCATATAGACTACTGTATTTTAGTTTGGTGAATGAGCAGCATGCAGATATTCTTTTGTTTATTTGTAAGAAAGATGTTCATGTTTTCCACAAAAGCTCCAGTGAGTTTCCTTAAAGGCCAGCAAAACCAGGACATCCTTCTTTAGCTGATAATCTAGTTACTTACGGGATTTTAACTGAATGTTGGTGTCTTGTTTGGGGCTGTCCTTTGAGACTGCCTACATATTTATTTCCTTGTATTTTTAAAGGTGGCTTTTTGAAGATTACTTTTGTTCATTTTGGTTAGGACAGTGAAGACATTGAGAACTAATAATCATCTTTATATATGCTGTGTGTATGATAAGGACACCTGTTCTACATACTCCAGGTTATGTCCTAAAGTGATGTTTGGGTGTCTTGACTTAGGAAAGTCATCTGTGCTTTTTCTCGTAGCAAGTTTGGTTAAGGTTGATTCATCTGTGCATACTCTGAACATCAGGTATGCTTTGCCTTTGGAACTGAACAGGCTTTTCATCTCTATGGCAGATGAGTCCAGATGTGCTGTTGGACTGTTCGCTGGAGTATGCTACATTAAGGTCATCCAGTGGTGTTTGAGCATAGTACTTGAAAGCATAAGTGATTCTAGTGATGTCTGTGAAGAGTATTGTTATCTACTACACCTGTTGAAATTTATCCAACACTTTACCTGTATAATTACCTGTAGCAGCTTCCAAACGATGCTGTGTTTGTTAGAGTAGTCTTCTGCTTTTAGTTCTTCTGGAAGCTGAGCACCAGGTAATCCATGCAAGTTGAGGTGTGCTCTGCTGCGTTCACACGAGTGAACATGCATACGGAGAGTCCCTCAGAGAAGAAAGGAAGGTTACTCATCAGTAAGTAGAAATTGTTTGACATGTGTTATCTACATGCACATTTCTTTCCCCATTTCTCTTCCCTGCTGGAGCACCACTGGTAAAATTTGAGGATTATTTGGTTGAGAGGAAATGAGGTTATGATTGTGTTTATCATTTCAGTTTTTCATGGGATGGTACCATGAGACTTCAGACAGCTGATTGCGAGTAACAGATGCACACTCAGCTGCTGGAACCTCTTTTTCAAAGGAACTTTTTCTAATGTGATACTATTTTCCTTTTGACATCTCTCTTTTTATATTATCCTGAACATAATAGAAAGTTTGAATATCTTCAGTGCACTTCTACATGTTTAAGGGCCTGTGTGTGTCATATCTGGGGTTTTCTAAGTAGTAAAATGCAAAGTTAGTCCAAGTGCTGATGTGTGCTAACAGGGCTTGGTTTGTGCTTTTACCTCCTCAGCTGCCTGCGTGAATAGAGTGAACTCTTTGGTTGGTCGTTTTGGATTCACATTAGGCAGCAGTTTAGGTGTCTGTGCCAAGGCTGAAAGCCTGCCATTACACTTCCAACAAAGAATTACAGATTTGCAGACAAAAATCCTCTGATTTGTTGCAAAACAGTCTTCAAATTAAAGTCATGAGTTTTCACGTTTGAATTCTGGTTGTCTATACCAAGCCCATAAAACCTGTCAGATCTTGACTTGCCTTATTTTGTGTTAGCAGCAGAGTTGCTAACCTTAAAGAGCAGACTGCTGTGAACCAACTCACCTTTGTCTGGAAACAGACAGAAGTGTAAGGTGTTATTTCCTGCTGGAGTTCTTTGGAGTAAGGAAGCTACACTGGGAGATGCTCTACTGCAGAGATATAAGTAGAGTCCTGCCAGGTTACTGAAAAAATAGCTGTAATTATCACCAGGGTTTTGAAATCTGTGATGGATTTATGAAAGCTTTCTCATTTTCTGTCCTTAAAGCTGTAGCATTCTAAAGCTTAGAACGTGACATTGCATATAATACACAAATATGTATTATAGTGTGGTGGCTCAAGCATCTTATGGATGCAAAAAAATAAATGGGAGTAAAATTTGTCATTGGAATTACTTTAAGCTCCCAAACAATGAGGCAGGCAAGAATTATTTTGAGTCAGTGTAATAGCTCTAATGTTTCTTTATAAACTATGATTAGTGAATTGCAGGCTGGTTGTTTCCTGTGCTGAGTTCTGAGGATACATCAGACTATACATCTGTCTTCCTTAATGTTCTCTTAATGGTCTGTCACGTTAAGCACTGAGGGAAGAGTGAAGTCTAAATGTCACTGATATTTGGTGTGTTTCAGTGTGGACTGTTATATGTGCCAAATGATGGAAAAGGCATTCTGTCTGTGAGTGGAGTATGACATTGTCATCACAGCGTCTCTGAAGGCCTTTGATAGATTGGCAAGCTTGTTGCAGGCTGTATAGAACAATGTGTCATCGTTCCTTGACACAGGTGCCAAATAAAAGGAGCTCTAATAGCATTTACAGAGTTTTACCTAAAGGTGTTTAGGTTGCAAATTCAGACTTTCTAGACGTGTCATTGATCAAATTACCACTTTCCTACAAAAATATCCTCTTTGTCAATCCTCCAGGCTGCAGCATCTATATCACACATTGAGAGGGCTGCTCTGAAAGCAATGCCTTCTATTTTGTGATGGTGGCCCACAACATTAGAGGTGAATGTTGTTGGGTTGGCAGCAGAGGTTGAACCTTTCTGCCAGTACTCCATTATATTTTGTTGCTGAACAAGTGATGGTGGCAGAGGGGCACGCTGACAAAATGACATCTGATATGGAAGTGTGTATGAAGTAAAGACGCATCACTGAATTCATCCATACAGAAAAATATGGCACCTATTGACACTTGTTGAACATCCATGGGGACCATACAGTGGGGATGTGAGCACAGTTGTGTTTCAGCAGTGGTGACAGTGACAGTGCTCACCTGTACCTCTGCAGACTTTTATGAGCTCTTGTTCATTGCTAGCAGAAATGCACAGTTAATGGTGGTGGCTGTGTTGAAAAATAGTGTTTTGTAGCTGAAAGTTTGCTCTATCAAATAGTGTTACTGTGTTCCTTATACCTGTGTCACAGAGTTAACTAGATCAATCTATGCCCGTGACAGGGGGCAGTAGGCCCCTGCCCCCCCACCATCTTGGCCCCACAAAATGGGAAGGAAGGAAGGAAGGAAGGGAGGAAAAAAAACAGCGGCAACAATCTATGGAGGAAAACTTATTTTACTAACTATGATATTGGAATGCAAGATAATATAATATAATCTAATTGAAATTGAGACTAATAAATCAAATAAGCTATGAGAGAGAGTTCTTGAGACCGAGTCAAACCTGAAAAGCTTGGAACGGCTAGGAAAGCACCTCCAGCACCCACTGCCAGGCAGTAAGAGACTGCCCCACCTGGAAGGGTCAGATCTCATGACTTCTGTAATGTATAGGGACAGGTACCTGGAATTGGAGCATTAACACTTTATTTCCAGTACATGATGTTTTTATGTGGAATACTGAAAACCAAAAAACATAAAACCATGACAACCTGTTATTGTTTCCATAGAGATAAATGGGAAGCGTTACTTTTGGAGCAACCTATGCATGTTGGTGTTAAATACCACGTTCTGTGCAGGTTGTTCCTCTGGTGGGTGCTCTTCATGATCATGAGATGATAAAAGGAAGGCTCATGAAGTTACCCCAGCTGGAAATAAAAAGATGTGTACATAGTGTAGCAAAGCTGCTGCTGGCTACTGCTGTGGGCTTCTTGTGCCACGCTTGTTTTCTGTTTGTGTCTGCACTCACTTCTGTCTGTACCTGTGGCTGTCAGAAATAAAGGCAGACCTTGCTGTTGTGTTCCTATTGAAAGGCAGACAGTTCTTTATCCAGGTAACCCTTTTTCTGTTCCACTGACCGGCCACTTATCTTAACCCAGATCAGCAAACTCAAGTAATTAAAGGTAAAATGTGAATGAAGACAGGAAAACAGCTTCTTCAGATACAGTCCCTATGCCAAGTCATTAGCAAACTGTAAATCTCTTGTCTTCACCAAAATCTTCCTCAGACTGTGTAAACTGACTTTATCTACTTGAATTAAATGCATGCTTATTTTTTGTTGTTATTAGTGAGGCATTCTTGCCACAGAGATTATTGAGTATGAATGCTTGTGTATGAGAAGTGCTTCTTTAACTGAATTATAAAACTTAATAGAACCTGTTTTTCTTTTTCTTTTTTAAAACTGAAGAATTATGCTCCTTTCCTGGTTCTCTTTAAAGCTCCTGTATTTTTCTTTCTCTCAATCTTAATTTCCTCCCTCTCCTGCTCCCTAAGGCCTTGGAATATCTTTTCAAGTTCATTGTCCAATCTCGGATCCTTTACTCCAGAGCTACGTGCGGAATGGAGGAGGAGCAGTTCCGCTCCAGCATCCAAGAGCTTTTCCAGTCCATCAGATTTGTGCTCAGCTTGGACAGCAGGAGTTCTGAGACTCTCATCTTCACACAGGTTTGCTATTTTCTACACTTTAACTGACGAGCCAAAGGGCAGCTATTTTCTGCCATGATAGTATATGGGCGTGTGACAGTTGAGTGCAGATTAGTATAGTGTTCTTGCTCTAAGAATGTGATGATACTGAAAAGCAGCGTAGTCAGTCTTACTAGAGAGTGTCTTTGCACCACGTCAGTTACAGGTGCTGAACTGTGGAGTCTCAAGAGGAAAACAACTCATCACGTGATAATTCAATTTCTCCTCTTCACAAAAGTAAAATATATTGCCAAGTCTCCCATGTGTCTTACATTTGTCCTAAAGGAATTCTAAATCCTTGGTTACAGGAGCTCACGTTGAAAATAGAGGTCACAGCAACACTGCTGTGGAGGAGTTCAATTGATGCACTCTCAATCTGGAAAATTTAATTCCAGCATAGTCTAACATTAGTTAGAATGGCATTCAGCCTGACTGCAGCAGGCTGTGATACCTACGCTCTCATTTAATACGTTATTTTAAATGTGGCCCAGATGAATTCACTGTCACTTCTGTGGGCTACAGATACCACCCAAAGTGAGTGAGGATTTTGCAATATCTGATTTCATATTTGAAAGAGCACTGTGCTAAATGACATACTTCTGTGTTTAAAAGATCTGAATAATAATGTTAAATATAATGTGTATGCCTCCGCTCAGGAAATCTCAGAGATGGATCACCTAGAACGTCCTGGTAATATGAAGGTGATTTGTAATTACTAATTTATGATTTGCAGATGTTTTGAACACCTACTGAAACCTGTCAAAGCAGCATTTGCTGTGAATGTCACAACAAAACAGAGTGACTCCAGTGGTTAGGGAAGCTGCCAGCAGCGTGATCTCTTTCTTAAGGTGTTCTGCAAGGTTTTGAGAAGAGTTGCTCTACTCTTTTATTTAATCACTCATTAATGGGTATAATGAAATGACAAATCTCATGAGAAGCATGAGAAATCAGTGCACAGATTCTTTCAGACGGTGAGTGGGAACAGCATCTGGTGAACACAGGATGTTTAGGTTGGGTTTGTTTGGTTTCTAGTTGGAGTGATCACAGGTACAGAGAGAAACTAGATTTGAGGATGGGGTTATTTTCCCTTTCTCTCTGCTTTTTTTTTTTTTTTCTTACCATCTCTGCTCTAGACTTTTGTAATTTGGAAAGTTTGTCCTTGTTTAATCTTTGAAAAGTTTACTGTTTTGTTTTCCCCGTGCCACTGTGTTGCCCTTTGATCCCAATTGCCCCATAGGCCTCTCAGCCTGGAGGTCAGGTGAGCGGAGCTGGGACATGTGCTCCACAAAAAAGTGGTGGCACTTCAAGGCCGACATTTAATTTTGTAAGTAATGATCCTCAAAACTGCTCAAGTATTTCATCATGGATGTTCCCAGTGAATCCTCCTTCCTTATCCCAATCCATCTTTTCCTGCATATAAACTGAAATTTAATGTCTAAGTGGCTGGTGCTTTAGAACTAGGAAATGTGGAATATTTCAGTAATTGATAGAACAGCTGATAGCATTAGCACTTCAGAAATACACTGTTGAGGGCATATGCAAGACTGCATAAATCACATTGTTTAGGCAAACCGAGGAGATAATATATGAGTTTCAGAAACTTGGACAACTGTTACACAGAAATGTTTGAGGCCTCAGTAAATACAATTTCCTTCACATTTCTTTTATCCAGGATATTAGATCTCAGTGCAGCCTTTTTCAGCAGTGAGATAAAAACTGCTCCTTACTTCCAGGCAAGTAGTTTGACAAGAATAATGCTCTGGAACACTTTAAGTTCTTACACTGGAAAGGGCCCTTCCAGGAACTGCTGCAGCAATACAGCTGTTCTCAAGACAGATCCAAAGCTTCCTGAAGAGATCCCATGCGTCTCCTTAGATTGCTACTGGAAATTCTTGATGGCCACAGCAATCTTTCTGCATCATAGTAATAGAAATAAGTTAAGGAAAACTCCTGTAATAATTTGTTGGGGCAGTATTGTAATTCTGTTTGCATTATCCTAAAGATAACGATGATTAATGGATTTGCAGCTGTTACAGCCTTCCAAAGTACCATGAACTATTTAAATGATTCATATTTGTTTATTTTGTTAGTACATTGTATCTATGTAGCAACAAATAGGTGACAACACCCAGGAGGCTATATGGGTTTTTGTGTAATCTGAATTGAGTGTAACAAGACAAGATGTTGAGAGAGATAACAAGCACGAAGAAGAAAGAGGTAAATTTATATTCAGAATAATTTAATGGGCTCTTCAGTGTTTGCCAAGTTAGTTATAAACATAACTTACACTTTGCTCAGAGACTATTAAATGCATAGAGCTGTTTGAAGGAAAAGATGCTTAGAAAAAAGACACAGCAAAAAGGAAGCTGTCTGTTATATGAGATTAGAAGAGGCGTTCCGAGTGTTAGAGCCGCCATGAAAGATGCTCAGAAGTGTTTATGGAATGAGGGAACAGAGAAATCTATGAGGAGAAGATCTTGCAGAATAGAAGAAAATGATGATAGGTGGTAAGATTCAGGTGGGGTGAAGCTGAACAGAAATCTTCTACAAATCCTAGTACATTTGAACTTCTGCAGGATGGCAGTGTGGGTTGTGTGAACAGCTTCAAAAAAATGAGGGGAAAACAGCAAGTAAGTGTGCACAGTGGTGGCAGCTGGAAGTAGGACAGCAAAATCAGAATCTTCCATTTGGGAAGAGTTCTTCACTGGAGAAGGTTAGTCAGGCATTGGGGTAGGCTGCACAGGGTGAAGTCTCCAGCACTGGAGGTGTTCAGGAGATGTGTGAACGTGGCACATGTCCCTCAGTGCCAGGATTGGTGGTGGTATCCAGTAGGTCAGGCTGGTGGTTGGATTTGGTGATCTTGAAGGTCTTTTCCAACCAAGAAGATTGTGTGAAAACCAGTCTTTGCAGTAACCATCATGGATCTGTATTAGCTTTAAGGAAGAAAATGGGGATGGCTTTTGGGTAGCACATAACGAAAGGAGGAGAAGAAGTGTAAAATTTTGGAGTTATGGCACCAAGTCTGTGGAATTTGAGAGTAGGGGATTAATTGAAGAGATGTGAAACAACAGATGAAGAATTTGTGGTGTGTTGTGGTGATACTGTTTCTGCACTCCCATTGGTTGGATAGCTCCAGCTTACTGGAAGTATCCATTATTGCAAGAATCACATGCACACTCACTTGCATGATGTGTTGCCTCTTTCACATGAAGTTGCACCTTATCCCTGTTATAGAGATACTGTAATATCACATGACAGTTATTGCCATGGTTAAGGGTCTGTCAACATGTTCTTCAGAATATTTTCTGAAGAGCTTTAATTGGCTTTTGTAGTTCCTCAGTACAAAAAGTCAATATTGAGTTAATGTAATCAGAAGCGCTTTTTTATATTTATTCAAAAAATATAAACATGCAAAAAATTTACTATTTTCTATTCTTCTATACCTTTCTCTGTTTTATAAGCTATAATCTAAAATATGGCCTTTCGAAGTTCTACAGGAACTGTGCTCAACTTACCATACGACTTAGTATTGCAACTGAACTTGATTTTTATATACTACTAGTGATTTGGTCACTATGAACTTGAGGTACTGCAAAACATTAACTCCAGCCATAGTTCACTACGTAGTAGCTTTTTCCAGACCCTTAATTCAATTTTACTGTTGTTTCTATTTCACTGCCTTTAGCTGCACTTAAAGAGTTCAGAATTCTGAACTTTTTTGTTTGCTTTTTACAGGCTGCTTTGCTGAACTCCTTCCCCGCTATCTTTGATGAGCTGTTGCAGATGTTCACTGTGCAGGAAGTAGCAGAGTTTGTGAGGGGCACCCTGGGCAGCATGCCCAGTACGGTGCACATCGGGCAGTCAATGGACGTCGTTAAGCTGCAGTCCATTGCACGCACTGTCGACAGCCGCCTGTTCTCCTTCTCAGGTAAGATGGTGGGATGAAGCCAAGGTTGGCTCTTAAGTAAGAGTAAGAAGACATTCCATAGAGTTTGCTGTTGCTTTGTTGTAGACAGTTCATTACTGAGAGCTAATAAACTTGGTAATTATTTGTCTATGCAGCAACATTGTTACATATCTTCATCGGGTATTGCTTTGTTTTTCTGTGCTAGGAAACATGAATAAATACATTGTAGATAAGTTGTATTACTGAAGTCTGATAAAATTCTGTACCTTAACAAATCTCATTTCATACATTATATTACTCTTTAATTGTTTACTGCTTTAGTTCCAAAGACATAGATAGGAAGGTTAATCTACTTTCTAGCAAGCTAATTGCATGAGAAAGAAACAGGAAGACAATTACAAGAGAAGTCCACCATTCTTTTAAAGTGTATTTAATCTTTACATGGTAACTATCATGCTTGTATAAATCAACATATTAGTAATTCTTTGTGACAGATTAAATGATTAAGGGCTGAAGATTGAGTTTATTTCAAATGAATGAAATTATGAATGTAATAGAAGAAGATTAAAAAAAAAAAAAAAAAGAAAAAAAATAGGGCTTATCTACCCTAATCAGAAGTTAGTGCACTCAGTACTCATCTCCCAGGTCAGCAATCTCCCATGTCCTTACTATCTCTCAAAATATGATTCTAGTTGCCAGACATCTTTTACCTGCCAACCCTGCCTACTCTTCCAATCTTGCAATTAAAGGAAGGTCCATTCTCTTTTTCTTGGCTCTTTTCCCTTCCATCTCTCCTATCAGTTCCTTGCCATCCTCCCACTTTTTTCCCTATTTTTTTCTGTTTTGGCTTCTGTCTTCAGCAGCTGCTGCCTGCTCTCCCTCGTTAAATACAGTTCAGGTTGGTAAGCCAGGTAAATGAGAAAAATCAGCCAGTTTCCAGGAGGCATATATTTGAGAAGCTCTCTTAGCTGTGACAACAGAGCTGAAAAGTACCTTGAAGTGAGGAAGGAGTCTGAACAATAGGAAATCAAGGTCTGCACGTATCAGTTCACAAATGCTGCTTTCAAGCTGGAACAATATTGAAGAGTTTGTGTATTCTGCATTTACAAACTTTTGTAATGAGACGTACTATTAGTTCTTTATATACAGTTCTTGGAAGTGTGTTCTGCTGCAATCTATATGATAGAATTTGCACCAATTAATTAAATATGCTATTTATCAGCAAACAAGTTTGGATACCTAAAGGCTACTGAATGAAGATAATTGAAATTCAGGTCTCTTTTATAAGAACTATGATCTTGTTTTCCTTCTTTCAGAGTCCCGACGCATCCTGCTTCCAGTGGTTCTTCACCACATTCACCTTCACCTACGACAGCAGAAGGAACTTCTCATCTGCTCTGGGATTCTGAGTAGTATCTTCTCCATAATCAAGACCAGTTCTTTGGTAATCTGCTCCTTGACTTTCCAATTCCATCACTCACTTAAATTGAAGGCTGAGCAAGTTGTGTCAGTTAATAGAGATTTTGCAAAGATTCTTCTGAAAATGAATTTCTGCTAGTTTTCTGTCAGCAAAAGAACATTTGTAATCTGTGTCTGCTTTTGTATGTGTGACTCAAAGCATTCTGACTACATGATGTTCTTGCTGTTAGGAGAGGAAAAAAAGTATATTCATTTACCTGATTTGACACAGTTTAATTTTCCTTATCCAAACCCAGAACTTAGATGTCAGTGAAGTTCAAAAGCCCTACGCAGCTCTAGGACTTGTAGTTCTGCAAGGGACAGTAACTAGCAATTTATGATTCATGTTAAGTGAATACTCTAAAATTATCCAATCAATGCAATCACACATACTTCTAGAAATTGCTGCTGAGTTTAAACACCCTGCTTTGATGATCATATAATACTCTGATCCAAACGATAACTTGATCATTTAAAGCAGTGCTCACAAACAGAGGGTGGTGAAGTTTCCCCACCTGACTCTAAAGGAGGAAGCTCATAGTGCTAAATATAAGTTGTACCTGTGAGTACTTCTAATAACAAGTTACTGCTTTGTGTGAAAGGAATGAAATGAAAGGTATCGGGGTAATAAGCTAAATTAATGCTGCCATAGAATAAAGAGCACTGAACATAATCTGACCCCGTTGTGTTCTAGAATGTATGCAGATCTTTGATTATAGATTTACCTTTACATCCCTGACCCTGAATGTTTCTATGAGAGGGAGGAGGTAACGTGCTGGCATCACAACAGTATCTGGTACCCATATTGAATTTGTTTGTACTTCTTTGAACCTCCACTGTGGAGGTCTCTACCAAAGCGCGTGTTTGTGGTATGGCTGGCTCAAAGAATTCTCTGCCAGTCTTCTCCGGTCTCTAACTGTCTGTTTGTTCACCACTTACTGTAGGAGGGAGATGTCGTGGAGGAGGTTGAGATGATGGTGGAAAGCCTCCTGGATGTCCTTTTACAAACTCTGCTAACAATCATGAGTAAATCGCAGTCTCAGGAGGCGGTAAGAGGGCAGCGTTGCCCGCAGTGCACAGCAGAAATCACTGTTAGTAACTAACAATCAGTTTCTATTACCTGCTTCTCTCTAACCTTTGGTTCAGTCCCTCACCACCACCTGCACCTCATTATCATCTCTCCTGCATGTATGCCCAAGGCTTTGTCTCTTTCCCTTAGTAAGTCACTGATCCATTCCTTCCTCTGTGCTAGTGATGTCTGCGAGGAGCAGTAGGACTAAAGGAGGCTCTTGTGGATTTCCAGGTTATTTTCTTGTTTATCTTTTCAGCTCTGATTGAGAATTAGTGATTAGAACATGGGGCATATGCTAACTGGGTTGCTGCCCGGGGCTTCCTCCCTGAATGGGCTTCGGACTCTGATTCCTAAGGCTGAGAATACCATAATTCCAAGTGGGCAAGTCCCTTAGCACCACCCTGGAGATCTTTCTTTCATGTTCACAACGTACAGCTAGGGAAGGAATTCTTTTCCTAAACATGTAGTGAATCAGGAGAAAAAGAACAGAAATGCTGATAAGCTTTTCTGGATTCATTGCCCTTGCTAGTTTAGCCTATTCTAGTCTATTTGGTAGAATCTCTAACACAGCTTTTGCACGATGTGTGATGTTAAGCTGTTTTACAGGACATCTCTTTTCTAGTCTTGCTCTTTTGTTAAATGGCTGAAACCTCAGAGGCAGGCAAACACTAAGGCACATTTTTCACACGAGTGAAAAGATGATATCTTTCTATTTTATAGAAAGAGTGAAGAAAAATCCTGATAAAGAACAAGACATTTAATAGATTGTACAGCATCCAGTGACATCTCATCTTCCTTTGACTTCTGCTTTTTTACTTAATGTTATTTATCACATGTTCCATACATGCAAGAGTGTGCCTTTTTTCCTAATGAAGTTCAGCCCTGTAAAAGTTCACCCCATGTCAAAGCTTCCAGGCAGATGCTTGAGCATCTATTGATTTAAGAATCAGTAAAAGTGAAGAGGAAAATTCCAAGTTCAGAATACCCCCATATTTGTTCCTGAGTTTGTATTTGACAGCACGGCAGTAGGTGTAGTCTTTTTTAGATATCGGTTAGAAAGCAGCTTGCATGTTTCACAGGGAGTGGCAGTTAGAAGACATACTCCTTACTTTCTTGCCATTGCCATACTCAGTATCTTGGACAAATTGCTTAACTTCTCTGTGCTTTACTTTCAGATTTGTAAAATGGGGGAGCCCATCTTTGGAAAACACTTTGGGATACTGTGGTAACTGGTCAGGGTGCATCTGCTTTGCAGGCCAGAAATGTAATTGTGACTCATATAGGCTTACCCAAACTACATTCAGAGTATCTTAATTGGAATACTGTTAATATTGTAGCTATTGACAGCAGGTAGCTTGGTGAGCAGTAATAAGCCAAATATTTACAAGATTCCAACACCTTTGGTAGCCTGTACTGATCCTGTGCTGTTATCACTATGCTGTTTTCAGTATCTCAGCAAATTTGTTTAAATTATTCCTGGTACGCCCGCATGTGTAGCAGTCACACCTTTGTTAGGCACGTAACTGAGAAGGTGATTGTCAAGAACTGCATGCTTGGAGAGAAATTCTTTAATGTCTTTATTAATGATTTTAAATGGTTTTTGTTTAGACTACAACATTTGTTAAAATCCATGTAAAAACAGCAGCTGTGGTAGGTCTCTAAGAGATGTATTCCTGAATATTAAGAGTCATTCCAGAACTACATGCAGTATTTTTAATCTATGTGCATGATAGCTTTCCCTCTCATAGGCATTGGGGCCATTTCAGACTCCTCCCTTTATACCTTACTCTGAGTTGAGTTTTGTATGCACAAAATTTCAGATTGTCTGATCTAAAGAATTTCTCATTTGGTCAACAGGGAGAATACGTGTCCTGTCTTTTATCTTTGCTTCGTCAGATGTCAGACACTCATTTCCAGCACTTACTGGACAACTTCCAAAGCAAGGATGAACTAAAGGTACAGCAGAACATGATGTTTGTAGGGTCATTCGCTCAGAATGAGAAAGCAGAGGGAATCTCTCAGGCTTTACTTGCTCTGCTAATCATTCCCATTCTCTGGCACTCTGGTTTTATAAACCTTCCTTTCCCTCTTATGATAATAGATGTTGTGGCAAAAGAATGTTTCAAACCTGTTTTGGGGTACAGATGTCTCTAGCAAATGGAAATGGAACCTTTCTTGGAAAAGCAGCAATCTTGCTACTTGACTTTATGCACTCTTCCCAAATTTGTGACCATTAGCTTCAGTTATGGTTTTTGATGACTATCAAAAGGGGCACAGACCTCTCAGGTGGCTTTTTTATCACTGTCATTTTGAAATGGCACCTCTCAAAACAACAGAGACCAACTTTTTGTCTCATCTTCTTAGGAAAGAGGAATATCTCAGACAACAGAAGCAGAATAGCTTTATTTATAAAGATAAGATTTTATATGGCTGCTTTTGATTAACATGGCACTTAATAAAATAGAGACAATGAGAAGAGTGAGATGTGGCAGGAACTTACGTTGCCTTAACAACTGTAAAGGAGAAGCAGTAAGAAGTCCTTCCTGAATAGTCTTTCTAGATCATATGCATACAGAGAGGCTGAATAAATCAGGAAGATAAATTTGTGATAGAGAAATTCTTGCCTCCTGGTAGCAGGATTCAGTGTATCTCAGGTTGATAGTTACTTATTACCTTTCAGATAATTGAATTGCTCATAGGAAAATGATTTGATAAATTAAATCATATTAATTCTAATTAAATATATTTTTTAAACTATCTAAACTATCGTTCTTATGTTAGGCCAACACAAAGATTTGTGGTTGAATTAAAATTTGTCCTTATAGCCATAAGAATGAATACTAAGGAAATGCTCAGCAGCGTGACAGGCTGAAGGTATTATCCCAATTTTTTTTTTTTCCAGCTATCAGTTCATCTAATAAAATGCGTTACCTCCTTTCCTTTTCCTTCAGGTATTGTCCTCTTACCACTGCCATGCCTATCAAAATAGGTGGCTTTACTTTCAGAGCAGCCCTCGCACATTATATTCATAGGGAAGATTTTTGTCTCGCTGTAAAAGTTAAGATTTAAACAGCTGCAACCCAATCAGTACATATTAGATGCAAATAAAGCAATATTTGTATTTGTTGTTACCATGTTTTCACATAGATGACCTGGTGCTCAAATGGAGCATGCTGAGCTGAAGAAGTGCTTGTAATCAAGAACACAGATCTTCAGCTGCTCATGACTTTTTTCTTTTTTTTTTCACCTATGCAATAGGAGTTCCTCCTGAAGATTTTCTGTGTATTTCGGAACCTTATGAAAATGAGTGTCTTTCCTCGAGACTGGATGGTGATGAGGTTGCTCACCAGCAAGTAAGTAGAGAAGCAGGTATAAACTTCTGTCATTCTATATCAGATTTTTTTTCTCCTGTGCTCTTAAAACCTGTGATGCAATGTGTTTCATCAGGTTGAAATGTTGTTATCAAGACAGAACCCTGCAGTACTTATCCCAGTTCTTCCTTTATTTTGACACATGGGACCAAACTGGGACTTACAGTTGTTGTTCTGTTTGTTATAGTCTACCAATATGCAAAGGTGTGAAAAATTAGAGGTTTAAACCCAAAGCTTGAAGTAGCTGCATTGAGGATAAGAGTGGCACAAACAGCCATTTTTACCCTACCTAGAAGCCCTAAGGTATGTTAGAAGAAGAGGATTAGAACTCAGCAATGATACCAGGCACATTGCACAAATTTATTTTTCAGTAGAGTTGTCAGTGGCCATTTTAATGCTTAATTTTTTTTATCATTCTTTCTTCAGTTAAGTACCACACTCTGAAATCGTAGCAGTGTGATGAACACACAGTGGCTGGAATTATTTGCTAGTTTCTTGTTGCGTTAGATAAACCAGCTGTGGAGTTACTACCAGCTGAGAACTGGAGGGGTTCCCATAACAGGAATGTGTCCTGGTCAGCGTGTCGTGCTCTGTGAGTTCACAGCACAATGTAAAGTGAAAGGAGTGGATCTCAGTATTTCAGGATCTCAGATGAAATGACGTTTGTAAGAAAAGATATTTTGTTCTAAATTCTTAGGCTAAGATAAATACGTTTAGCAGTGCTTTTAGAAGTATGGTGTGCATATGGATCAGAGATTTGCTGTTGTTTTTTAATGTTGCTGAAGCTGTATCTACATGCTATGAATTCCTGAATTTATTGCACAGCTTGATTGCTTTGCATTGAAGAGTCCTTATAGCCACCTCCTGTCCCAAATAGCGGTGGGAGGGAGAAGGGCAGTGTTAAGAAATGCAGAAATACTCAAAAACGTGTTATTGTGTGACAGATATAGTACTATTGTATAGCCAAGAATTATAACAGCTCAAGCATCTTAAGATGTTGTTTTTTGGGAAAAAAAAAACCAGCAATTTCTGTTAAAACGGAAGAAAAACAGATGTATTCTTTTGTTTCACTTCAGGTGATGTGGCCCAGCCATACAATATACACACAGTTTTAAAAACTTGTGTGTAAATTCCCCGAATTGCAATAATGAATAAGTTTCTTTACCTTTTATCACATACTACAGGCTGCTGATGAAAACGTAGAAAGATAAGTGACTTCTTGCAAGTTTCACTTGCAGTAATTTCATGAAAATTGCATGTCTGTGTGTGTATTCGTATCAACACATGCAGTACTGTAGTGTAATTTATACTTCAGATTCAAATGTTTCCTCTTTTCTTGTCTTTTTTTGACTGCAGTATCATAGTTACAACAGTTCAGTACCTGTCTTCTGCACTGCACAAGAATTTCACAGAAACGGACTTTGACTTTAAAGTAAGGATTGATACTGAGAATATGTTGTGACATCTTTTTAAACTAGTAGCACCAAAGGAACAAGAGCTGCTCTCTGTATTTGCTGGTTAAATTTGCAGCATTTATTTGATTTTGAGGAAGATGATCTAATCCATAAGAGAACTTCTCTGGATTGAGGGAAGTAGATCAGAATGCTCAGATCAGGCAAATGAAGCCCTTTGCAAAGGAAACAAATATTTACTTAAGCAGAAGTGCTAATGAAGCTGTTGTCTTACAAATTCAAGGATTGTAAAATATGGACTCAAGCAGTGCTTTCCCTGAAGTTGGGCTCTGCGTAATCTTCCTCTCCCAGAGGTCTCCCTCTTTGGCTGTAGACTTAAACCTTGGAGGAATACACTATCTTAAGAGTGTTTTCCATATTGCCTGTTAACAGATTCGCAGATTGCAAATAACAAGTTTGGTGTTACTAAGGAGGAGCAGCCAGACGTGTGCCTTCGCACATGTGCACACAGCATGATTGCATAAGCCTCATTTCTTTGGGAAAAGACCCTAAATTATAGGACTGTCATTTGCAGTATTATGTAATCTCTGTTTCTTGATGGATAAAATCTGTTTAGTCTTGAGACAATGAACAATATAAACTTTGTTGAAGTAATCAGGTTTAGTAATTTTTGAACACTGGTGCTAAGAGTTAGCCTCTTTAACTTTATTTCCTATCCATTGGAATCCTAACGTGTTTTGTATCCCAGGGCTTAAGCTATATATTGGATTACATTACATCTTGATTACAAAAAGGATCCTATCTACAAAGGAACACTGTATGACAATAGTGATAAGAGAAGGGAGAACAGTGTTGAACTGAAAGAGAGGAGATATGATTAGAAGTTAGGAGGAAAATCTTTAGGCAGGGGGCAGTGGGGCACTGGAACAGATTGCCCAGAGAAGCTTTGGGTGCCCATCCCTGGAGGTTTTCAAGGTCAGGCTGGAGGGAGCTTTCAGTAACCTGATGCAGTGGGTAGTGTTTGGAGCTAGATGATCTCCAAGGTCCCTACCAGCCTAAACTATCGTACCATGTCTTCCTATGCTTGTTAAAACTTATTCCTTGGAGTGTAAGGTTATAAAACTTCCTTCCTGTTTTACAGGTGTGGAACTCTTATTTCAGCCTGGCAGTGCTGTTCATAAACCAGCCAAGCCTCCAACTAGAAAATGCCACACCAGCTAAGAGAAAGAAGATACTGGATAAGTAAGAAAATCTTTTCTCGGCTTCCCAGGTCTTTTCTGCCACCTGAAAAACTGAGACTTCTTTTTCTACCACAGGTCTCTGTGATTTATTCTGGAAGTTGGGATGTGGAAGTGCTCCACATAAGTAGATCTCCTAATATAGTGCTCTGTGATAAGTCAGTTGTTTGTTATTTTTATGTTGGTTTGAGTGTGAATTTAATGTGAATGAAGTTGATGCCTCCAAGCCTCTCTATGTTGGAGGCAGTTGAATAGTGCCCTTAATATAGTGCTCTAAATTTTGGTTAGCCACAAAATTGGACTTGATGATCTTTCTAGGTTCTTTCCAGTTAAACTATTGTAGTCTTTTTGAACATCACTGACTTTTGAGGTTTATTTTTTTCCTGTTAGGCAGTTATCTATCTCCTGTCTTTCAGATATGGTGATATGAGAGTGATGATGGCATATGAGCTCTTCAGCATGTGGCAGAACCTAGGTATGACTCTTCATTATCTGTCCTAATAATCGAAGCTGAGGTAACTTCTGATTTCTGTTAGAATTTTGATGTTTTTTTAAGCATCGCACAATACTTTCTCTTAGCATCTGTAAAACCAGGAAGCATTTCTCTTCTCCTACCAAAAATCCTTTTCTGCACCACCTTCATTTGAAGTAATGCATTCCTACCAATTTAAATACTTTCTACTCAAATACAACCGTGGAGAGCTTTGGTTTGATATAATCAGTGACAAATGACAGTTTTTATGTATCTGCAAATATAACATCAGCTTTTTCTGATCTTAAACTGTGCTGCAGTCTGCATCTTCATATGGAGATATTCTTGGACATCCCTCTCCCATTTCAGACTGTAGAGCAGATATTTATATTTTCACAGGTGTAATTAATTTTATACATTTGGAAATGATTCAGAGGTGAAGTTGTGGTATGAAATTGTAACTGCAGATGTTTGGTGCTAATGCCCGGAAATGGCATACAATAAAAGTTCTTTCTTTGATTCTTTTTCTGCTATCTAATGTGCATATAATAATAAATTATACATTACTGCTTAAAATAACCCAAAACTGAAAAGCCTTATCCACAATAATGCGAGATTGTGATGAAATTTCAAGTTCTACAGTTCACCTTTTCTTAATGTATTTTGATAAAGAAGTTAAGTATGTTACACAATGGAGAAAATATATATCACCACAAGTCTCAAAAGGTAAATGGAGAACTTTCATCAAGTACTTCTGCTTTGAGAAGCGCCCTGCGGCAGTCCTGGGTTTAAGTAGTTCAGGATTTTATTAATACAACAACCAAATAAAATCTTTACTAGGTGAGAGCAAGTCTGGCTAGGCCAGCATCCTGTTTGTATTGGGGATGAAAACGAATACATATGAAAACATTGGAGGACAAAGGAAGCATATGGTATTCTAGAGGACAATGAGAAAAAGGTGCTGATAGAAATCATAGATTATGCGAGGTTCTGATAATGCTTAAATCGTTAAAGCGGCAAAGGAATTATGCAAATCCAATGGAATAACTTGGTAATGTTACTGCAAGCAGGTAGTATATTCAAATAGCCAAATATTATGATTATATATGTAAACCACAAATGTATCGAGTTGATAATGAGGAGAATGGGAGCTACCTGTAAAATGCCATAAGTAAAACCAGCAAAATGCTTTTTGAGAAAAGACAGAAGAATCCTCAGTAAGGGAAAGGGGTTTATATTAGGCTGCAAGTTTTCCATACTTGCCCTTGGTTCTGGAACAGTTGTGCTGGCCCCACTTTCTGCAGAACAACAGAAACAAATTTGATAATCAGGAAGATAACTGTAGAAGTGAAAAGAAAAGAATCTTAATGTGAAAAACTGAATAAACCTGGCCATCTCTCACAGCTAAGGTGATGCTAAGATGTTTTGAAACATCTGTGTAGGAAAAATCAGACTTTCCAATATATTGGAGATTGAGTAACTGAAAAATTATGGAAGAAAAACTCAAGTAGGAAGAAAGAAACCTCTTATAGATATAGAGATATTTATCACTGGGAGTTGTTCAAAATATGACTGTTTTGATTTGTTCTCTGCAACTGCACAATAAGCAGACCACAGAGTACAATGTTAGCAAAATGCCTTGTGTTCCTATTGCTGAGAAGCAGTGCTATTTGATTTAAGTCAAGGTCAGTTACAGAACTGTGACTCCTAGAGCACCAAGGATGAAGAGCTCTGTGGTTCTTTGAAATCTAAGTATGTTCTGTGAAATAGAGTGGTTCTCACCAACGTTTTCAAAATATTTTTCTTCATAAATTGAAAATGCCTGTGGTCTCTTTTCCCCTGGGTAGTAAGTTTTAATTTAGTTTATTTTAACAATTTGAATTTCCCTGCAAGTGAAATGCACCAACAGTTTTTGCTGAAAGCTTTTGTAGTGAAATAAAAAACCTTGGGGGCTCTGCAGGGAATGGCATAAAGCAAATGCTGTTGTTTCAGTCTGTTTAGGAAAAGTATGCTTTAGCATTCTTCATGTTTGTGCCTGTGATTTTATATTGGGCCTGATACTGTCACTCTTGCAGAGGCACGTCTTCATCTCAGCAACAGAGAACAGAGGCTTTTATTTAATCACCATTGCTTTGTTTTGTACAGGGGAGCATAAGATTCACTTTATTCCGGGAATGATTGGCCCCTTTCTTGGTGTGACACTCGTCCCACAGCCAGAAGTCCGGAATATCATGATTCCCATCTTCCATGACATGATGGACTGGGAGCAGAGAAAGAATGGCAACTTCAAACAGGTGAGGCAGCTTCCCAGTCATGGGTAGTCATGGACAGTTCATGCACTTGCTCTGTCTGTCTTGCAGCTCCCAGCTAGAAGCAGGGAACACATATCTGTTGATCCACATTCAATCCACAAAGATGTTGTCATGCAGATACATAAAAATAATAAATTTGAAGTATGGTTCACAAAACTATTACAGGCCACTCAGGATTATTTAAGCAGTGCATTCAACAGCAAGCTGTGTTTCCTCTGAATGTAGAAAAGAGCGATGAGAAAGGGAAAGGTCACACTGCGAACAAGAAATAAAGACTTAACAGTTCACCCAGTATTGTTGGCCTTTACTTCTCTGTATTCAGTTTCTGGCCAGGAAACAGTATTGTATAATTAAATAATTATACCGTGCTTTGAAACAGATTTTGTGACTGAATATTCTTGGAAAAATTATAGCCACTCTGCTGGAATGGTTGAGCCCAACAGAAGTTCCTTTGCTGGCACCTGCCATGAGCTGTGATTGCAGAGCAGCCGGGAGAGTTCTTGTTTTATTGCCCAGTTATGATCAGAGATTGGTGTAAATTTTCCACTGTAAAACAGATCTTGGAAGTTCAAAGTGTGAATAATAAAGGATAAGGTTGGAATGGATCCTCAGGTGACAGGGCTTTATTGTTGTTGTGTTTGGGCCATGCAGGTGGCAAGGGCCTGCAGATAGGTGCTCTGACAATTCTACCAGACAGTCACACAATGCAAACCATGTCCAGAAATTATTTGACTTTGTATTTAAATTATCATGATTAATGTGATATTAAAATGCCAGTTCTAGTCTGTCATCCCAGGAGAGAAACAGACCTTTTCCTTAACCTGATCCATTAAAAACCATATGGAAGAGTATTACCAAGGGCTTCTGTGGAGTTTTTTTCCTCTTCAGCTCCCTTGATTATTATTTCTACTGCTACTGCTATTATTATGGTGACATTTGATTGTGGTGCTCTTTTTGCTGTAGGTGCTGTATTAACATCACAATGGAACAGTTTCTGCTCTGGCATTTGCAATTAGAAGTACCCACAGTCATCTTTAGTTCCTGGATCTGATTATACTTTCTGCATCAAAGATGAACTCTTCATAACCATTTAATTTTTATACTCACTGATGTGTTCTACACTACAGTCACAAAAATCATTCTTAAACATAACAATTAATTAGTACAAGATGCATTAAATCTTACTAGCAGCTCAAAGCTAGAAGTCATTTTTTGTCCAGTATAAAGCTGGACAGCTGGACAGATGCACCAAAGTTTTTGGACGAGTTATTGTAACTCATGAACAAAAAGAGCATTTGTTTGTTTTTTTGTTTTAATTTTGAAGTTTGGTTGACTTTTCTACCAACCAATTTAGTATTCAAAAATACAAAAATCCAGGAAATCCATTTTTCTTTCTTCCTTACTTTTTTTCCCAGTAGTTTGTTTTAACAAGGTAATTTTTTGTGCAGTAGGACATAGCAATGCAGTCTGGTTCGTGGACTAAATCATGACTCCTTTTTAATGATTTCAGTAACAGGAGCACCAGTGCCATCTGTGTGTCTGTGGGTGATTTGCTCTTCCTTCTCATCTTTCCTTCCTTTACAGTTTGGTGGCTAAAAAGCAGAGGAATTCAAACTATGCTCATGGTTAACTAAAAATGTGCTGCATTTCTACAACCACTTAAACCTTTAGGAACCTCTATCTTCATTTGTATTGAAAGCATGTTTTCTCTTTGTCTTCCAAGAATACACACATACAAAAAAATCCTTTAATATTAGATATGTTGAATTCTGCACTTGAAGCAATTTTATTGGAATATCTGATATGAAAGTTGACTATGGAGCACTAGACTCCATAAATGTGTAAAATGAATGTGTATTCATAACCTTTGTAAAGGAAGAGAGGCATAATAATACTGTTCTGTCCCTGTACATGTGTGAAAAGGAAATGCATCATATAATCATAGAGAAGTCTGATAAAACTGAGTTTAATGAACAAATCTTCCAATGTAATTATGTCTCGGTGATTGAAAGTCAGTTACCTACCAGCAGAACCATCACAGCAGGCTAGTGGTGATCATGCCATAAATTAGTTTCTCTGCGTGGATATTCTGATTTTGACCCAGGATATAGTTTGTTTGATGTATTTGCTCACAGAAATTGTTTTTAGAGTGATTTGTTTGATAAGAGAATGAACATCAGAAACTCCTGGGAAGAAGCAGCATTATCTCCCCCAGGATGTTCATTTAGACTCTGATAGGCAAATGGATAATTTTATTCTAGTCCTTATACTTCATTGCAAAATAAGAAAAGTGTTTCCATTTATCTGAGCTACAGAGAAATAAATTGCTGATGCATAGAAGTGGGAAGGCTCCAGGGCATGAGAAATAAAATGTTCTTCCAGTCCTCTTAGTGTTTGGAACTCATCATGTACATGAGCAGCTGATTTGTAACCAGTTTGGAACTTCTCATCCAGGTGGAAGCTGAGTTGATCGATAAGCTGGACAGCCTGGTATCCGAAGGAAAAGGTGATGAGAACTACAGAGAACTCTTCAGCCTGCTGTAAGCCATGCCAGTTTCTGCTCACTCTGTGTTGTGTGGGGTCATTGAAGCAGTCATCTGTGCTGCAGTAGCAGCTCCAGTGCTGATCTTCAGAGAATGTAGTAAAGGGCACTCTGGCAGGTTTTCATGACATGGCTCTCAGTGAAACAGAGCTCTGTCATGCTAGTTCTGAAAAGATAAAACTATATCTTTCTGTGTCTTTCTTCTGTACAATCCAATAGCAGGCTGCGCAGGTAAGTTGTTATCATTGTTCTGTAAAAAATTGATTTACTGGAGATGCCAATGCCTTTCTTTTCACTTAGCAGTATGCAAAGTCTTGGCCTTAGGACTGGTTTGAGAAGGTCTAGCAAGTCAGCCTTGTTAGAGCAAGAGATTTTCCTCTGCGTTTTCCTTTGCTGCTTCCAGTTTTTTGAAGGTCATGCTTTGAGTTGGCTCAAAAGATGTGAGCTGCTTTTTGCAGAGTCCATCACAACACAGTATTTCCACTGCCTTTCAAATGTGCAATACTTGTAAGCATGAACAAAAGACTTAAAATCTGATTTTCAACTTAGTTATCTTTGATTACTCAACTGTCTCTAAATTGTATTTGTAATGACCCTAGTTTATATCAGAAGGACTTTGAGAGTCCAAAGCAGTTAACACTAAGTCTTTTAATATTCCAGTGAGTCAAAGACATCATTAGCAGAATTTAAGCCATACGTTAAGGCCAATGAGGTAGATACTGTGCTGGGAGTCTGTTATAGAACAGGCAGCCAGGATGAAGAGCTGGATGAAATCTTCTGTAGGCAGCTAGGAGAAATCTCACCATCACTAACCCTTAGAGAGGGGATAGTCAGGGCAGACTTCAGATACGCAGGTGTTTGCTAAAGCTCTGTAAAGCAGAGTGGAAATGGTTTAGGAAATTCCTGGAGTGTTACAAAAATAAATACATGAGGCACTCTAGTGAGGACCAGAAAAGCAGAGAAGTCCTTACCCTTATGGAATGGAGCCTACATCAGAAATAGTATGGCCAGCAGGACTAGGAAAGGGGTTGTCCCTTGAGTGCTGTGTTCAATTTTGGGCTTCTCACTGTGATAAGATACTGAGTTGCTGGAAGATATTCAAAGAAAAGCTAGTGGTGGGCCTGGAAGGCAAAACTTATGAGGAGCAGCTGAGGAAACTGAGGTTGTTCAGTCTGCAGAAAGGGAGGCTGAGGGGAGACCACATCATTCTATAAATGTCTGAGAGGAGGTTATAGCAAGGTGGGCATCAGTCTGTCTTCTCAGGTGAGATAAGTGGTAGAACATAAGGAAAACTGCCTCGAGTTGCACCAGGAGAGGTTTAGATTGGATTTTAGGGATAATTCCTTCACATAGAGGTTGGAAAGCACTGTAATGGGCTGCCTAGGGCAGCGGTGGGGTCCCCTGCCAGGAGGTGTTTAAGGTATGGATGTGGCATTGAGGGGTGTGGTTTGGTGGTGGGACTCAATAGATCAGGTTAGTGGCAGGTACAAGCTGAGGTCACCTTGAAGGTGGTGATTTTGAAGATCTTTTTCAACCTAGATGATTCTGTAATTCTATATTCAGACCATTTTATGTGTCCCCCAGCAATGTGCAGGCAGTTTGAGGCATAAAGCTTTGTACTTCTTGGTTCACATGTGTTCACTCATTTACTGTCAGGACGGATAAGCCTGCCCATCTGTATGCTTTCCATAGAAAACAAGTAAATGTATTCACTTTTGGTTTGTGATATTCAGCCCTGGCAAGTCTGGCACTTCAAGTGTACAGAGAAAAAATATATGCTTTAGGAATAAAAAAGAAAATGTCTTTGTTCTTTTATTCAATTGGCAAGGGGAATGTTCTGCTTTTCATTTGCTCCTCCTGAAGGCACGTGTAGCCTAAAATGTTCAGAATTAGAGACTACAGTTTAATGTATTTTTAGGTGATAGTGGTTGTGTTGCCAAGAAGTACAATCTTGAAGTTGAAGTTCAGCAGCCTCTGAGTTTGTATTTGTACTGTATTTTCTGAATACTGTGAGCTCTGAGGGAGCAATTCCACAGAATGGTAGATTTCAGCTCTTTTCTCACAAAGTTAATAAATGCAGCGTGAAATAAACAGTTGATGCTGACTTCCATGTCTCAGCTGTTCTGCTGAAATGGGAATCGGGTCCCCAGGGTGGAAATCATCTTCTGAGAACACACCCAACAGTTTCTCTTTCTTCTTGTCAGTACAGAAGTGGCAAGTTCTTTGACAAGAGATCTGTTTCAGGCTCAGGATACCAGCATCCGGCTTTGCTTTCCTTTCTCATTTTTTGCAAACGATTTTTAGTGTTTTTACTTCGGCCTTTTCTCATTATTCAGCCACCTCACTGAGATTCTCCATGTACTGCCTAGCTTGCTAATCAGAAAAAGATTGCTTTCCGTTATGTACAGTTTAAATAAATTGTGACATGACGTTGTTTGGTTGCTCATGAGAGACCAAAATTTATGTGAGAATGAGCAGATTAATTTGCTTTTGGTTCAAACTCCCAACTTCTGTGTGCTGTTAGAGAAGCTGCAGGTAACAGCACAGCAATCAGTTGTAGCTGCAAGCAGTGCTCTCTTTCACACATTTTACACAGCATTATGAGAGTATTTTTCCTTTTCCTGTCAAGTCTGTAATTTCCTTCTCTTTGCTTCATGCTGCCTGGAGTAGAACCCAGCTCTTTGGGCCTTATCCCAGGTAAGACAGTCATTCTGTGCATTTGTTTCATGAGGAAGGAACCAAGTTGTCCATGACTGCCTGCATGCACAGCATTGGTTCTGCAGAAGCCTCATCTGCTGTCTTTTCATCTCTGCACAGTTTGCTGGAGAAGATTGAGCAGGAGACGTGGCGAGAGACTGGAATCTCTTTTGTTACATCAGTAACTCGCCTCATGGAGCGCCTGCTGGACTACAGGTATCTGACAGCAGTGTAATGTGTCCTCAGTGTGTGTATAAGAAGTTTGTGAAGAGGGAGCACCAAATTTATCTTGTACAGAGAGCGTTTCCATTGTTTAATAAGCTGCACCCATTGGGAAGTGTTACATAAGTATGACTAACTCAGTGCTGCAAGGCTCCAAGTGAAAAGCAAGGAGCCCTGGCTCTTCTTCTTGGCAGATCATTCCTGTTAAACAGCAGAGGTGAAGAAAGTTTTTCATTCTCACAAGTGTATATGTATATACATATAGATATTGATATATGTAGTATCATACATTATATATAAAATATTATATATGCCATGTTAGGTACACATACACTCAGAGTTGTTTTTATGGAACAGTTGGCAATTAGAAACTCTTAGAACTGACCCATGTGTTTCTGTCTGTATTCTGCTGACAAGTTCCAATACTTATTTGGTTCTTCTGCTTCTCAGTGGAGGTGAAAACATGTGTCTAGGTGTGGGTATTGGGCAATCACAAATCCTTCACTGTGCTTTTTAGTTCGTTCTTTTTGTTCTCCTGACCAGTTTGATCAGATCTGCTCTTTCTTTTCCTGACAGCAGCTGCTGTAAAACTAAGCAAGACCAGATATCTGAGACATGTTAAAAGAGAGTGTGAGGGAGCTGACTTTCTTTTTGGTGCAACTATCAATGCAGCTATGTTACACAAATACTCATTTTCATGCTTAGTACAGGAACAGATAACAGTGTTTTAATATAGTTTCAATAAGCAGCAGAATATTTCAGTCCCAGAGCAGAACAAAATAGGGAACTGCATCAAAATTTGGAACTGCCCAGACCAAATGTGTAATAATTGTTGGGGCAGATGTGCAAGTCCTATACAGAACTGTGAAATGGGGAGATGTGCTGATCAGTTTTGACACCTTGTGAATCCCAGCCACCAACTAGTTGACAGCATGACTCTCACAAAAGATTGCTATGTCGTCTTTGAAAGTTTTGTCTCTTTTTTTTTTTTTTCAAAAGGAGATCTTTCAGATGTGTGTTGTAACATTCCTCTGCCTTTTTAGGGACTGTATGAAAGGCGATGAAACAGAGAACAAGAAAATCGGTTGCACTGTTAACCTTATGGTAAAGATGTTTCCTTCATTTCCTTGTGCAGTGTAATTGATGCTAGGGTGGGGAAGATCGGGTAGGAATGTGTGTCAGGCAAGGTGCAGGATCTAAGGGCAGGCAGAATGTAATGACAGAGCTTAGGAGGACCTCCTGGGAGCTGTGGTCCAGCTCTGCCTGGAGCTGGGTGCTGTAAGTCTCACCTCCCCCCAGCTGCTTTCAGAGGGTCTTTGTGCTCTGTCCCACAAACTCTCTTGCCTTTTCTTTCCGTGTTTGACTGACCTCATTTTGAAAATAATTCTAACATTGGTGAGTTAAATGTGCATGAGTGCAAAAAGAATGAGTCCTTTCCTTTTATGTTGATCTCTTTTCAGTCTCTTTATACATACAGAGGCATCACTGATTGTTGCAGAGGAAGGTGACTGCTCTCTTTCTCTTACAGAATTTCTATAAATCGGAAATTAACAAGGAAGAGATGTACATCCGCTACATCCACAAGCTGTGTGACATGCACTTACAGGCTGAGAACTACACAGGTTAGTCAGGCACCAAACAGGGGCTGTTTGAAGTCCCACTGAAAGGTTTTGATTCTTGTAATCTTATTCTCTATTATCTGTTGAACTTATTAGGAAAAATGTTGTTATAATTGTTATTTAGAAAGATGAGAAGCAGAGGTCCACTTCATTCCATCCAGTTAGTTTGCACCCTGAATTTTGTATTAAAGCGTTGTGCAAGGAAGGTTGATTGAAAAATCACAGCAGTGGAATGACAATCACGAGCCCACTGTTGTATTATCATTCCCCAAATTTCCTTGCATATGTAGGGAGCACTTTAAAAGTCTGCTGACTCTAATTCTATGTTGTCCAAGCTGTGTTTACAGCTGCAGGCCCCGTGTCAGTGTTACACAGCTCAGTTCAGCTGTGTGTTGTACATCTGAGTATCTGACTGTGCATTTGAATCAAGTAGCTAGGAGAAAGAAACTTGACAGATTTGTACCTAAAAGTCAGGTTTATCAGAAGGAGCCGTGTGCTGCTATTTTAAGCCATTGAGTAATGTAATGTTAACCTAATGCTTCTGAATTCTTTTCTCAAATTGTACATCAGAACTTCCAGTGTGTTTTAAAGGCAGCTTGTGATCTTTTAACCTATTAGAGATTTGTCATCATTGATTCGGTGTTCAATGGTTGCATTTCCAACAGAGGCCGCATTTACTTTGCTTTTGTACTGTGAGTTGCTTCAGTGGGAGGATAGACCTCTGAGAGAGTTCCTGCATTACCCATCTCAGTCAGAGTGGCAACGTAAGGAAGGTCTGTGCCGTAAGATTATCCATTACTTCAACAAAGGGAAGGTATGCCAACTTCTTCTCTCTTCCAGCAGCTTCCTTCCCTTTTCCTGACTTAGAGCTTGCAAGGCTATCATTTCAGTTCTGTAGCCTGGAATCAAATTTGTACTAAAAGGTTTAGTAACTTGACAGATTGCTTCTTGGCTCTTTGGAGCAAAAAAACAAACAAACAAAAAAAAACAAAACAGATGAGAAAATGGATATGGGTATTTCATTATGCATAACATTTGGAACTGGTTTAGGTAGGCCACCAGGAGCAAAGCTCAGATCACCTGACATGGCAGAGACTGGTGAACACCAGTTCCTAAATTTATGTATTAAAAAAAAGCATAGTGTGTGCAAAGTGCTGTGTTATGGCTTCATTTGCACTTAAGGGCTTGTTCTGTTTCTGACCTCCTGAAGTAAACATCCTGTAGGTAGAAGTAACTGTAGGAGATCCTACAGTTAGAAAAATAAAGCCTTTTCAGCATCACTGTGATTTTAAAGTGTCTTTCACTTAACATGTAGTTTCATCCATTGCAAAAGAAAAGAGTGAAGCATTTCAGTTCCTTATATCTGGTATGCTTCTCCTGCCAATGAGTAACTGTTCAAAGCACCGCAGGCAGGTGCTTCAGTCACTTGTATCTGTGTTCTGTTTTGGAGGGGAGTATTAGAAGTGAGATCATCTGTGAGAATGTTGTCAGAGTTATATTTTTTTCCAGGAAAATAAACCATCCAGCATATATTACTGGAAGACAACATCTGTATGTGCATCTCAGCATTGTTTGTTCCTATGATGACAGCGAAAGTGGCATTAAATAGAATGGGATTTCATTCATATGGGATTGACATTCCAGTTTGCTTTTGGCAGAGGCATCCTGTGCAGAACATGGCAAAGAAGTCAGATTGTGCTTCTGAAGGGGAGTGGCCAATTTCTGAGGGAGTGATCCAGAGATCTTTTTTGGCTCAGAAATTGATCTTCTCTAATAATACTGCATATGATTCCCGATTTAGTTTCAGAAAATTTCATAGCTTTATAAGACTGCACTTTAAAAAATTAAGTTGTTAACTTATGTAAGTATGGCAGTACTGTGCCACCTGATTTAGCCAAGTATAATGAAGAGGCTATGTAGAAATTGAGCCTGTATTTTTGACAAACAGGCCATCCATACAAGCGTTAAAGGTGAGTACAAACTTGATGGATCTAATTTTGCTATAAATCTCCTAACAGATTGGAGTGTTAAACTCTTGGGGATTTTTTCCTGCCGGGCATTTCTGGAGTTTCTTGGCTGTGCTTTAATCCTCCTTTATTTTAAATGGTAGCTGAATGACTAACTAATCCACATAAGCAGTGTGTATGTCACTTGGGCTCTGAAAAATGGAAAGAAACCAGATCTGCTGCTGCTTTGTAACAGGGACCAGCTCAGGAAGCAGAAGCTTGTTTGCTTAGCTTGTGCCTGGCAGGTTGTATTCTGCACTCTCTGGGTCCTGAAGAATGGAATGTGTTGCTCTCTGTCGTACTGTTGCATATCTAGATAGTTTCTTATTCTGCTTCTGGTATCTTCCATTAAGTAAGAGGGTCAGAGCAGCATGGAGAAGGTGTAAAAACTCCATGCTTGTTCATGGGAAGATCTCACAGCAGTGAGGGAGAAAAGCAGAGGACACAAGGCACGCACAACAGAAGGGTGTGCAGGCAGAGCACAGCAAGGAGAGACGTGGCCAGGGCAGCTGGGCATCTCTCATTCTCAGTATTGCTGGGAGTAGCCCCGTGCAGGGAAGTAATAAGATGCTCCAGGACCCTTCTGCCCTTCACTCTGCATGCTCCTTCCTGCTGCCTTCTCTCTGTGCTTCTCATCAGTTTGTGACCATGTGAAGGTGCATAACTTTAAATGTAGGATTTTTTCTGATTCGCAGATGTCAGCAGTCATTTTGTCTGTTAAGACTCAAGATTTTCTAGTTGAAGGAAATTGAATGGGACGATTTGAACCTGACAGGTCCTTTTTCTGGACAGTAGCAGCTTGAGAACTTCGCAACTCTCTTCTACCCAGTTCAGTGCTATTTTTTTTTAATAAGAATTCTGACCAGATTCCTTCCCAACACCATAGTGTGCATTCTCCTCAGTTTCAGACAGGTGCTGTGAGAGACCCAATGCTGCACTTCCAAAGCAATTCATTTTTAGATCATGTGCTCTGTTCCAGGCATTTGAACTAATTTATCTCATGCACACTAATTTGAATCACACTTCCAAAAGAAATCTGCACATTGGGAAGTGAGTAAATAAAGGCTTCCATTCATAAATGTTGGTCTCTATCTGTGCCTCTTGTGTGCAGTCAGCATAACAAATGAGAGTTGCTGGTGTCATAGCAGACAGCTGCAATAAAACTCTCATGAACCTGCTTCAGAGTGAAGGATGTAATACAGAACATACAACCAGATCAGACAGCAAAAGAGAAAGCACTAATGAACGAAAGTAACAGTGGAGACATTAGGAGATTATTTGAGAGGGGAAGGATGATGCTGTAAAGGAAAGTGGCACTTGTGCAGCAAATGAAACTACTGCATATTCAATTTCTGCACTGTGAACGCAGTAGTCATTAACATCACCATTTTTAAGAAGGGGAATCCAAGTGAGTCAGATGTCCATTTGTTCCGCTTTACTGTCAAATATCTCTAACTCTCTTTCTAACAAGTTATCTGTATATTGGGTTTCTTCCACTTACACATTGCATCGTTATCAACAGAATATTCAGCTGGCATGTTAGAATTTCTCTGCATTGAAATCTGTTTGAAAGGAAGAGAGAAAGCCTGAGCTGGGATGACAGAAACAGTATGAGAGTACATGTGAAAGAGCTGGTGTAAATAGAAACAAGATGTGGTTACATATTGTTGATTTAATTCACATCAGAAAAGGAACAAGAAAAGATTGCGTCTTTAGGATCACCTGAAAGGAAGCCAGTCTGCTTTCTGCTTCTATCGAGATGACAGATTAGAGAATTATGCAGGCTTTAGCAGCAGTATCCCATTTGGAAGTGAGACTGCTACTATGCGGTGTATCAAAAGCCATTTTTTCCTGGCCAGGTGACATAGGAGAGATTTGTCTTTTCCATTCTTTTGGGTAAATATGGATCACCTGAAGACTGAAAGTCTGTGTGCTGATACTGTAACTGTGCTGAAACCCATGGCATGCAGAGTGCATGGGTAGTTGTGTTTGCAGATAAAGCACTCAGCTGGATAATGCTGTTAGTCACAATTTGGTGTATCTGTTTGTACGTCGTGAACTGACAGCCACAGTGAAAATGCTGTTAATTTGAGATCACACAACCCCAATTTATATTCTAAGCAGTCAATGAGCTGCTTTTTCAGATTATTTCCTTGTTCCAAAGATACTCTGAAGGAATCTTTTACTTAGCAATTTCTTGTGTAAGCTTTGTGATTTACAGAAGCTAAAGAGATGGGAACTTTTTTCTCCTTTTTGCTTTTTCCAGTTATCCTTTCTTTTGATATAGGAGTTCTTAGACTCACTGTGTTTTTGCTCTTCAGAGGACAACAAACCCATCTCTGTTATTAGGACAGGCTCTGTGTGTGTGCATAAAGGGAAGCCCTGCAAGGTGCCCATTGCACTTAATCAAATGGTGCAGAGATTCTCTTTTTGAAGTGAAGGAAAGCTACATATACAAAGCAGTATTATTTTACATCATTACTGTTAATTACCATTAACAATAATTTACAGTATTACTCTTTGTAAAACTGATGATAATAATCTCACAGGTTAAGTTTGTTTTCACTGCAACACAGTCTCAGTTAAAAAGAAAAGAGGCAAATTAATCCTGTAATGCATAAAAATAATAAAGGTTCAGCTGAGACCAGGGACTTCCAGGTTCTGTACGTAAGTGTGGTGAGAAACAGCCCCCAAGGCATTTCCAGTCTGTGCTAGAGGAGGAGATTTCAGTTGAACGGTATAAAATGAGCACTCAGAAAAGCTAACAAGTGACAAGGGAGCCTCTCTCCCTGTATGTGTTTGCATGCCCAAAATCAGCCTCTTTCTTCCTTACCTCTGATGGCAGTGGCTGTGGTGTGCCAGAAAAGACTCACTGTATGCAGAATGTAAGATTCTGTGAGTTTTACTTTCAGTTCTGCATACAAATACTCAGTGCAACAATGCATGTCAGTTCTGAGCATGCTGTATCTCTGTGTTTGAGAGTTTCCCATTGCTTGAGGGTTTCATGTTCTCAGTAGGAAGGAGGAGCCTCAGGAGGGGCCCCCAGTACAAGAAAGACAGGAAGCTGACAGGAAGCAAGAAGGTCCAGAGGAAGGGCCGCAAAGATGTTCAGAGGGCTGCAGCACATCCCCTACAAAGGCAGGCTGAGGGAGCTGGGCTTGTTCAGCCTAGAAAAGAAAAGGCTGTGGAGTGACCTCACTGCAGCATTTCAGTACCTAAAGGGAGCCTACAAACAGGAGGGGAATCAACTCTTTGAAAGGGTAGAAAACAGAAGGACAAGGGGAAATGGTTTTACTTTGAAGGAGGGAAGATTTAGGTTGGATGTCAGGGGGAAGTTCTTTACAGAAAGTGGTGGGGTGCTGGAAGAGCTGTCCAGAGAGGTTGTAGATGCCCCGTCCATCCCTGGAGGTGTTCAAGGCCAGGTTGGATGGGGCCCTGAGCAGCCTGGGCTGGTATTAAATGGGGAGGTTGGCAGCCATGCCTGTGGCAGGGGTTGGAGCTTCATGATCCTTGAGGTTCCTTCCAACCAGAGCCATTCTGTGATTCTGTGAGGGGCCTCAGCTGTGAGGAGTCTGTACTTCAGGGAATGCAAAAAACTGAGATGTTGGGTGGGAGGGGAATTTAACAGTAAGAAAATGTTAGCTACATTTCTCCAGAGAAGTTCCCAGTCTGCTGAGTGAACTGTTAGCAAGAGCATGTGTGTAATTTTAGTGGGATATGTGCCTTCATTACCATCTCAAAGAGAGAATCAGTCTGATATTCATGGAAACTGTTTCATCACATTGCATTTTCGCACTTAAACTCTGGCATTTCGTACATAATGAATTGCCTAAAATGAGTTCCTGTATTCCTCTCAGCTGGCTGTTAGTTGATTCCAAGACACCGATCGCTGTGAGTGTGATTTGCTTTGGTTTTGCAGAGCTGGGAATTTGGAATCCCGCTGTGCAGAGAGCTGGCCATGCAGTACGAAAGTCTCTACGACTACCAGAGCCTCAGCTGGATTCGGGTACGTGGCAGCAGTTCCTCTCCTAGCATACTCTCATCCAGTAGGGAATTCTGCCAACCTCTCAGAAAACTCTCAATTTAAAAAACAAACCAACCAACCAATCCAGCACCACAAATAACTGCCATGCCATGGATTCATTTTAGTGGTGCTGTGGGCTCACAGGGGTAATTCTTTGGTCTGTCAGCAATGAACATGGACAGCACATGAGGAAATCTTGACTTGCTCTGCAATTGCCTGTTTTACGTATATTTTTTGCGAAAAGCATCCTATTTTTCTTCCTTTTCTTTTTAATGTATTGATATTTCATTTTAATTCCAAAAATATCCAGGACCCATCTACCTCAGCTGACTTAAGAGGTGGAAAGGGAAAAACAGAATGGAAAAGGCAAACATTTATGGCATTCTTGTCAGTTTTCAAAGATGTGATGCCCTGGTAAAACCGAACCTGAGGCAGCTGGGGGAGATTTGTGGCATTGTTGCTGTTATCAGAAAAGTTTTGCTGTGTATAATCCTTATGAATTTGCAAAGACATCTAAAATAGGACAGCATGAACATTTCTTCTGGTGTGCAGGAAGCGCTGAAACGTCAGTAAATTAGCTGTTCATTTTGCCTCTTTTTTAATTGGCTTTAATCAGTGGGTTGGTATGATTGTCTCAGCTCAGGAATGGAACCTGTTCAACTCATCATTTTGTTCACATGTACGTGGTCTGTTTTCTGTTCAAGTCCCTTAAATCTGTGTTGACCTGAAGTGGATTGAATTTCTCCCCATTGCACAAGGTTTTCCTTATTCTGTTCATCTCACTTAACAAGTTCCCACAGTGACTTCAGGTCTTTCTCCATATTACAAAAGGAGATAATGTGTGTGAAGCCAAGAAGAAAGCTTTGGTGCACTGTTCTCAGTCAAAGCTGCTGTGAGGATTCCCTGCAGTGGAAGCAATGACATCAAACTGGTGCTTCTCTTTACAAAGCTATCTTTTTGGATATAATGAAGTCCTTGTGAGCATTTCAGAGATTCGCTTTGGCAAGAGAGGGTTTGAAATCCCACTTCTGATGCAGTGCCAGCACAGTGCCATAGAAATAATAATTGGGGCTGAATAAAAGTCCTCCTTCCAAACTCCTTTTTTCTTCCATGTTAAACTTACTGGTATACAGAGCTGGAGAAGATTTAATTATGTTTTGCCCTTTTTCATTCTCCTCAACTCAATTAAGGCAAACCCAATTGAATTGGCACAATTTTTCAGACAGCATTATAGATTCTGAGCTGTGGGGAGCGGGGTGTTAAAGCACAGGCCTGAATCTCAGCTTGGCCCTTAGTTCTGCAATGCAGAAGATTACGTGCAAGACTTGTTTTATTTAAAATGAAATGCAACAGAAAAAAGACCATACATCATCTCCCAAAATGTAAAATGAGCTGGGTGATTTTATGGTCTGCTCCACCACGTGGACCATTTAATTAATAATCTTAATTGTTAAAAGAATATCACTCTTCTAATTAAAAGAAAAAGTGTGTATGCAGAAGAGCAGTGTTTTGTTGTAATGCACCTTGAGAGTCCCATGTTTTAAGTGCAGTCTTAAGAGTCTGATGGCAGCTGTCATTTTCCTCCGCAGAAAATGGAAGCCACCTATTACGATAATATCATGGAACAGCAGCGCCTGGAACCTGAATTCTTTAGAGTTGGTTTTTATGGTCGAAAATTCCCATTCTTCCTGCGGGTAAGCCAGAGTTATACAAAATGTGACAGCAGGACTGGGCTCCGAGTAGCTGTCAGCTCTGAATTTGGGTTGTGGAGATACGACATCTGCTGTTCATTTTATATTTTACGCTTGCATAACAGAAGCAGCTTTCTGACAGGTCTGAAGGGTGTCCTTGGTTGGGAATATTCTTAGGAACACAGATCAGAAATTTGACTGATGCCTATGTGTATTTCTGGCAATCTCACGTCAGCAAAATTTACCTCTGTAATTAAGCAAAATTCTTTATTGCAGTGATGATGGGTGATTATTTCAACTAACTTTCATCATCTCAAATTATCATGCTTTTAAAAACGTCTCACGTGACAGAATGATTCTAGTACCAGACTGATGACACTCTTCTGCTCTCTACAGCAGAATTTCTCCTATATTAAGTAGAAAGCCCATCAGCTTCTCTGTGCATATCCTCACTTAGAGCTTACTGTCTGCTGCTGTGCGCAGGGTCAGCGGGCTCTGAGATCCACTGAAAAAGTGAAAATGTTTTCTCTTCCTAATGAGGCATTTGTTCATACGGCTTCTTGTTTCTGGGTCAGAGTAAGGAGGGAATATAATCTGACACCTTCTGAAAAAGCTGCCTGAAAATTGATGGCAGATGCCATCTGGTCTGACAGGCCAAGCTAACCTGAAACATGCTTTCAGGGGCTGGAGTAGCCATGTTTTTGTGTTCTTTATAAAGGTAGGGCTTGACAAGAGATGGCACCACTCTTGAGTAATACAGTAATAAGTTATAAAAAGCAAAGCAAAACTGTTCACCATTTTTGTTTCATAAGGTACACGTTCTGAAAATTGCATTCTTAAACTTCCCTCTGCTTTGTTGTAGCTGAGATTAAAATATTGGTATTTAATTGTGTTACTTTAATGGAGGCATGCTGTAGCTAATCAAGGTGGGATATCAATGGACAAAGGGTGGTTTTATACTCAAAGGTGAAGCTGGACAATGCCATAATGCAGGAGTCTCAATCAGCATTTCAGATCAGCATGCAAAGGAGTGCAGAGTGTTGCAATGTGAAGATCCACTTTTCTGAAGAGCTCCCAAGAAAACATGATTTCTTTTTTAGTATCTAACAACAGATGTTGCGGAAAATAAATGTCAGCCAAGTCATGATGGCACATAAGTGTTCCTGTGTAAGAAGTACTGTCAGTGAATCCTTGTGCATCTTGCTGCATTCTGTATCCTACAGTTCTGTCGTGGACCTGCCTGGCCTTACACTGCACCATTGTGAAGTGCTGTGTCAGTATGGATACTTGGCTGGAGATGTTAACAGCAAACATTAGCATACACAATTATGATCTTTGTTAGTTCTGCAGTTATAGTTAGTAGCAGTGCTTCTGATAGCAGATTACTAACATAGCAGTCTCATTAGAATGCACCCTCCTCCTTTCTCTCCCTAATGATCCATACAGTGCTCACGTTGTGAAGCACAGTCTAAGCCCATTAGCAGTAGCATCTGCATGGATCACACTGTAAAGAGATCCATAGCAGCTATTCTGGAGAAGAAAAAGATTTATGTGGATTTAAAATTTTCAAATGGACATAAGAGCAATTTAAAGTGATGAAACAATTTCACGTACTTTTTTATTTTTTGAGTGTTGTATAGTTTAAGACAGAAAATAGCCACTTCCTTTTACATCTGCAGTTTTGTAAACCCTTTGTCTAGAAATATCATTGTTTATGTGGCTGTGGAACCTGCATCTCTTTCTATCCTTCCTACATAAATAAATTAAAACTGCTCATGTCTTTTCCTACCAGAAGTTCAAGTAAGGACTAACAAGCTGCGTGCTGAGATCTTGTATTGGCTTCTGTGTGAAGAGTCTATTAAATCTGGCCTGATGTGTTTTCAGGACATTATTTTTAGAACTTTATTTATAGGCTTTACAGTTTTCTCAGTTGCTGCAATCAAAAATTAAAACAGAATGCAGTAAGAGCTATAAAGAGATTCACCTTCAAATATCACTCCAAATTTAATAATAGCTGCAAAGCTGGGCCATTACAGACTGAACTGTGGTTTCATCACAGCTTTCACCATGTGATCTCATCTCTAGAGATGAAGTACAAATCCAAAGACACTGTACTTCTTGGCTAAACTTTATGAACAGGTTTTGCCAGTTTCTCTTTCATTCTGCTATTAGCAAGAAATCACAGCATATGCTGCAGCTGTTTAACTGCAAGAAATAGAATGGGGACAACTTTCTTGTTTGCTGGGTTTTTTTTGTTGCTCTTTTATTATGAAGGAGAAAAATCTCCCTGTACAGTGTACACATCAGCTATTGTGATGAGTCAGAACGCCCAGGATTAGAGATTTGCCTGATGTGATAAGTCTCATGTCAGGCAATGCTATCACCAGTCAAAGTTGTATTATGTGGTAATATAGTTAAGGCACTGGAATGTGATCTTTATGACACTGAGCACTATAGAGATGCTGTCTCCTGCTGGTCAGAGTTCAAGATGGTTCAGAAGCATCCAAGAACTCTAATCAAGAAGTTTAATGCCTCAGGAGGTATATTTTAAATGCAAACTTTCCATCACTGGCAGAGAGGAAATGTTGTCCATCAAGAGGAAGGTGCTTTTAGAGTTGAAGTGGAATGTGCTAAGTGGCCATTCTTGGGGAGGCTTTCCTGTGTTATTCCACTGTAGATAGCAGTGTTCCAGCAATGTGATCAGAGCTGATTGTATAGGTGTGACAGTGCAATAGTGACTAAACAACGATGATTGTGAGGTCTGTTATCACACCTTTCTAAAGATAGCTGGTAAATTGTTAAATATGTGTCTCCCCTGTTCTGTGAAATCCTCAGACTTTTACCCAGCTCATGGAAATTGCATTTGATGGCAGTTTTTCCAGTGCAGAACAACAAAGTTTGTGACCCAGTCCTAAGTTTTCCTTGATGCATTTCATTACAGTCTGATTAAATAGTACTCCCTGTTTGGTTATCTGAAAAGCAAATCAGACAAAACCATAGGACTGAATGCCATACTTGTAGGGAGCAAAGGTGTCTTTTGTTGAGGGAGCAGTAGAATGGTCTCCTTATTCATCAGCTAATGAAATACACTGCAATGAAAAAGAAAGAAATAAAATATATCATCCATGTTATCTGCACATTTTATTCTGACGTCAGCTTGTTGACTTTGTCACTTACCTCGCTTTCTGAAGCAGTAAAATTTAAAGTGAGATAACGGCCAACTGCATTTAAGCTAACTTTAAAGGAGATTCATTTATGCTTGTCCTTCTTGCAGAACAAAGAATACGTGTGTCGGGGCCATGACTATGAGAGGCTGGAAGCCTTCCAGCAGAGGATGCTGAGCGAGTTCCCACAAGCCATTGCAATGCAGCATCCAAACCATCCAGACGACTCTATATTACAGTGTGATGCCCAGTGTATCCTTCAGTGAGAGGGCATCTCTGGTACTGATTATCTTGCATATCTCAGTTCATAACTGCCTTGGGTAGAGCTGGATATGGACAAAGCTGTACATCTGTCTGCAGACATTGACTGATTCTTTGTATTGTTGGAGTGAATTGTTGCCTTTTATTCTGCAGGGAATATTGCAGACCATACTCAGTATGCAAGAGATTGATCACATCCAGCCTTCCACCTTTACCAGCAGCATTGGCATAAGGGACATTTTACTTCACTAAATGTACATTCCAATACCTTCTCTAGGAGAATGTGTTGTTGGGAACAGATATAAAAGTATTCTTTTCCATTGTGTTTTTAATTGCAGCTTTTTTTTTCTTGTTGTCTCCTTTTCTTCTAAGTTGTGGAACTGCTTTATAACTGTGGCTCTAAATTTCTTTCTTGTCATTGTTAATGAGTACTGCAGTTTAATGGACCCAATACAACGCTTTGTGCATTTAAGGACAGAACTATGTAATGACTGATGGGGCTGCAGAGACCCTGGGAGATTTTAGTTATGAAAACACTGTTATTTGGCTTGTGCCACACCAGTGAGGGCACTGCACAGGACTGCAGGTCTTTAACCTTAAGAATACTGTCATTAAGTGTTTGATGTTTGTGTTTGATGTTTCCCACTCATTTTCCATAAGATATGCTTTTCAGTCTCCAATGTTATGTATCACTGATAGTTTTATAGACAGAAAGGGTTGTTTATATATTTACTTTCATAAGTTTGTTTGCACTTGTTGCACAAGAGACCTTGTCTGTAACACTAAGACTACAGCAGTTAAACTACCCTGATGAACATAGAGCGATGTCTGCCTGCAGACAAAGCTGTAGTATCTAAGATGAAATTTACCAAAAGTAAATATTAAATATTTAGGTTTCTAAATACCTAGAGACACAAAGATTTACTGAAGTGCCTGCAGAAGTGAGAACTAATAGGATCTGGCTCATGTGCCTGATCTAGATAGAATGTAGTAAGACATCCGAAAATATGTGCATTCAGGTGTCTTGCTTTGTTTGATTTGGTTTTAAGGTACTACAGCTTTGTAGGCACCCTGAGGATTTCTGGTGTTGTGTCCTCTTGTTTCACATGCAAAAGAAGGGTGTTGGAAAACAAAGAGGAGCATGTGCTGTTTCTTTCTGCAGCAGAGGCAGCTTTCTTGTTTTATGTCCCATGGCTTTCTTTGACAAGGCAACATGCAGATTTACAGATATATGCCGTGACTCCCATCCCGGACAACATTGATGTGCTGCAGATGGACCGCGTCCCTGACCGCATAAAGAGCTTCTACCGAGTCAACAACATCCGGAAGTTCCGCTATGACAGGCCTTTCCACAAGGGCCCAAAGGACAAGGACAATGAGTTTAAGGTACAAGCAGGCAGTAAACTGCATTTAGGTTTTAATAAGGCAAATACTGTCTTGTTAGCTTATGCTAATATAACCCTTCAAGTAATCCTGATTTGGTGGCCAGACATCAGTAACAAGTGGCTGTTGAATCTGGTGGCTTCACATCTGAGTATTGTGCAGTTGAAAGGTAAGTCATTGGAGTGCCAGGAGAAATGCATTTCAAAGCAAGGATGGTTTTTTGATTGGCTGGATTTCTTTTCTTACGATCATAGATGTTCACAGTGTCCTCTTGGTTCCCGTGACAGTACTGGTAGCCAAACTCAACCGCTGAGAGTTGACTGAAATGCTGAATGCGTTGCTTTAGAACATACTGAATTATTTTCTGGTATTTAAGTGATTATCAGCATGACATACTGCAAAGTATGTTACTGCTTATGAGGTTAATATATTCTTCTCTTACATTTGCCCTCCCTTACTTGTAGTTAAGAGTATAGATGACGTGATTGTGATTCATTCTGTCTCACATCCCTCAATTTTTTTCTGCAGAGCTTGTGGATTGAACGCACCACTCTGACCTTGACTCACAGCTTACCTGGGATCTCCCGTTGGTTTGAAGTGGAAAGAAGAGAACTGGTAACATTCATAATTCTGTCAATGAGGTCTGAAACAGTGACTTACTGAGAGTGCAGGGTAGACGACTGAAAACTCCTTTGGCTGAGATTTTGCCATTTAAAATGATACAGTTTAGCAGCAATTAAGTATGTACTTTCTATATCACCTAGTCTAAATAATTGCTGAATGTAACCAGGGGAGTTATTCAGGCGAACGTGACAGTGTAAAGGAGAATGTGCCAAAAAGATGAAATAATTGCATTGTCGCCATGTCTTCAGTTTATAGATAGAAGTTATCACAACTCCATGAGCTGAAATAGAACATTACTGACAATGAAGTTTGCTAACTTAGCTGATTTTCTAGCAGTGAAAACTAAGAGATCAGTGAACCATCTAAGAGTATTTCTTTACAAGGAACGTAATAAATCACAATGAAGCATCCATGGAATTAAAGCATGTTTAATTGCTTTTAAGGTTGAAGTAAGTCCTTTGGAAAATGCCATTCAGGTGGTTGAGAACAAAAACCAGGAGTTGAGAACGCTGATAAGCCAGTACCAGCATAAACAAATGCATGGTAACATTAATCTTCTCAGCATGTGTCTGAATGGAGTGATTGATGCAGCTGTGAATGGCGGAATTGCACGATACCAGGAGGTAAGTGAGGCTTCTGAATATAGTATCAATATTTTTCAATCTTATTTTCGTTTTTGTTGCAGGAGCCTGTCAAAGAATACGATAAGAAATTTTCATGCACTTTATCTGAATATGAGGTTAAAACCCAATGCTTGATTATACTGCATCGGTGCTTGGGTAGCTGTGTGTCAACAGGAGGCTCCAAAGATGGAGCTGGGATACTGCATTAAAGTAGGTGCAGTTGGCAGTAGAGTTCTTAAGAATGAAGCTTGGGTTACATGGAAAACCTGACCTGGCAGGTACAGGAGTGAAGTAGCAGTACAAAAAAACCCATCTCTTATGTTATAAATTTATTTTGCGGTGGTATTGGAGTTTGATTGGGCCTGTAATCAGGAAAAGCTGCTAATTCCTGCTACCTAACTATTATCTTTGCTAGCCCAATTTCAGACTCACTGAGACCCTAAAATTATCTGAGGTTATGTGCTACATTATCTGATATATTCTTTGGCAAGCTACTAATTAAATTCCACATTATGAAGGGTAAGTCTAGAGTGAAATAGTGAGAAATGGCAGCAGTGGTCCAGGGGTCTGGAATGTGTCTTTCCTATAAAGCCATACAGAGAATGCTCTGCACTCTTTTATATTAGTTACCATTCCATTAATCAGAGGAGATTTTGTGAAGGAAATGATATAAAATTCAAATAACTGAATGATATAGGGATTGGTGGTATTGCCCATCATTACTACATAGAGAAAATCAATCAGATTCATGATCCTTCCGGGCTGAGGCCTGCCTTATGCTAGCACTGGTTCCTTTAAATTAGCAACAGAATCGTCTAGGTTGCTAAAACCTTACTGTAGCTTTACCTGAACGCCAGAGTGCTAAAATCAGTAAAATTGAGCTTCTGCTGTAGGCTTAATATATTTAGTTTTCCTGAGATGTCTGAACTTTTTCTTCTTGTCTTTCAACACCAAGTCGTCATAAATATCTTCCATTAAACAGAAGGCTTTTTTTTTTGCTTTTTTTTTTTTTCCTACAGGCCTTTTTTGATAAAGATTATATCACGAAGCACCCTGGAGATGCAGAGAAGATCACACAGCTCAAGGAGCTCATGCAGGAACAGGTACTACTCTTCTGTAGTTTCTGGATTAATCAGTGTTCTGAACATACTGGGTCCTGTTCATCCATTCACAAGCAAGGAATTTCAGTACAGGAGATTTAAAGCACATTTAAACAAAAAGGAGAGCAGATAGTCAAGTGTTTCTGAACAAGCCAATCACCCTAGGCAGTGTTAGGTGAAGCTCTGCTAAAACAGGGATTAAATTTTGTTGTCACCATTTATTATACAATAGATGTTGTGCCACACTTCAAGCCTGCTGTTCATTTCTGGCATTTTGAGTTATGTGTTCCTAGTAAATTTCAAAGATAGAATCAGGACAGGTCAGGCTCCATGTTAAACTGGCAGAGCCACATGGGAAAACTTAATATCTATTTATATTATCTACAGTTCTGCTTTTCTTTAATATCTCCACAAAACATCTTAGTAGATAAAGCTTGCTGGATGCTTTGATGGGAGTGAAATCAGATAATCACATCCTTGCTAATGGAAAGTTTGGCAAAATAAGCCCCAGTAAGCAATGCGGCCAAGTCTAAGCAGAACTATTAGGCCTGCTTTGTCAACAGATCGCTTAACAGATTTCCCATCTGTAAAATAAAGATAATGTTTATCTCCCCTCCATCCTCAAGAGAATGTTTGAAGATTAATTAGCTATTGTTTGTACAGAGTTTTGATCATGTGGGGAATCAAATACATTTTAGACCTGCTATCATGACTATCTTTAATCTGAGAGTTGATATAATCTCTTTCATTGACTAATATTGTATGTTTGACCTTTGAAAATCTGACCTTTATAAATAAATAATGAGCAGCAGAAAGAATGAACATAGGTGGCAATGCTACCATGCTCAGGTCGGTTATCAGAACATCCTTTTTTCATTTTTATCTTTATTTTTTTGGTCACCATGAATTATGAGGACTCTGTGCTGCTAACTCTGGAGAGAGAATCTTTTGTTTCTTTTTACAGTTGTCTTTAAGAAATGTAATCCCACTGTGACATAAATGTACTTGTTTCACACTTGAAGTACTTGCTGAAGTAATACAAGCTTGCCAGGTCTTCTAGATTTACTTGATTGTCAGCTGCCCTGTAGATGAACAGTGGAATATTTTGCAGTACTCCCTTACACACTGACAGACTGAGGGTAAGTCTTCTGTTCTCTCTCTTAGTCTTTTTTAGTTTTGTTGTGTTGTTTTCTTCTTAACAGGTGCATGTCTTAGGAGTGGGGCTGGCAGTCCATGAGAAATTCGTCCATCCAGAAATGCGTCCTCTGCATAAGAAACTGATAGACCAGTTCCAGATGATGAGATCTAGTTTGTACCATGTAAGCTGGTCTTCAATTTTCCTATTCTGAATCATTCAGAATTATGAGTAAAATTCCATCTGTTGCAGTGGCGTTCACACAAGAACTGGGCAGATCTGGCACTCACCAAACCTACTGGATTGCCAAATTATCACAAGAATTCTTGATCTGTATGCAAGAAGGAAGTCCTAGCAAATCTGTTGATTTATCCTTTAATTTAAACCCTGGGATTTTTAATATTTGTATGTTCTTTGTTCTATTTTAATATCACAGAACAGTTGTAAAGTTTAATTCTCGGGCTTTTCTTGCATACATATCTTTCTCTGATATAAAACAGAAAGATTAACAGAAAGTATTAGATGTTCAGCTTTTAGAACTGTCATCATTTGGAGTAGCATGGCATGGATTAGGCCCTCCAGGAGTATTTTTTTTAATATATATATAGACAGTAATAGAAATTCCTGTTGCTTAATTCAGGGACACAACTCTGATAATCTATATACACAATATTATGGGTCTGCATTTCCTATGTAAGTCAGGAGAACTCCCTCCAGAGGATGGTTCACAGTGTCTGTTAAATACCAGAAGTACACATGGCATCCCCTAGGACTTAGTACCTTCCACCCATTTGTGCTCTGCGGTACATCAATGTTCTGTGACAGATATGTTTCAGACTTTTGTGGATATCTTGACACTATGCTGTATGTTATCACAACCAAACTGAGGGACTTCTTTCTGTGTAACAGAAAAGAATTCTTTTAAATGTTTCACTTTATTTCAAACTGAAGTACGTATTTTCTAAAAGCTTCTAACTTGAAGACATTTTCTCCATTCCTGGGAGTGAATGCAGGGATGGCCAGAAATTACAGCATCAGAATTTTAAAATACAGCCTTTCTCTTTCAGAGCACATGCAATCCATACAGGTCACAGGTGTCAGCCCAAATTTGCTGCCTATCTTTAGAATTTCTAAAAGATCTCTGTTTTCAAATTCATCTATCCTTTCAGGAAAATGTAGATGGTTGCAGTTTGGTCTACGGTGTGCCCCGATTTTTCTTCAGAATTCCTGAAATGGTGTCTGGGAAGTATTGCTGGAAATAGAGAATAAATCACTGAAGCTCTTCCTACTGTGGAAGCACAGAATAACTGCAGATGATTACAGGGAACATGGAAACAAATCAGAATTCTTTTCTGAGAAAACTGCTGTAATTTTCTCATTACTGACTTAGCTAAAATATTTTTAGTTAAGCGACTCTGTGTCTCCTGTGCAGGAGTTACCTGGTTTGGATAAGCTGAGTCCAGCGTGTTCTGGCAGTAGTACACCTCGCAGCAATGTTCTGGTTTCCCATGGACCTATGAGCCCAGAGAGCATAAAGCTGCTTCATCGACACAGGTACCGTGTGGTCTGCTGCTGGAATATGTAGGATCTCTGCACACTGCTGCATTAAGATTCAAGGGGTAGAAAAGCAGTGAACAGTACAGGGGGAGGAAGAGGAGGGTGAATTTTGGCAGCAGTGTCCTTTATCTTCATTCAGGGCTAGCTATTAAAGCTTGAGTGTTGATGGGAATCAAGAAGTTGAGAAATCTGGTTTGCAGCAAATGGTAAATGCCTCCAGATGTTACATCGCTTTACTTATACATCTCCATCCTCAGTCTGACTTGGGAGGTTCCAAATTCTGTTATGCAGATGGCAAGTAAATAGGTCCTTATCTGCAGTAACAGGGAAATTCTGCTGTTTGCTTTAGGAACATGACTCAGTATGTGCCCATTTTTAAGACACCAAAGTTGTTTTATCAGAAAGTAGTTCAGACTTCAAAGAAACATCTGAAAATGTGAAATTTATTGAGACAGAATGCCCTCCTATAAAAGCTGAGGACCAATTGGGATTTTCAGGTAAAAACAGAGCTGTTATACCCAGCCAGAATTGCTTACTAGAAGATGCCAGTCTGAGAAACAGTGACAAGAATGGCACCCAGATGATGCAGTGTTAGGGGTTCTTCCATGTTCCTCCTGGTAGGTCTGCATATTTCAGCTGTTTTTAAAGCCTAGCAGAAAAAAACGTGGATCCTTGCTCCTGAGTACAGGATTGTGAGATTCTTTTTGTAATTAGAATTGAGTGACTCTTACACCACTTCTGAGGCTTGGCACTTTGGGATATGGGCAAGAGAATTTTTTCCTCAGAATTCATCACTTTGCAAGGCCTTCTTTAGCTCTTAGGATAAGCTAGGGAGATTCTGTGGTGTACGAAAGATGTGTTTGTGTAAGTCGTTCACCAAAAAAATAAAATAAAATTGGTTGAGATTAGAAATTAGAATGCATCCTGCACACTCTTTGCACTGTATTAATGTACTGTCAGATAGAAAGTTGCCTTCACCTGTAATGCAGAAGGCCAAAGAGGCATTGAGGAGGTCTGTGTTTTGACCTGTGTCTTTTGCCTGGACTCTCTTGGAAAGGTTTTTTAAGCTGCTTCCCTCATCATTCTGCAGCAGTGAGAATGAGAATGATTTCAGAATGTTCAGTTATTAAAGACAGCATTGTGACTTGTTAGCCTGGCTTTGCATTCTGAAATTTGATGTCTCACATACTACGTTATCTTTAGTCTTATTAGCGCTTCTTTCGTATTTATGGACTTGATTGTTTGACCTGATTTTTTCAGGAGTGTTTGACTTGTAGAGGTGATCTAAAGCAAGTACTTAACCAGAAGAAAAATCAGGCTTCACAAATTAAAATGCAAATTCAAAAACTAACAGCAGCCCTGTTCTGTCTCTGTTCTCATTGCAGCCCACTGAACTTGCTTGGCTCAGTCCGACACTCATCATCCTCTTTGTCATCCCACACCTCCAGCGAAACAGGGAACCTGGTTATCCTAACAGACAGCTCTGTGGGGGAGGCTGCGGAGGATATGTACCACATGCAGGTACAGCTCCAGCGTGCCACGAGATAGTGATTGAAGCAGCACTGAGCACACTTTTAGAGGGCTGTGCTTCCAAATGCAATCTGCATGTCCAAATGCATGGTTCTTTTCTGCTGGGTTATCTGTGAAGGACTGAATAGCTAGAATCTGCCATTGTTCAAGAAGGATGACAGATTAATTCGTCCAGGTTTACTTTGGGAAGAAATTTTCTGAGAGCTGCTGTCCAGGATGATAGCATTGCTTTCAAAACATGAGATTTTAGTCAGCATGTTATTTATCTGACCCGTTCAACATGTGCAATTAATGTTGTTCTTGAAATGAGTCCCACACTCAAGTGCAGATTAACAGTGACCTACACTGAAGCTATTTCCTAGACTGAGGTCACACTAGGTGACATAAGACAGGTAAAAGTCTAATGCAGTGAACCACTTCATTCTCCTTGATGGTTTCTCTGCCTCCTGCAGCTTGTTGACCTTAACTGCAGGTACCAAGGCTCAGTCACCAATCTGTCTGTTTTATCCTCATCCCAGGCCAGCCCGTCCACCTCCAGCCTGAGCTCCACACACTCCGCACCATCCCAGATGATTAACTCTGCTCCTTCCAGTGCACGAGGTAAGAATGGATGGACCTAAATGGGAGTTAATGGGAACTGCAGGCATCCCATAACTCTTTCAACTTTGTCAACTTATTGGGTGAAACACCACCTACGCTGAAATACACCACTTTTCCAGAGTGTGGGTCTTCAAAAATGATTTTTTTCAAAATGTTTTATGTTTTTCAAAAATTGATTTTTTTTTTTTTTTAAGCAGCATTTGGAGTGTATCTGATGTGTGCTGGTTTCAGGCAGCTGGATTTTATAATAGTTTCTGTTGTTCTGCCACAAATTGTGACAGGCAATGTAGAGGAAAATAAGAATATTCTTTGGTACAATGCTTAAAGGAGAGAGATCGTGAAGACAAACACAAAGATTCCATTTTAGATCATGAAATCATGGCACAAAGAACTTGAGGCAGTTTAGCGGAAAGTTGTGTATGCACAAGCATGTGTATACGATGAGTGTAGAAAGATGTGAACGGAGACGAAGAAGGATTTCCCTGATAGGAAAATCTTGAAGAAGGGAAAAACACAATGACAGACTCTAATGGTACTGTTACTGCCTTTGCTGTTACAGTGGCTAGATAAAGCTAACTGTTTTCTTCCCAAGCCTCACAGCTGAAGCAAAAATACTGCATGCCATCTCCCAATTTTGGTTACTTCTGTTTGAGTTTTCTTCTCTCATTTTGGATTCTTAATTGCAGGCTCATGAATTTCTTTCTACACTTCTTTTCACAGGAATATGAAGAAAATATCAGAGATGCAGTCAGAGACAGAGGCTGTTATTTAAGTCCTATCCCTTTTTTCTGTACAGGGGAACTGTGTGTCTTCTTATGGACGGAGTACAGAGCAGGCAGGGGAAGGTTTCTGTTCCTTGTTAACAAGTAAATACTTCTTTCTCTCAGGCCAGCTTGGGGCTTTTTTGCTCAATCTTTCAGTAAAGTCTCAATTGACTGGCTGTTGTAATGACATAGACACATCTATCAAAGTGATTTAATTGGAGGATCAGATGGAGTAGGAAGGTGAGAAGTGAATGTCTTCAAATAAAAGCATGTAGCTCCACTGGTTGCCAAGGGCTGGAAGGAAAATAATGAGAATTGAAATAAATTAGCAAGATGAAACTGGCATAACAGAAGGGGGAAGATGAAACTGAGTACAGAGCCATCATGCCAGAAAGTCACCCTTAAGTGGATGTGCCTCAGCTGGCATGTGAGGTCTGAATCTTCTGGGGAATCAGGGCTTTGGTGCTCACAGTATTTCCATGTAGTTTTCATTTTAAAAAGCCAGCACTTCCAGTGATGGGATGCACCATTCTTTCTGAGCTTTCTCAGCAGCACCAGCTTCCCTCTTAACTGTATTCTTCGTTGTTGCTTAGAAACCAAAGGGATGAATGCTGCAAGAGCATGGTGCTGATGGGTTAGTCAACAGCACCTCCCAAAGATGAGAGCTAGGCAATGTAAATGACCTCTAATGAGGGAATAACGGTTTTGAGAAATACTTCAGTGTATATCTTAACGTTATTCTTCACCCTTACTAAAAGGTTTTGACAGCCTTAGATAATGCATTTCTTCTCTGCTTTGTTCACTTTCAAGTTAGTTGAGCATAGCATTCAGACATTACCCGCTTACTGTGGGACAGCATTTTAAAGTCCTAGATTCTCTCTTTCACAGTGTGCAAGTTACCACTCTGGTTATTACAACACTGCTCTTTGGAATGAAGTCGTTTGTAGCCACGAAAAACCCTACAGTATGCTCCACTGTGGTAATTGATTTTACCAGCTTTTGATTTTCTCGTTGGTGATTTTTCCTTTTGTTTTGTTTTTGAATTGGGTGAATTTGATGCTTATGAAAATGAAGGACAAGTGTCACTAGCCAGAGCAAGGTACTTCACAACCATTACATGTGCAGCTCTGCCAATGCACTTCTGTTTCTCTTTTTTTTTTTTTTTCCTTCTTCTGTATTTATTTATACTCTTTTTAATTTAGTGCTGGTGAAAGGTGGTGGATTGACAACACTGGAGGCTGAAGCCCTCTATTTACCCACAGAACAGATACAGCATGGGCGGCAGCCGTGCAAGCTTCCCCACACTGCCCCCACCAATGTGCCTCATCTCTGTCCTGGAGGGACCACCTCTAGAGGTGAGAGGATAGTTTGGTCTCCATGACCCATTCAATCCTTGACCTTTCTGCTGAGACTGCCAACAAAGCTACGTAGTCACAGTGCTGGAGTGCTAGAGCTAACTGCTGTTCAGACAGGAATTATATAAAGACCAATAACTTGTTTCATGCAGGCCACCTAAATTTACCAAGTTAGCAACTTTGCTCCCTGTGACTTTTAGCAGAGCATGTCTTTTGTTAGACACGTTTTTCATCGATTGACGTGTTAATGTAGAGGTTAAAAACTAAACCAAACTGCTGTCCCATTATCTGGATTCTTTATCAGCTTTTATACTGCAGAGTTCTTTCTGGACTTCTGCTGCTAGCGCTGTTCTGAGGAGTTCAGTATATTTTAATACAGATCTATTCCACTAGTGACCATAAAAAGCCATGGACATTTGCAATAACAATCTAGCAGGAAATTAATTTGTATTTTGATTTTTCACTTCCAAACAAAGCCCTTTTATTGGTGTTTAAAATGACAACAAAAGCAGATGATTTGGTTTGTCCAATGAAAATAATAAAGCTATTAATCCAACATCTTGTTTAAAAGATTTGTAACTAATGATGATGTGATTTTACCACTGAAGAGCAGATTAAAGCAGCAAGCCTTACACTGAAGTTGTAGTGTATACTACTTAGAGCAGAAGTCTTAAATAAAATTGTAATCAGAAGATAGCCAGAATTCTCTAACTGTGCAGTTAGAAGAAGATTATTACTAGCTATTTTTCAAGTTAAAGTACACATCTTTCAGTTTTTCCCTAGCTCAACCCTTGCGTAACTTCTTTCCTATCAAGAGTGCAGCATGTTTTTGTATGCAGGATAAGTAAGGAATTCATTTGAGCTGACTCATACAAGGCAGTGCCCTAACCCTACTTGAGTTAAAAGATTATGCAGAGCAATGTTTCCTAAATAGATATTGAAATGCAAAAACACTTGGAAAGGGCTATGAGCATGTTAGTGGTATTTTCAGTTATTTCATTTAAAATAAATCTGGGACTCCTGCACTCCAAAGGCATCTCCTGGCTGACACTTGATGACTGACCTCTCAAGGTGCCCCTGCTTCCCCAGCACAGTTTTCAGGGGCAGGAAGTGAGTTCCTGTATCCGTTACTCAGCATGTTGCAAGAACCCAGATATTTGCATAAAAACTTTCCTCATTAAATCAAGAAGTGACAGTTTGGTGCAGGAGCCAACTGATTTCATGACAGTAAAGAAAATGATTAATCAGAACCAAAAAGATGTGTTGAGTTTGGAGCTCAACTGTGTTAATTTGTTAATTTTCAGTTTTAAAACTTCAGCTTCAAAACTTAAAACTTTAAACTAATACTTGTAACAAAGTAGATTAACATTTTCATAATTAAAAAAAAAAAGCTACCTCTGCCTTCAGCACAGGTTTTCCTTTCTCATTAATAGTATGCACAGTGCTGCACACATGCAGTGTAGTGAGCTGCAGGCGGAGAGAATAAGCCCTGGTACACGCTGCAGCATTTTAGGTGGCCATTGTGGCTGTCCTGAAAGTTTCTAGAAGATTTGATGTTGTTTTCTACATTTTGCCAGTCCCTGAAAAGAGCCTTAGTGATTGTGTTCTCTGCCTTTTCAAAGCAGCAGGCCTGGTTATTAACAAATGAATGCTTCAGTAATAGCTACCCCTCTCATGACACTCAATTTGGAGGTGTCGGTGCTTAATTTGCTAGCAGGCTGGATATATGGCATAATCTGCCACACTCTTTGTGGCTTTAGTCATTTCCAAATTTAGGGTACCAAACAGCAGGGTGAAACTACCTGCATGTTTAGCACATGTGGGATTTTTCAGGTCACGCATGCAAGGTCTGGTGGAAGCTAGAATCCAATATTAACCAATGGCACATTGGGGTGGTTTGCATCTTGGACAAAAAAGCTCAAGATAAATAAAATGGCAAAGCTGACATTGTGAGTTGTGCTGTGATGCAGTTCTGGGCACACCTAAGAGTTTGATACATCTACATTTGTCAGGCAGAAGTAGGACTATCTGTGACGTGTGAGTAAAAGAGACTCAGCATAAAGTATAACAGTGTTTTCTGAGCTGATGCTTGCATATGAGAGCAAAGAATGTTGTGTAATTATGTTTCTGTTTTATGTCTGGGGAGAAAATGAGTTCGGAACTAGAATGCAGATACTTTGTGGCTGTCCATGTCAGGGTGGGGGTGTGGATTAATGTGGGATCTGCCTCCCCAATGGAATTGTTGCAATTGTAGGAGGTTATCCTGCATTCTGCTGGACACATTGTTCCTTCCACTGTGTGATGAATATCAGTCCCAAAAAGTGCATGTTTGCTTTTGCTGGGATAAAAGCTGCATTAACCAGTACCAATGCCTTTGCTCATATGTTGGAGTGCTGTTCAGATAATGTGTGTGGTTGTGGAAAGTCTGCAAGAGGGGGCATGTATTCCCCAAAAGCCGGCATGGCTCTGTAATGCGCTGTGTGCTGCCATCTGTTCAGTGCGTGTCTGTGACGCAGTGAAATTAGCACTGCAAATGAAAGCTCACTCTAGCAGCTTCTGATCATCAGTTCCTGCGTAATACCGTGCATCCCAATGGATGTGTCCGTCATCAGTATCAGACTTTAGGCAGTCACCAATAGGAATCGTTCTGCTAACAAATCCCTTGTCAGCTCTTGCATATCAGAGGACATATTGTTGTGTGGCACTCACCTTGAAGGATACAAATCCCAAATAATTCCACACTCCAGGAAGCTATCTGTGTGCATACCGCTATTTCTTAAATGGGAGCTGTGCAGATAACTAATAATTAAGTCTACCAAGTCAAGTGTATTCCAGCTATAAGCACTGGTAAACATTCTGGTGTTATATGATGGCTCAGTATACCAATACTCAATAGAAACCATACCTTACCCAGAGGCTTTATGAGCAAAACGCAACCCACGTTTATAGCAAATTCTGTTCATAACTGATTTTTGTGCTCTTAAGAAAGAGGAAGCCAAATGTGGTATCACCAACTACACGGCAACACCTCAATCTCTCTCTACCAGAACTGAGGAATAAGTAGCTTTCTGCTTGATCTGAATGGTTCACCTCAGGCTTTTATCCCTTTCTGCCACATTCAGTCCCGAATTACAAGGCTTTACAGCATTTGTATGACTGCAGTACTTTATTCACATAGTTGCCCTTTCTTCTGTATTTATATATATTCAGCTCTTTGCACCACACAAGGAGGGATGTGATCTTACACACCTTACATGCTGTGTCCCTAATCATACATAACGTGCCGGTTCTTCATCCTGTGCCACGTCCCACCAACAGTGAGCTGCTTATTGTGCTGGGCACCGTGTTCCTTGAGTCCTGTTTGACCATCGTCTGAACACACTGCACAGGAGGACTGGCTCTGGGCATGCGGAGACATGGCTGTTGTTTGTCATGTGTACGTGATTGCTCTCACTTGTTTACAGGCTCTCCCTCTCTACCAGATAAGTACCGCCACACTCGGGAGCTGATGATGTTGTTGCCAACCCATCGGGACCGGCCCAGCAGTGCCATGTACCCTGCAGCTATCATGGAAAACGGACAGGTAGCAGACCTGATTTCTCTTACGTTAGCTCAACCATACTGAAAAGGACAGGTTCATCTTTACTCTTTTGTCTGCTTTAAGGCTTCCCTTACTATCTTTGGGAAGCACAAGAGCTTAGGATCATTTTCACTGTGGTCCAAAAAATAACATAGACCTAATCGCACACTAGAACCACCCACTTTGGTAGTTGGATGATGTAAATTGTAATGACTATTGAAACTGTAGTTGGTTATCCCCTAAGCCCTGGTCCTCTGCAAGCATCACATCACTTAATTTACTCACTCTTCTGTCCTGCTGGTAAGCCTCGAAGTTGAATGTAAGTAGTTCTATGATGATTGCTAGAGGTAACAAAATACACAGGAGGCTGAAGTAACATACAGAGTCTCCAAACAATCTACTGCTTTCTCTGGGCAAACTGAGAAATTCGCTTTGTGCTCACGTATGAACATTTTCATTCAGCTCTGGCATGCACGTTTGAAGAGAATCTCCTGACCATGCCCACTTCCATACTTCAGTTCACATCAGAGAACTGTCTCAGAGCACACAGACTACATTATTTCAAATGAAGCCAAAGCAAAAGATGAGCTCCAGAAGAGTGTGGGATGCATTCAAGCTGCTAATGGGCACAAGACCAGGCCAGAGCTGCTCTGAATAACTCCTTCAGAGAGCACAGCATGGTCAGCACTGGGTCCTCACCGCTGTTACCCTCCGGAGATCTGCTAGGATTGCACTGCACTACTTGTTAATGTAGACAGTCTAAGGTTCCCATGAGTTTTTTTTTAATTTAAAAAATCTCTTTGCCTGAAAACCTGAACAGAAATCCACAGGTTCTGTGCTTTCTTCTCCCTTAGCCTCCAAATTTTCAGCGCGCCTTGATGCAGCAAATGATTGGACCGTGCAAACCTTGCAGCGATCCCAACCTGTCTGTGGCTGAGAAAGGTACTCTTTTTCCTAGTTAACATGCATGCTTTCTAAAACATTATTACTCTGATCCTGCAAGTAGTGAATGGGCTTGTACGTTTCCTGGCAGAGTGCATTCTCTCATTTTTTAAATTAACAGTTTAATTAACTGGGCTTCCTGCCAACATGTAGTCACTTCAGATCATTCACAGAAGGGTGGAGTTGCACAAAGCTCTCTATTTCAAAAAGCTGTCTGAGTTTAGCATGTTGTTATTGAAACAAATCAGGCAGCCTTTATCAGGCAGAACTCCCAAACAAACAAACGGGAAAATATCTGAAAGAAGACTGAAGGTTTTGTACCGTTTCCAAAAAAACATAATGAGGTATACTGCTGCTTTTCTTCAGACCGTATAAATTGTGTTGGTTTTGTTTTTAATGTGCATTTTGTTTTTAATAGTGACATTTCTTCTCTCTCTGAGGTAGTTTTATGCTTAATTAAGTTTCTCATTAGGAACTTATACTTAACTCACTGCTTTGAAGAAGTATGAGCAGAGCCCATGGAAGTAAGAGATTTCTAAGGAAGAGTCTGAAGAAAAGCAGTGAGGTGACTATAAGGTCATGGAAAAATGGGAAAGATCAGAGGCTTATGTGAGAATTTCCCAAATGAACCCAGTGAGCGGTGTGACAGGTCTGCACATAGGTGAGAAATGTTTCTGGCAGTATCTAGCAAAGGGTGTTAAATAGCCAAGCAGAAAAAAAAGACAGTGAGAGAAGAAAAGGAGCTTATTTTGTTTGATGCAGGGGAAGAGGAGGAGCTTGTCAGTGGGGTGGCATGGACAAAGTGATGGGCTCATAAAATGACCTGAGGAGCAGCATTCTGAAAAAGCAGAAGAGAGCAAAATTCTTGAGTCAAAACCTGAAACAAGGGTGCTGCCATTAGAAAGCAGTGGTCTTAGCTATGGCTGGGAGAAACAGCATCTGAAAGTCAAATATTTTAAGGCCAGGAAAGACCACCACAGTCTTCTAGTCTGAGCTGCACAATGCGCTTCGTTACACTTCTGTCAGTGTTCTTGTTTCAAAAGCTGTGCCTGAACTAAATGATATCTCTGAAAAGCAAAAAGCCAGATGCTATTCCAGAACTTTTAATAAATCAGAATCCATTTCTTTAACAATGTGGCAGCATTACAGAGCAGTCGAGATTGAAAACAAAGCCAAAGCTGCGTTTCAAAACAAATTATTCTGATGACAGTAACAAATAGTGACAACAGTTGAGGCTAGGGTGTAAGGAATTAAGAGTTCTGCCTTAGCCATGTTGCACTTGAATTGAACATGACAGACATGGTATGATTTTTATACTGGACAGGAGAAAGAACTGGAAAAAGATACATACGTGATGTGTTGCCTGTCGAGAAATAATACTTGAATTTGTACTTGTGGGCAATATCTATGCAAGAGCGTGTCTACAGCACAAAGAGAAGGGAACCCAAGACAGAATGTCCCAGATTCCAAAGAAGCCATAAAAGGCAGGTGATGCTCTTGGGGATGGTATAAGAGGAGCCCCAGCTCTGCTGCCAGGTCAGCGGCTGCAGGGGTTTCTGCAGCCCTAGAGCCAACATCACTCTGTTAGTCAGGATGACGTCTGCCTTGTTTTTGTTAGCTGTCATGCTCCATGAATTTTTCCACCTCCCTCCATGCCAAGTCAGAAGTACTGCTCAATATTTCCCATTGACAACAGGGTGACATCAGTTGTCCAGAGCAGAATTAAACATGGCCACTGTGACTGCTGAGAAGAGAGAGATGGGCTAGGGCATCCTGGAGCTCCCTGGGTAGGTTTCTCCTTGAAGCATTTTAGATCCAGCTTCCGTTTTTATGGCAGCAGCCATGCTCCAGAATCGTCTGACCTTAGGATGATTTCCAGCACTTATCTCAGAAGGCAGTGAATGAGAGATGTTGAGAAAGTATAAATGGATTACACAGTGGAGTACCATGTTCTGTTCTTCACAGTCTTCTGCTGCATCTCAGTATTAAAAAGAAACAGACAAAAGAAAAAGCAATCATTTTACAGGCCAAGAAAACCAGGTACTGTTGAGTCCTTTTCATCTGATGCTGGAATCCTGCAGGAGAGCACTGTGTGGCTGGCATCATTCTGCATCTTGTCCCTCTTCATTTTAACCTTTTACCACCAATTGCAGTAATGCAGATTACAGCACTCTGTAGAGTGATGTGTAGACGTGTAGAGCGTGAGCAGGGCTGCTCAGAATGCTCATCTGAAGCCACGTTACCTGTGTTCAGATGTATGCATCCCTTTGTTTGAACCTGTTCTCTGTCAAGATTCTTAGCATCTTCTTTGTACTTCATTCTTGCTTTGAGGGTCTCTCTTTAAAGCCAACATTTGTGTGGCTTTTTGGCTGTCTTTTGAGGCTGTCATTTTCTGATCCTTTCTACCTTGGGGAGTTCTAGATCTTGGGGAGTCTGTGTTCATGAGCTAAGGAAAAACTATAATAAACCTTTCAAAGTCATTTTAGAGAAGAAACACATCTGAAAAATGGCTGCAGGTGTTTTAATTAGGGATAAATTCTCTTCATGTGTCAAACTCTCTGTTTATTTCTCCAAGCTTTTATTTTTCATGTTTCAAACTGAAGATGGCAAAAGCTGCCTTTAATCTCAGCTTTCTGTGGTAGACTTACTGAAGTACTTTGCTCCTTTCCCCCCCTTTTTTTTCGCCTGAGCTGATGAAACTCACTGATTGTTTATAAACACATATACAGTTATTGCATTTCTATCTCCTCAGAACAAATTGAGTCTTAGAGTGCATTTGGAAGAGATGAAGGTGCATTTTAATAATGTCTCTTGACAAAATTCTTCAGATCCTGACACATTCTCATTGTTAGAAGCAAGTATTACGATGTAAACAAAAAGTCACGAATCATTCTCAATATCTGTTATATGGGGAAAGCACTCCTGCCTCTGTCTTTCCCAAATAGCAAAGGCTCAGTCTCATTGCTGACCTTGTAAATCAAGGAGTCTGGGCTGTTATCTTTAAGTATTTGGGGATCAAGTTAATCAGCTCTGTAGCAAATCAGATCTTTGAAGTCCTGGTTTCTTCTGTACCAGATTAAGGGTGTCATTGCCCTCCCATTCTTCACTCAGTCTTTGCTTAGCCGCTGTAATACAGCTACAGCCATCCTATGTCAGAGTTCTGCTCCATGTTTCTTCCTGCTCTGGAGTTGTTCGCTGCCAGGCAGAACAGCTCATAGCTGAGATCTGGCTGCTGCTCCATCAGTCAGATTTCATTTTTACTTACCGGCTCATAAAACAAACAAACAAAAAAACTTCACAGAATTCTACTGCTCTTCATAGTTCATAGAAGTGAGCCTGGAGGGTCAGCAGAGGGTTAGATGGGCAGACTAACAAACACTGATCACCTAACTCTCGCTTCTTTAACAAAGTACCCTATAAACTAAACATGCTGTAGACTAGATGATACCTTTGTATGCCTCCGATCCTACCACACCCCAAGTTCTTCAAATCTCACCCCTCTTTACTACTACAGAGTACACTGGCAGGCCACGGGGCCACATAACCCCATTATGCTACCCAAGTTAAATCTGTTTCAATCCTTCAGCTGTGCCAGCAGCGCCCAGTAGCTGGAGCCTAGACAGCGGAACCAGAGAGGCCCTGCCATTCCTGTCTGTCCACGTTGGGAGCATCTTGGCCCCACCAGTACCTCCCCGAAGCCTGCCCCATGGTAAGGAAAAGCCCAGTAGATCTGCTGCATACGTCATGCAGTCATGCCAGATGACTAGGCCAGCTGAAAGCTGGCCATAGTCTTTATTTTCCCTCATAGAAAGCATTAGAAACAAAAAGTCAAAGTCTTTCCTGGTCTGCTAGGTTAGCGCTGGAACTTTTTCAGTTTTGTTCAAGATCTTCAAATTTTGCAATTGTTACAGATAACATGGGCTTGCGTGGGCTTAGTACGTGTGTGTTGAAAGTCTTTTTGCCAGTGGCTATCTTCAGCAATAACTTATGGTTACATAGCTACTAAATAAACCTTCAAACATTCATTGTTTATGAGCCTGTTGCCTTGCCATGAAATCCTTGATAATGGGGGTGGGTAGAAACCTATCACTGCACTAAACTTGCAAGCATTTTGTGATGTGACAGATGCACTCCGCAGTACTGATCGGAAGGGAAGCCCCAGGCTGGATCGGTGTCGTCCGTGTTTGGAGCTGTTACTTGGCATTGCAGAATCTAAAACCCCAACTCTCTCACAGCAGTTGAGGCTGCACAGGTCCGTGTTTCTGACCCTTGTCTCATTCCAGGACACTACTCGCTGCACTTTGATGCCTTCCATCACCAGCTCAGTGATGCTCCTCCAGCACTGCCTGCACGAACATTGCGCAAGGTAAAAAAGAAGTGTCAGGGAGAGAAATGCAGAAGAAAAAGTACAGGTTCTGGAAGCACACCCTTGTCCACTGTCACCTCCAAGTAGTTCTTGAATACAGATGCACTGTTTTTAAAATGCTATTAACTTACTTGAGAGAAAATTCATTCCAAGTTTATAAATTGTTGAACTTAAATTTAGGCCCTCCCACTTCCCTTTTGCAAATGTTCTGATTTCAGGCCCCCTCAGTACAGAGGGAGAGAGGGATTTTATCACCTCAGCTGCTGTGTTAAGTGCACTGATTTGTCCACAAGAGGTGTTTCCATACAAGTCAGGGGAATATACATACAAACTGTCAATGGCTGACATTTTGAACACAACCAGAAATGCACTGTTATTAACATCACTGTTAAAAGCTGAAATGTTAGTGAGCTGCAGTGTTGCCTCCCTTGTTGATTTTAACATGATTTCTGTTTTTCTGCAAACAGTCCCCTCTTCATCCTATCCCTGCATCACCTACCAGTCCACAGTCTGGTCTAGATGGAAGCAACTCCACTTTATCTGGCAGTGCAAGCAGTGGTGTCTCCTCCTTAAGCGAGAGTAATTTTGGACATTCCTCTGAACCACCTCCTCGCACCGACACCATGGATTCTGTCCCCAGCCAGGCCTGGAACACTGATGAAGATCTAGAGACACCCTACCTCCCTGTTAGGTACAGTCTCTCTGAGCCTGATGTCCTCGAGTCTCTCAAATCCCAGCCATGCAGAAGCCACTCAGCTCCATCAGGAGTCATTCCTCAGGACACCCTGGACCCTCCTGCTCTACCCCCCAAACCTTACCACTCCCGGCTGCCAAACATAGAGAATGAGGAGGGAATGATAATTGAAGACGACGACAAACACCGCCAGTTGCATCGTAAAGTGTCCCAGCCAGTGAGCGGTGGAAAGGAAGAGCAGGCCAGGGTAGCATGGGAGCACGGCATCAGTGAGCAGTAGGAACAGCTGCTGGTAAGCAGCTTGCATTGTCATTCCAGGTGTGACCAGAGCACAGAGCTGAGGACTCAGAGAACAGCAAGCTGACTTCTACTGCCACAAGCTTGGCTGGAGCCCGCATACACAACTGGGCCAGCAAGGGACATTGCTGCTTTCCTTTCGAATTTCTTTTTACACCTTTCCGTTACATTTTTTTTAACTTTCTGTGCAGTGGATGGTTATTCCTTCTGCAGTTTCTTAAGCGCACCACATGGCACACAAGCCATAGAGACTTGCAGAAGCTGAAAAATACAATTTTAAGCAGAGGAGGAAGGAGAAAAGGTGGCAAGCTGATTTTGAAACTACTTTCCTCCCAGCTCTGGGACACACTTGAGTAGAAGTGGTTGCACTAGGGACATATTTTATTGCTGTACAGAAGTGAAAGCTCATTGCTGAAATCAGGGATTTTATGAACTGTCAGTCTGGAAGGTGCATGACCAGCAGGCAGTGGAAAGATGGCAATTCTAAGAAGATATTGGCTCTTTTGAGAGCAGGATTGTATATATCTGTGCAGTGATCTCCCTGCATTGGTTCATAGGTGCTGAGGCAATCTAACCAGTGCTGATGCACTGATGTCCAAGATACCATTTCCAACAAACTCTGCCTCCTTTGTTTTTTATGTACTGTTTGATTTCTTAAAATTTGCTTTCACTGGCTAAACCAACCTGCTTTCTCAATGGAGTCATGCTGTTCATCTGTGCTACAGGATGAGGGGGAGGTTAGTAGCCACTGGAGCTGTGACTTGATTGTAGGCCTTTCCCATGCCCAGCTTTCGGCAGGCTGTCAACACCAGCATTTCTATTCCAGTTAAAAGAAAATAAAAAGTTCTTCATGCCACAGCTGGTTGATGACTCACCAGTTAAGAAAATGTGGCTTAGATGCATAACATCCACCACTCCTTGCCTCAGGGCTGAACATCACAGTTCTCACTAACTTCCATCACCCAGGAGCTGAGATCCATTACCCAAAACCATCATTCCTCAGCCCCCCTCCAAAAGTCACTGCAGCTGGTGTGGAGGATGTCCATCTTTCACAATAGGCAGATGCAAGAAATGCCCAGTGTAGCGTGCACCCTAGAGTCAGAAATCTTAAAGGCAACCTGTAAAGAAGGAACATTTCTTTCTTCCTTTGCTTCTTTAGAAAGTATGAAGAAGTTATAAGAGCTCCTTCTCTCTTTTTGAAGGTTTTGGTTCTTTTCTCTTCGTGTGGTGATACAGCCTTCCCCCCCTGGCTTTTTTTTTATGGTCAGGCTCCAGAAAGGGATGAAGAATTCAGTGCAGGTGGGAGATTTAGAAAAAAAGAAAAAAGAAAAAAAAATCAAACAAAAACAAGAAACAGAACTATGCAGAAGTGGAGTCAGTACAAACATATATGTGTGAAGCAAGCCTTTTAATCAGTATTTGCTTTGTTGAGTTACATTACAAGACAGGAAAAAGTTCTGTGATAACAGAGGCAAGACCTGTGGTGTAAAAAGAACTAGAAGAAATCCTCTATTCCTATTTTCATATTTTTCAAGAAACTTGATCAAAAAAAGCAGGTATCTAGTGTTTTTATATAAAGAAGTAATGCTCTTTCCTGCTGCTGTGCCACCACACATTTTGGCCTTTCCTTACATTCATTTCTACCTGCAGACTGCAAAGCACACTCCAGAATATGGTAAGTTACCACTGAAAAAACTGAAGCACATTCAAACAAGAGACTTACCTCCACCATGTAAATTAGTGTCAGAAACAGGGATAGCATCAACGTGTCCCATTCTTCCCCTAGTCACTCAGTTTCTCCTGCTACAAACAGCATAAAGAAGCAAAAAAGGATACGCATCTTTTACAGGTCACCTTTAGCACTACCTCTAAATACAGTGACTGGGCAGAGAATGTTGCTTCTGGACTCTCCTAAAGATGAGACCATCTCATCTGTACAAAGTCTGGGCTTGGTCAGCTGTCGTATGAAGGGGATTTTAAGAGGATGTCTCTTTTTTTTCTTTTTCAAGCTCTAGTCCATACAAAAGTAATAAATTATGGTTTTGTTTCTTAAATGGTCCATTTGGCTGGAACAAAGTCTCTTGTGCTTCCTCTAGTTTGTTATTAGCATAGGCTGTTTGTAATCCCTGCAACCTTCACAATTAAGAAGAGAATGATACTAAAATCCGGCACATGGTGGCCATTTCATCTCTAACAGGAGCAAGAGTTTTCCAGTAGTAGGACTAGCCCTAGCTGCTAATGAACCAAGCTGGGTCTCTGGTATAGCACACAGGTATGAAAGCTCAATTCAGAGTTATGTTTTCAATGAAGGTAAGTCAAGGTAATTCCTTAGAAGTGAGTGAAAAATTTTTATGTTATTCTCTAATTTGAGATTCTTAGAAACTTTTAAGAGAATTAAGTACTCAATTCCATTTCCCTAATCACATTTGGTTTTGGTTGGTTTGGGGTTTTTTTTTTGTTTTTTTTTTTTTGGTAGAAAATTTACTTCTGAAAGTAGTAAATGTACTGATATACTGAACTTCTTCATTGTAAAAACAAAACAAAAAAAACAGCAGGTCCTGCAAATAAAACTGCAAAAGCAAGAATGCAGATAACATGGGGCGAAGTCCCATTCTGCTGGAAGACCTGCCCTGGAGCTCCCATCAGTCTCTGGCAGTGCACCACCTTGCTCTGATTAGAGGGGCTGTACAACAGCAGCCTGACCATTCTGAGTGTCTGTCATTACAATGTATTCATAGGGGGTTGAAGATAATCAAATGGTGTACACAAATATCCAATTTATGGCAGGTGCACACAAAGGAGGATGGAATAAATGACTGAATTTACTAAATTTGAGCCTGTGTGGAGTTAACTTTCTGTTGTTCTGTTATCTACTACACATTCTGTCGCCCTTTTCAGTGCTTAACTTAAAGGGTGCAGAAGGTAGACTGCTGTTAGGTTTTGTGAATGTGGAACAAGTACTTCATGGAACTAATACTTCTCTGGAGGGTGGGGTGGCTTTCTAGTATAGTGCAACTCCATCAGCAAACTCAGTCCTGGAGCAGGTGGAAGCAACTGCAGTTGTTGCACTGGTGCAACAAGATTTGAAGATTCTTTGTATAAACCGCAGTAACAGGATGTTTGAACAGGACCCATTTGTTCTGTACGTAACTGATTCAGATGTAATGCATCCTTGCCTTCCTTGGGTTTTCTTTGCATAACAGAACAGCATGTGCATTCCTGAAACAATTGGAATTCTGCAGCACATCTCTCCATCATGAGCGTACCTGCAGGCCCCATCTGAAACAAAAGTGAGAAGAAACTACAGTAATAGAAGAAGACCAATTAGAATTGTTGTCTGAATCCTACAAATTTTTTCAATGGCTGGGTTGGTTTTATTGCTGCGTGCAAAACTATGATTCTTATCTATCCTTTCCTTCATCTACTTTTTAGCCTGCTTACCATTTTTCAGGTAAGGGATATCCCATATCCCTGTTTTGGGAGAATCAGCCAAAACTGGGGAGGCTGGAGAGGGCAAGAGCCTTTGGTAAACAAATTAAGCGGTATTTCTTCTATTCATGCTTCTTTGTAAATACCCCCATTTGAATGCTGTGTATTTGTACAGGAAATTGAGCAAAAAATGTATAGATTGTGATGTCCGACTGGTATTCTGCCCTGTAAATGTGTTTTTAACCTCTGGCATTCTGTGCTTATTTAAAACAGGCAAAAACCTCTAACCACTTCTCTTTTGTGTATTCATGTTTAAAATAAAATCAGAACAGCTATCTTATCTATAATGGAAATCAAATTGAAAAGGAAAAAAATAATTTGTACAAGTGTCCTAAAGGTACTTCATTGTATATATTGTGATAGCATGTTTCCAGAATCAACAAATAAGTGGTGTGAATTTTAGATGTAAATATCCGCTGTTTGTTTTGGATTTCTTTCCCTTACCCATTCACTCGACTGCTGTGATGTGAAATTAAAGATTAATACCTGATATTAAAGTGGTACCGCTGTACATTCATTGCTGTCCTCCTGACAGGACTATCCTCAGTGTGCTCCAGACTTCCACAGATGTGGCTGTCAAAGAGAAGCAGCACAGCATTAATCCCTGCATGCTGTGCTGGAGGGATATCTGACACCCACAGTTCAGAGGAACAACCATCACTTCCCACCTTCCTTTGATGGAAGAGGGCTGGGAGGAGGCAACAAGAAGGTCCTTGTGGCTGTTAGGTGTAGTCAAAGAAGAGTTTCCAGGGCGTTCTGTCACAGGCAGTCCCCCATTTCTTTAATAACCTCTCAAAGCGAGCATCTGGCAGCTAGATTGGTTTACCTGATGTGCAGCTGTCTGAGACACCTGTTCATCCATCACAAACATTCACCAGGTCCTGAGGCAGTACTTCCAAATAGCAGAATCCGTGGTTCGTTCTTTGATGGATACCTCGCTGCTCCAACCAAGGCTCATCAGTTTATTGCAATGGCAAGATGTCTTGGCAGAAATTTCATTTCTCAGTTTTAAGTGTGTACATACCTATTATTTTAACAGAACGGGTATGAAAGACTAGTAATTAAAAACAGGAAAATAGGATTTGGAAATTAAAATCTGTGGTCCCTGCTACCTACAATTAATTTAAAAGACAGACACCTTCCCATTACAACTAATAGGTCAGGGTGCAGGAGACAGAAGCAGCCTGTCTACCCCACCTTGTCTTGACAAAGCAACAGAAGAAGTTATGATCCTCATCCCAGAAGACATTTAGCTGTAAAATATAACAGGAGTGTAATGTAAGCTGGCCCTGGGCTGTACACAGTGCCAGTCCACCTTCTTGCTTCATTACATAGCCCACGAACCATGTAGAACTACTAAGAAGGTACTTGTCTATGGTAATACATCTAAAATACCAAAATGTGGCTTAGCTAACACCTGGAAGATATCTGTGCAAAGCAAACCCCGAGTCACTTCTAACCCAACCTAGCAAATCTCATTTAATATATATGCTTATTATTATTCAGCTAAAAGCGTCTCTTAATGAATTGTGGAAAATGAAAAGAGTTCAACACAAAAAGCCTTCAGCTTTTTTAGAGTTTTTAAAGTTTCCATTAAAGCCAAAAGAAGCAGCATTTGAGTGCAAGCCAAACGCTTTAAGCTAAGCCACACTATCACCCTCAAATGTAGATACCCCAGCCAAATCTTCACCTGATCCAAGGAAGAAAGTTTCTGTATCTGACTGTAATGAAATTGATACCGAGTTATACAAAAGTTGTTAAGAGGAGAAATCAAACCTCTAGCAAATAAAGCCCGTAAAGATTCGGCCATCCTTGCCTCTGTACAAACATGCCTTTATTCTTAGAGCCAGCTTAAGAAAACACAGATTCAGAAGCACCTACCTCTGACATTCAGGCAGCTGGATTTGAGCAACTGAGCAGAACCAGCTGACACAAATACCAGCTTCTTTGCTGTCTGTGTGTAAACCATTCACAGGTGCTCACCTGTAGCACAATTCTCACTGCTTGAGACTTCATACTGTACCTATACAATATCTGTAGTTTAGGGAGAGTTTGGCCATTGCCTTCCAGCAATGAAGCCCCAAATAGGGCATAAATAACATGTTATGGAGTATTCTCAGCCTTTTTTTCCCAACTGCTGGCCTTCGCCAGGACTGATAAAAGAGCAGGCACTCCCAGCCTGTCTCCCACCAGCGGGCAGCTGAGCCCAGCCAGGGTCCTCGCATGCCCCAAGCAGTTCACTCCTTAGCACTTAAGCAGGACTATCAGCATCCAAGAGGCTGACACTAAATCCTGCAGATTACCTTCATCCCCACAGCCATTAAAGCAACCTTCATGCTGTCTCGTCGCAAGAACCACGCTATACTTAAGTGATCATGTCACTATCGATCTGTGTTTAGCTGGAAGAGAATACCAGACTCCATACCAACAACCACTCATTTTCTTCAGCCACTGACTTGGTAGTCACACGCTGCGGACAATCAGAAGTAAGGGATTCTTTGAACGTGTGAATTCCTAGACTTCATTTACATATTTACCACCAGTATCGACATGGACACACTGGTTTACTTCACGCTATTTATTATATACATATTGCTAGTCTTACAGCAATTTCATTAGACCACTGCACAGCTAATGAACTTCAGGCGCACAGTGAGCTCTTCATTTCATTTTCCTATTCATGTCTGTAGGCACATTAACATTGCTAGGACAGCGCATGGACAGTGTTTGGAACAATAAAAACATTTTTCATACACACATACAAATCATAGCCTGATTCCAAAAGATCTACAGGTTTTCTCTTTAGGCTATAATTCCTATACCCCTTCTCCCTTTTTACAAGCTTTGCTACTCACTTCACACAAATCAAAATCAAATTCCAACGAATATTTCCACTGCAGCTTCTATTCTACATCCATTGATGGCAGTCCCACGTTACATTGTGTAACATACAGATGTGACCTGGCTTCACCTTCACCCCTAACAAACACAACTCATTGTCCCCTCAGACCGAGAGCAGCCCCTTTTCATCCCTTCAGACACCTCCACGCACATCTGCCTCTCACACCACCCGTCCTGCAGGGCAGCGTCTCTGTGAGCACACAGCTCCTCCACATGCACAGCTGCACCCCGCCAGCACTGCCCACCCCACAGACCTGCAGTCCCAGTCAGGGTCTGCCTCGCTCCTACACCCCACACTTGCCCCCCTGGCTTAAAGGGATTGACCCCTTCTTAGCAAACCAGCCTCCCAGAGCTGACCACATTCCAGCAAAAAACAAGCAAACAATTTAAATACTGCAATCGACATCTGTACCTCCGTAACGGCTCCTGTCCCTAACCACGAGCCATTTCCACGTGCAAAGGGAAACCCTGCAGCATACCGGAGCTGCATCTCAAACTGTCCGCCCGCGCTCTGTCCACGCCTTGCTGAGGTGTGAGGATCTGCCCCTCCACAAGATGGCACCTGCGAGGGCAACTTTCCCTTAACAAAAATGGCGGCCTAGGGAGGCGGGGAAACCCGCCGCTCGCCGCCTCCTCCAATCAACGGCCGCCAACTCTCCCGTGGAGGCCGCGGGCTGGCCAATGGGAGGAGGCGGCGTGGAAGCCGGGCGGGGGAGCGGGCCAATGGGGGCAGCGGCGGGGGGGAACCGGCGGCGCGCGGGGGCGGTGGCGCCGGTACCGGTGTGGCGGGCGCCGTGCGAGGCGGGATGCGGGCGGCCCACGGGCTCTGGGCGACGCTGGCCCTGCTCCTGCTGCCGGCCGGCAGCCGGGCGCTGCGGGACGGGGAGTGCGAGGGTGAGTGTGGCCGGGCCGGAGGAGGGGCTGCCCCGGGGCACGGCGAGGCGAGGCCGCGCCCGCACGCCGCCGTCGGGGGCCGAGATGCGGGCCGGGCCGCCGAGAGCGGCTCGTGGCGGGGCGCGGGAGTCCCCCCCGCCCGGGCGGGAGGCTGCGGCCGGGCTCCCGAGGCCCGTCCTGTGCCGGCCGCCCCGCCCCGCGCTGCCCGTCCCGAGCCCGCTTCGCTCGCAGAAGTCGCGGTGCGGCTGCGGCAGCTTCGCGCTGGGCTGGATTGAACCCGGGACGGGACGGGACGGCTCGAGGCGGAGCCGGGGAGCTGCGTGGTTCCGCGGTGCCGCCGCTCGGCTCGAGGGAAGCAGGGCGCTCCGCTGTACCGCGGCCGCCGGCGGCACTGCCTGCAGCGTCTCTGTTCTTCCTGAAGGTTTTCACTCGCAGCCAGCGGACATCAGTGTGTGTCTGTGACTGGAGACTGATGTGAGGTAAATGATGGCTTGTGTGCGTAAGAAAAGGCTTTCCCGACCGGCCCGGCTTGTGATTACTGCCAGCTTTGAGTGACGGCAGTCGGCGTTCGGTTGGCTGCAGGCGGTCCCGTTGACGTCCTGCGTCTGCCCGCGTTCTGTGCTCGTGTCCGGAGTTGAACGCAAGTTGATGATGAGACTTGCTGACCCCTTTCCGTTGGGACGCACGCGTGCGCGGAGGGCCGGGCCAGCGGGACAGCTGGGAACCCCCGGCTCCTGCTGCGGGAACTGGTGGGCACACACCTCCAGCGCGAGTGCTGCCGGTGCTTGCAGACCGCTTGTGTGAGCAGCGGGAGTGAAACCCGACTCTGCGAGCTTGCAGGGTCACGCAGTGCTCTGCTGCACGGATCCCGCTGGGTGCTGCAGCTGCCTCCCTCCCTGTGCTGTGCTTCCTCTGGAGCACAATCTGCCCGGCTGTTGCCTGGGGGGCAGCGTGAGGACTGAGCTGTGCTGCCCTTCCCATCGGCAGGGCTTGGCTCTGTCTCTGTCCTCTTTGCTGCTGGTGTGCTGGTGGAAGTTTTGTTATCTTTCAGTCTCTTGGAAACTGATGCAGAAGTTTGTGGAAAATGAGGAGAGAAACGTGCCAAGTGGGTGCATCATGTGATCGTGTTACAGCTTTTTCTCTTGGAAACAACTGTACGCAAGCCCATTACAGACTCTAGTGTATATTTCGTTAGTAATGTGATATCACTGATTATTTAGCTGATTTGCTTCCTCGATGAGTTGGTTTTCAGTCAGAAGTGGTTTTGAAGCCCATAGTCTGACAAGCGGCTTACCAAAGCAGCAAGAATAGGGCATCTAGTTTCTGTTTTTACATCAGCACTGTTTTGTGCCACACCCCCACAGTTGAATCCTGCTGCTCCCTCAGCCCAGCGTGCAGAACTCACTGGACAGTTCCAGAGATCTGCTTTTTCTGATTGTCAGAAACCCACCAAAACTACCAGGGCAGATTGCTGCCTCACGTGTGCTGAAACACCCAAAGTCACGGATTGCTAATGCAGCTTCTAAACAGTCTGTTCTGCAAATCCCTTATTCTGTTACCCTGCTTCTGAGAGCTGCTGTGAGGTTCTTGCAGTGACAGGTAACTCCACCCATCTTCCCTTCCAGTGTGTGTCACCTTCCTGGGGAGGTTCTACCAGAGTCTAAAGGACAACAATGTTGAGTTCACACCCGCCAGTATTGAAAAGGAGCTCATGAAATCCTGCAGAGAGGCAAAAGGCAAAGAGAACCGGTTGGTAAGTAGTCATCAACATTGTCTCTGGAAGAAATAAGTTATAGAACACTTGGCAAACAAGGGGAAATTAGTGCTTCTATGTTTGCATGATGTCCCTCCCTGGGGGCTGTGCTTCCTGGTTCTGTGGACACAGCTGGTCCTGTAATTTTTTGATGTTGCAAGAGGAGACAGAGTATGACCTTGTTGTATGAAGTTCATTTTAAATATACCTATATATCTGTCAACAAAAGTCTTACTGCTGACCTTATTTCTCCCTGTTATCAAAGGGCTTGGGATTACAAAGCTTTTATTTGCTGTACGACTTCCCTGTTAGACTGCATTTGGAGTGTTACATAAACTGTTAAAATGCTTAACTTTTTAGCTGTGTAACTGAGAACTACAGGAAAACTGAACTGCCCTAAGTAAAATCGGGTGAGCTCTCCTAAGAGAACTGCAGAGAGACACCCACAGAAAAAGGGGAGCAGTGCCTCAGAAAGTCTTTTAACAAAGAAAACTTCAGTAATCCAGTTCAAGTTGTTAACAACTTGAGAAGCAGGACAGCAGCAAAGCAGTGCTGAAAAGGGGTTAAGCAGTGTGGGAAGTGACCCTTGGCTCACAGTCAGGCTTGCTTTTGCCCTCCTGTGGCAGTCCCTTGGAAAGTTCTCTAACTGTAAATATTGAACTGCAAAGAGATAGCTAGAAAACCTTTTCAGAAAAATGTTTCCATACATATCCACCTTGCTTTTTTCTTCCCTTCAGTGCTATTATATTGGGGCTACAAGTGATGCAGCCACCAAAATTATTAACGAGGTGTCAAAACCCATGAGTCACCACATCCCCGTGGAAAAGATCTGCGAGAAACTGAAGAAGAAAGACAGTCAGATCTGCGAACTGAAATACGGTGAGTTGCCAGCAGAATGGGAAATGGGTGCACCTTCCTGGGGTACTGAATTATTCTGGGTAAAAGCATGCTGAAGTCAACATGGGTAGTTGCACAAGTTGGGCTGTTGTCTGTGAATATCCTAGACAGCTGTACAGGGCTGCTCAGGAGGGGCTACTGCCTGCTAGAACCACTGCTCGACCTCCCACGTGCCAACAGTGCTGTGCTCAAAGCCCTGTTTGGAATTTGGCCACTAGGACAGCACGCGGTATGCCTGGGCCTGGGATGGTGCCTGTTGAGCTCATGCCAGGGCTGCTGGGCTGTGCTACTGGCATCAGTGGGCGCTGCTTTGTCGCCTGCTCTGGTGCCGGTCTGGGCCGTGCCTCCAGCGCTGCCTCTCACCACCCTCCTTGAACTCACGTTCTGGGGTGCTGTGCTCCTCCCGAGAAGACTGATGTGAAGAAGCCACGGAAGTGCCTTCTGCCTGCTGTTCCCTCTCTGCCCTTACATCCCCTGGAGGCAGCTACCGGGCTGTGGCTGCTGCGCTCCACGTTTCGTGCACTAACGTCCCGTAGCTTCCCAGCCTTCCCATCCAGCCTTCAGCTGCCGTCACCGCTGGCCTCCCCTCCGCGCTGACCCCACCGCCTTTTCCCGTCCCGCGGAGGATGGCCGAAGCGCTGCGGCGAAGCGGGGTTTTGGGGTCACGGCGGAGCTCTGCAGTTCAGCGTCGTTTCTCCCGCCGCGCCGTGACGCCGTCGGAACCGCAAGGCGCTGCGGGCTGAGCGCGGCTCTGCTCTCCCCGCAGACAAACAGATCGACCTAAGCACCGCCGACCTGCGCAAGCTGCGCGTCAAGGAGCTGCGGCGGATCCTCGACGATTGGGGCGAGGCGTGCAAGGGCTGCGCCGAGAAATCCGACTTCATCCGCAGGATCCACGAACTGATGCCCAAGTACGCGCCGAGGGCGGCGGGCGCTCGCGCCGACCTCTGAGGAGGGGCCGCGCGGGGCGGGCGCGGAGACGCTGCGACGGCGCGCGCTGTACGGGGCTTATTAAAGTACCACGGTTCTGCCGGGGGTTGCGTGCGGTGTCACGTGATTGTGCGGCGCGCTCCCGGAGTTCGGGGGAGGGAGAGGGCGGGGCAGCGCCGCGCACGCTCTTTCCGATTGGCCGCCCGGCGTGACGCAGGGCCAGAGGGCGGGAGGCGCTTCCCCTCACGTCGCTGCGCGGCGCCGCCGCGCTTCTGACGCCGCCATGCGGCGGGGCGCGCGGCGATGACGTAGAGCCCGCGCGGCGCGGCGGCCGGAGCCGCCTTCGTTCCCTTTTGTCCAAGATGGCGGCGGCCGCCGGAGGCGTCTCTTGAGCCGCGGGCCCCGGCGCCATGAAGCGCGGCAGCGAACGGGACGCCAGCCCGCCAGGGGCCGGGGGAGGTCGCGCCGCCGCCGCCAAGAGGCCCCGCGAGCGCGAGCGCGAAAGCAGCAGCCGGCGCGGCCTGCACCGCAGCTCGGGCGCCTCCCGCAGCAGCCGGGACAAGTCCACGCCCGGCGGCGGCGGAGGAAGCGGCGGAGGCGGCGGAGGCGGCTCCGGCTCCCGCAGCCACCGCGGCGATGAGCGCGCCGGCGGCGCCGACTCCAACCACCGCCCGGCGGCGAGCGGCTCGGCCTCGGGCGCCCGCGGCCAGGCCGCCCCCTCGTCGTCCTCGTCGTCGTCGTCGTCGTCGTCCCGCGCGCTCGGCGTGCCCAAGGCCAAGGCCCTGCCCGGCGCCGTGGTGGCCCCTTCGCTGCTGCTGGCCGGGCCGCCTCCGGGCGCCGCGCCCTCGCTGCTGCTGGCGCCGCTGGGGGGCTCGGCGGGGCTGTCCGGGGAGCCGCCCGGCTCCTGTGAGTACAAGACGCTGCTGGTGAGCGGGCTGAGCGCGGCCCTGCCCGACCAGCTGCTGGAGGACGGGCTGTTCCGCCTCTTCCAGCGCTTCGCGGGGGGGGGCGCCGGGGACATCAGCGTCAAGCTCTCCCACACGCCCGAGCTCGGCCGCGTCGCCTACGTCAACTTCCGACACCCCGGGGACGCCCGCGACGCCCGCCGGCACGCCCGGGCCCGCCAGCTGCTTCTCTACGACCGGCCGCTCAAGGTGGAGCCCGTGTACCTGCGTGGGGGCCGCAGGAGCCGCACGCCGCCCCCCGCGCCCTCGCCGGAGCCCCTGGGCTACCTGCCGCCCCTCCACGGCGCCTACCAGTACAAGCAGCGGTCGCTTTCACCCGTCACCAGCCCTTTGCTGCGGGAGCCGCGGCCCCGCCACGCGCACGCTGCTGCCGCTGCCTTCGCGCTGGAGGCCGCCGCCATCGGGCTCTCCCGGGAGCGGGAGCGGGCCCTGGATTACTATGGGCTGTATGATGAGCGCGGCCGGCCCTACAGCTACCCCATCGTGGCCGAGGAAGACCTGATGCCGGAGGACGATCAGAGAGCCACCCGCAACCTCTTCATCGGCAACTTGGACCACAACGTCTCAGAGGTGGAGCTGAGACGTGCCTTCGAGAAGTACGGCATCATCGAAGAAGTGGTGATCAAGCGCCCTGCCCGTGGCCAAGGTGGGGCTTACGCTTTCCTCAAGTTCCAAAACTTAGACATGGCGCATCGGGCCAAGGTCGCGATGTCCGGCCGTGTTGTCGGCAGGAACCCTATCAAAATTGGCTACGGTAAAGCCAACCCTACTACCCGGCTGTGGGTAGGTGGTCTTGGCCCCAGTACTTCTCTTGCTGCCCTGGCGAGGGAGTTCGACCGCTTTGGCAGCATCAGGACTATTGACTATGTGAAGGGAGACAGTTTTGCGTATATCCAGTACGAAAGCTTGGATGCTGCCCAGGCCGCCTGTGCGCAGATGAGAGGCTTTCCCTTGGGTGGACCGGAGAGGAGACTTCGTGTGGATTTTGCCAAAGCAGAAGAGACGAGATACCCGCAGCAGTACCAGCCTGCACCTCTCCCTGTGCACTATGAACTGCTTGCTGATGGATATAGCAGACACAGAAGCCTAGAGCAAGACTTGAGGGTGCGAGATAGGACTCCTCCACATCTCCTGTACTCGGACAGAGACAGGAGCTTTGCAGAGGCAGACTGGGCCAGTCCTGCCAAAAACGCTGAACGCAGAAACAACTTGGAGAGCTACAGCCGATCAGTGCGTAGCCGGAGTGGAGAGCGCTGGGCCAGCGACAGTGATCGTGCTGTGCCCAAACTGTGGGAAGAGAGGCGGAAACGACGGAGCCTTTCCAGTGACCGCGGCAGGACTACTCACTCGCCTTACGAGGACAGAAGCAGGACAAAGGCCAGTGGGCCAGCTTTAGACCGCAGCCCTGAGCGGGCTCGCAAAGAGAATCACACTACAGAATCCGGAACTGAGAAAGAGCAGAGTAACTCCCTTCAGAACAATCGTCACACAACTGAGGAGAAACCCCATCGTGAGGCATCCGATGCTCCGCAGCCTAAAAAAAGGGACAGCGAACGCAATCATCGAACTGGTGAATCAGAATCAAAAACTCACGAGGAGCCAAAATCTGAGACCAAAAAGTTAAAGAATTTGTCAGAATACGCTCAGACACTGCAACTTGCTTGGAATGGGCTTCTCGTGCTAAAAAACAGCTGCTTCCCCACATCTATGCATATCCTGGAGGGAGATCTCAGTGTCATCAATGGACTCCTCAAAGACCATTCGTCTGGTGGGAAGCTCACGCAGCTCAAAATCGCTCAGAGACTTCGGCTCGACCAGCCTAAGCTGGATGAAGTGACCCGCCGTATCAAACAAGGCAGCCCCAATGGCTACGCCGTGCTCCTGGCGACGCAGTCTGCCCTGGGCAGCGTGGGGGCCGAGGGGACCTTCCCCGTGGTTGAGCCTGGCTTGCAGCGACGGCTGCTCAGGAATCTGGTCTCCTACTTGAAACAGAAGCAGGCTGCTGGGGTTATCAGCCTGCCCGTGGGAGGAGCGAAGGGCAGAGACAGCACAGGCATGCTTTACGCGTTCCCTCCTTGTGAATTCTCTCAGCAGTACCTCCAGTCAGCACTAAGGACATTGGGGAAGTTGGAAGAAGAACATATGGTGATAGTTATAGTCAAAGACACTGCCTAGCCCACACTGTCTTTTCAGATTCCATGTTTTCTTTGTGTGTCACACAACCCTGTTGTTTTTAAGGCCAATCATTTTGGTGGAGGCTCAGCACACCTCAACCAAAGTGCTAAGATTTTTAGTTTCTAATTAATTTTAATACCATTTAAATAGAGCCCATTTCATTCGTTTTTAATACGTGACACTGTCTGCTGTTGTTCTGTATTTTTATTTTTTAACTGTATGAAAAAGTTGTCAGTAAAGCCTTGTTCACTGATGGATTTCTAAACTTGTGCGCTATCCTGGTTCTTAGGGCCCGGGAGGGCTGCTGCCCTGTGCTGCCCGCTGATGGGGGCCCAGCCCAGGCTCTCAGCTTCCAGCCTACACTTCCTCAGTCTCTTTCTGGTGTCCTGCCAGGTGGGAGGGGAAGAGGGATTTGTCATTGTGCCCTATGGGAGACTGAGAGGTTGGTCTTGCTTTCTTGTTTTTGTCCTGTTTGTTTTTTATTTCACAAATTTAAATCTTGGTGCATTTCAAGGCCAGACTGGATGTGGCTCTGAGCAGCTTAGTCTGGTTGTTGGCGACCCTGCACATAGCAGGGGGTTGAAACTAGATGATCATTGTGGTCCTTTTCAACCCAGGCCATTCTGTGATTCTACGATTTCTGTTGCTACTCCATTTGATGATAGATCCTTTCAAGAAGCAAAACCTGACGGAGAATAGAAATCTTTTTTTATGCACCAAATAATAATAATAATAATTACAGTTGATACTTGGGCAAAAAGTTTGCTAGTAAGGAGTCAATTCTGTACCCAATCTCAACAGAACAGATGAGGCCTGATGCTTCTGGTTTCTGTAAAAAGAGAAATAAATCAAGCAGGAGAAAGAAAAAATTATTGAAGGGGATTATTAGATGCAAACAAACAAATAAGGGGCACCAAGTTGTTTTGTGAACTGTGGGTACCCCTTTTTATAGCCATCATGTTCACTGTCTGAAATCCTTTATTGCAAGATAAACTGCAAAGGTTTTTTTTGTTTGTTTGTTTTTCTTGAAATTTATTTGCAAGCATGCAAAAATATAAACAACTCTGGCTGTCATCTGGAAGCATGGTGTGTTCCCATGAGGAGGCTGTCTGCAGAGCAAGAACAGGAATTTAAGCTGAGGTCCTTCACCGTGTCTGTCTGCAGCATGAGACAGTCGTTCCAGAGAGCCTGGACATGCAGGGCTGGTTTCTCAGTGTCTTGAGGATGTAACTATTTCAACTTTGAGTTAAACTGCACTACTCAGCTTGGGGATTTTGTATTTTTTAAAATCACGCCTCCAGATTTCAGGAGGCTTACAGGAAATTGTGTGGCATTAAAAGCACTACATTTTGAACTTTCTCTTTAGATTTGCAGGGATTTTTTTGGTTTTGTTTTTGGTTGTTTGGTTGTTTGCTGAAGCTTTGGTGGTAAGCAAGTGAATAAAATCCTGGCAGAGCCAGAACCAGGGTCCTCCTGACAGCGGTCTCTGAGCAAGCAGACTCACCTGCTGCCAAAGGCACTTCAGAGCTGTGCTCTCAGGTGAGCGGTGGTCAAACCCTATACAGTCAGGACTGTAACTCAGCTTAAAGTGTGTTCATGAGGGCATATTTCACTTCAGTGTCTGTAGCCCGTAAAATATAACTCTGTACTATGGGCCTGAAAGCAGTGACAAGGTTCCCAGGCACTGAGCAGGTTTGCAGTGCAGCAGAGCTGCAGGGCACAGGGTAGGTGGCTTGCTCCTGATGTTACATGGTTACAAGGATGTTGACTTTTCACCTCGTGACCTAGTCCTCACCCCTGTTGTAATGTAGACAGTGCCAAATGTCAGTAAGTAAGTGTAACCTCTAAGTGTCACCTGAAACCAAGTGATATTAAATGCCCCTTATGGCCAGAGTCAGTGTGACCAGAGGTTTTTGTTAGGGAGCACCCTATGTGGTGGCCATGTCCCCACTGTCACAGCAGTTT